TTGCTCTGACTTCTGGTATCTTCTTGTAAAACAAAACTTGCCATGGAAAAATGAAGCTGTTTGCTGGGCAGATCTGGACAGCTGCTCTATAAATGAGTTATTTAGGCATAGATAGGTTTTGATGATTCTGAAGGGTCACTCATGATATTGGCTGGCATTGGCATGGCTGCCAAACCAGCACTCAAGGCCTGCGCTAGGAGAATGGCAAGGTCTTAAAGACGATTTGATAGCATAGCGACACAGTGTCAGGCCTCTTGGGACTACCATTCTACTAGATTCATCTCTATTCTACTAAGTACATCTAATTCTACCACATCCGGTTGGTGGTTTGGAACATTTGGATTATTTTTCCATATATTGAGAATAATGATCCCAACTGACTAATATTTTTCAGAGGGGTTGAAACCACCAACCAGACATTGATTAGAGATTTCTCCTCATGTTGTCTCACGAACCAGTTTTCTTCCATGCTATCCCGCCAGGCATGCGAATCGCCATGCTTGCCAAGTCTGCCAAGAAGATCCAGGCCGAAGCCAAGTGCACCAGGGAGGACATGTTGGTTGAATTTTCGTGGTCGTTACGTCCAAAAGGGGATCGCAAATCGTCACTGGCCACTGTCACTATTCGTGATTTATATTTATGTCCTGTCAGCAACGACGACAATGAAGGCGATGGTAAGAGGACCCAGCCACAAAGTCTCCAGTTGTTTGAAGGTCTATACCTCTCAGCGCAAGTTTTTCCACCTTTTGTTCGCCACTGGATGCCGTCGCAACCGGTCGCCACTGGTGCCAGGGCATGTGGCGGGTGTATTTGATGCGGAGTCTCTTCAGCATGATCCGCGAACGGGGCATTCTCATCCAGGCTGTCCGACGGGTCAAGTCGTGCCACACTGTGCCACCACTTGAAGGCGGCGAACTCGTCTTTGTTAATGATATTATTGATAGTAAAGCATAGTAAAGCAATCCATAATATATTCATGGATTATACCAGCTATAAAATGGGAAAATTGGGGATGGATTACTATTGCTTTACTCACATTAATTAGTTCATTGTTGGCAGGGTTTTTATTTATACCCATGGTTCGGATTGCTTTCAGCGCCATCCCCAAACTGAAATCGTTTTCTTGGTTTATCTCACCACAGCCCTCTGGCAATCCAAATCTCGCAACGAAAACTCCACCTTGTGATTTCATATATGGGTATGGATCAATACCTATTAATACCATTTTTAGGGTGATGAACATCCATTTACCAGCTATTTTGGGGTTCACTAGGTACCAGGGTTTTGACCCATAGCCAAATAATGTCTACTATATATTCTAGCCAAACCCTGTGATAGGCCACCTGGCGCCGCTACGCCGCCAAGTGCCGCGTGTGGAACATGATGAAACCTGCCCAGCGGCGCCGCTCGCGGCTCTTCCGGGCCTTCCTGGAGAAGCTCCGAGCTCAGCTGAGAGATGGAGAAGGATGAGAAGGGGAGATGGATGGGGGAAGCAATTGGAAAGCTGAGCAAAAATGGATAAAAAATTGGATATAGCTAGGATTTGCACCAATTTTAGATAAATATGGTATATTTGTTGGGTATATCATCAGATATATCTAAAAATCACGACATGGATAAAAATAGGATTTACAATGATATACTTGATATGGCCACCAACAAATACATTTAGTGATATTTAGATATATATGATGATATACCCAACAAATATGGATGGGGAAGCAACGAACTGATAAACTCTGCCAAGCTCATGTGGGATAGGAGGGTAGGCCCCGGTTCGGCATCACAAAGGGTTCCCCAGCATCGCCTCAGGTACCCCAACGCTGCCAAGAGCACCGGAGAAACAGACTCAGAAGAGGCATCGGACATCGATGGACGTCGATGGACCATGACTTTCCTTTCTGAGACATCAGCAAATTCCATGGTTCTTCAATTATCCATCAATATTTTCCATGAATATTATCCCATATCATCCATGATGGATGGATCATGATAAATGATCATCCAATCATCACTATTATCCATTAGCCATTACCGTTTGGTTATTTAACATAGCCATGGTATAGATGGCCCATTTATAGATGGTTTACCAAACTAAAAAATGGTGATTTTCCATGGCTATGTAACAAATAACCAGAGGGTATCATTCCAAAGTTCTTTATCCATTAGCCGTGCCAGGAGCGAGAGCTCCAAGCTGAACGAGAGCGTTTGGAGCGTTTGAAGGCCACCAAGGAAGAACAGGCAGAGCTGGTGGGAAGCTGGTGATTGGAACTCAGGGTTGGGAGTTGGGAGGAAAAATATGGAAAAGTGTAGGACATTTTGGAAATTGTAGGAAAGGCGGAAAAATGTTGGCTATAATTGGGCATTCATGGTTGTTGATGTTGTTGACTGGAAGTTCTTTAAGCTTTTGGCTCAACAAAAATTGGAGACTGAAGCGGGTTCAGTTCAGTGCAGATGATCACTCTTGGGATGGTGGGTTCCACCTGGTCGCCAGGAGAGGCAACGAAAGGAGGAAGAGAAACGACAGAAGGAAGAAGAGGACGGCAGGGAAGCTGCCTGTGGGGAAATGGCCCATAGAAATAGTTGATTTACCCATTTATAGGAAGCTGGTGATTTTCCATAGTTATGTAAGTTATGTTAGTTTACCAGAGGCTAGTGGGGAAATGCGGAGAATAGTTTCAACCTGCCCCAGGGCCACATGTTGCGGAACGCTCGTGTTGTCTCCAGGAACGACGCTTGCGGGAAGAGGAGGAAGAGCGACAGCGACTGGAAGAAGAAAGGACCTTCCAGCACCGAAAGCCGAAGATCTTCCAATACCTTTCCGACCTTTCCCTTGATATGAAGGAAGGAGATCTCAACCGCATTTATTGGCAATATATGTAGTTGTTTGGTATTATAACATATTATAACCAGATCATGCGGTTGCTAAGGTCAGGCATTTTCACCCAAGCCTACTGGAACTCAGAAGTTGGCTGGTCGTTGTGGAGAGGAACAGCTGCAAGTGTTGCGAGTAGCCCGCTGAAGTACATCCCCGAAAAATGCTAATCGCCATAATGTGTGACTACCGGAGGGTACCAACCAATGTTCCATCAATTGTCAATATTCCATCAATATTCCATGAATATTTCATCAATATTCCATGATATCACCATTTCTGTTGTATCCCAGCCAGCAGTGCAGGATCCGTTTGGAGCAAGAGGCGATAGAGCGTCGCAGACAGGAGGAACTGCAGCATGGCAGCAACAGGCCTTGGGTTGGTAATTCATCACCAGAATGGTCATTGGAAATGTCGAATTGGCAGTTAACTGGATAGTTTTGTATGGTTTTGGATGGTTCATGTTTCATACATTTATGATATTTATGTTAATGTATGTTAATGTCAACCCTGGATTAATAAACCCCTAGATTGTTTAATTGGGAGGGTACCATAAAAAAGTATCAGATGAAATGACTATTGGAGGAGTACCCCCCTAATTGTCATAAACCAATGGTTTAGTCTCATCCGGGGTTGACATTATTTTATATTCATGCATGCTGATCATGAGATGTGTCTTTTTCCAACTGGATGATTTTCACGACCATTAACCATTGATGATGTTCGATGAGAAATGTTTGATGACAAGAAGGCGAGAAAGGCTTGGCCGAAAGGGAGACTGAACCAGTAAGCTGAGAATATTCCATCTTGTAGTGGATCATTTCTCATTGACAATCATCAATTATGGAGAATAGTTTACCTATGAAAACTAGTGGGAACCCACGCAAATTCCAGATGATTTAGTTGATGTGCCGATGAAAGAAGTATCAAAAGTCTTGAAATTCACCATGTTCATCCATTTCCCACATGTTTTCCCTATTAGAAAAACGCGCTTTCCCTATCAAAACCCGGTGGTTTTCGCCATGAACGGGGTGGAAATTCCGGCGCGACGAAACGTGTCTCCAAGGCAACGGCTGGAACAGGCCAAGCTGGCAGCTATGGAGGAGGAACGACAGAGAGCCGAGGAGTGCCCCAACCATGGATAGCAGCTATAGCAACCGCCAGCCATGGATTACCCTCTGGTAAACAGCCACAGTTTGCGAACTGGAAGCCATGGCCCATAGAAATAGATGGTTTACCGAACTTAAAAATTGGTGGATTTTCTAACATAACGACCACCATGCTATTAATGGGTAAATCAGCTATTTCAACTGGGCCATTTTCAATAGTCATGTAACAAATTACCAGAGGGTAGTTGGAAGGGTTTCTAGAAGGGTTGGGAAACATGGTTGGGAAACATGGGAAACTATGGATCAATGGATTAGAAAGGATGGTTTTTAGAATCAGCCATGGATTATCCGTGGAAAAGGATGGTTTTTAGAATCAGCCATCGAAAAGTTGGAGACCTGAAAATGATCGGGAAACCATCGTAAAACATTATAAACAATGAAAAAAAAATCGAGCCGATAGCATCTTGCACAGTTCATTTGGATCATTCCTTTACGGGTTGAATGACCATTTGGATCAATGTCATCCTTCCCACTGACGAACTCCATCATTTTTCAGAGGGGTAGGTTGAAACCACCAACCAGTTATACAATGTTACAATAACCATCCATTAACCATCCATTAACCACCATTAGCCATTATAAACCATTATAAACCATATTTTTCAGAGGGGTTGGTGGTTCAACCACCAACCAGAATGGATTCCAAATCCTCGACATCCAACTGGCCTAACGGTTGTTAGGCCCTCCGGAAGTCATCAGCTCCATGGCTGGGAAATCCCCAGACATGGAGGTTTATAGCTGGGAACATCAATGAACTCTATGGTTAATCTATGGTTAATCTATGGTTTATCTATGGTTAATAATGGTTAATCTATGGTTAATAATGGTTAATCTATGGTTAATCTATGGTTAATCTATGGTTAATAATGGTTAATCTATGGTTAATAATGGTTAATCTATGGTTAATCTATGGTTAATAATGGTTAATCTATGGTTAATAATGGTTAATCTATGGTTAATAATGGTTAATCTATGGTTAATCTATGGTTAATCTATGGTTAATAATGGTTAATCTATGGTTAATCTATGGTTAATCTATGGTTAATCCATGGTTAATCTATGGTTAATAATGGTTAATCTATGGTTAATAATGGTTAATCTATGGTTAATAATGGTTAATCTATGGTTAATAATGGTTAATCTATGGTTAATCTATGGTTAATAATGGTTAATCTATGGTTAATAATGGTTAATCTATGGTTAATAATGGTTAATCTATGGTTAATCTATGGTTAATAATGGTTAATCTATGGTTAATCTATGGTTAATCTATGGTTAATAATGGTTAATCTATGGTTAATAATGGTTAATCTATGGTTAATAATGGTTAATCTATGGTTAATAATTGTTAATCTATGGTTAATCTATGGTTAATAATGGTTAATAATTGGAATAACAATATATCTGCTTGGTGGTGACTGGAACCATGGAATTTTGAATGACTTTCCCATCAAATTGGGAATTTCATCATCCCAATTGACTTTCACTCCATCATTTTTCAGAGGGGTAGGTGGTTCAACCACCAACCAGATATATAGTATTACAATAACCATCCATTAACCAACCATTAACCAACTAGTAAATGATGGATTTTTCAGCCATGTTTGAGACCGGATGGTATTCATTTGGGTCAAAAGATGGCTAAAAAAGTCTCAGTTGGATAAAGTAGACCGGATGAAAACTGGGTGCTGATGAAATAGCAAGAAAGGTTGGATTTCAACCTTTCAAAACAAAAACAACCAACATTGTGGATGTCACATTTGGGTTAAAACCAGCAACAAGGTGGGATTGTCAACCATCACAGTTTGGATTTGAACTGTTCAACCCAACTGGGTTTTATGGTAAAAGAAGTTCACCAACACAAACTGGTTCCCAAGGAACCCCAGGGTTTTTTCCATCAAAACCGTGGCATTTACCAGTTTTTTTTTTTTGAAGTGGCAAAAGTGAGAAGATGGACAGATCAGATAGATGTTTACCTAACTTCTCTGATAAGGTAAATAAATGAAATATCTGGCAAAACATACGGGAAATATCTGGGAAATATCTGGCAAAAACGGCCAAAACACCCTCGATGCCCGAGGTTGCGGCAATTGGCAGAGAAGGCGTTTCAGGAAGAGAAAGCCGCACTGTGACGTGTTGGCACCGGCACGGAGGGCTGTGTTTTTGGACATGGGGCATACTCGTTATAGCCTCAAGATGCAGGAAAAAATGGAGAATATGAGATGATGACCTAGTAGATTTGAGGTATAACTTGGTATAACCAGTCTTGGGGCAGAGCATGTTATAACCCACTTACTGTACCATGTGGCATGTCCCCATTGTGTTATGGCTATATGGCTAATGGATGCTAATGGTTTATCAATCACAACAGGATGCCCATTCAAAACCCAAGGGGTCCGGGAATTCGTCAATGGTAGGCAGGTGGCTGAACTTATGGCCATAAACGGAAAAGTAACTGTTTAATAACACCATATTTCTCCATATTTCAGTTGGAATTTCTACAGTGATCATCCTACTTGAAAGTGTGGTTTGGTTTTCACATCATAAACATATCTGGGTCAACCTTGCTTAGATACTTTAGTCAACTTTAGTACTTTAATCGTTTGCTATCAATGGTAACATTTGCTAACCGGCTAAAAGTTCACATGTTTTTTGGCATCTACCTCAGATTTCACCATGCGGAACCGGATCATCGACAGTTGCTTCGCAGCTAATGGTAATGGCATCAAGGTGATGATTGAACTACTGATTGGTGGTTTGGAACATGTTTTCCCATTCAGTTGGGAATGTCATCATCCCAACTGTTACTCACTCCATCATTTTTCAGAGGTAGGCTCCACAACCAGACTATGTTGAAGTGTCAACTTTCCTCAAATTGAACCAGGCAAGTGCAGCACAATGAGGAGCTGCGACAGTTGCGCTCACAGGTGCGGTGACTTAGATCCCAGGGAGAAATCTGGCGGCCCGTGGGACCTGACCCATTGGGAACGGAAACTCGAACTGTTCGAGCAGAGCAATCCAGTTGGGACCTGTGCTGAACCCAAAAAGAAACACGGAGTTTTTCATGCATCCCATTGGATTTGGGAAATCCATTGGGAATCCTGCCGTGCATAAAATTTTTGACAGCTCTTGGAGGCTCAATGTTAGTGGAAACCAATGCACGGCTGATTTGAGCAGCCGAGCTGCCCAAAGTAGAAGTTATGTCTTAGAGAATGTTCTCAAAATGCGTGTTTTCAGTGAAAATTAGAGCATAACTAGCATAACGGCCACTGATCGATGCTTTGCAAAGAGCTGTCAGTTCAATTCCCAGAGCAATGGCACCCCCGCAGCGGTTCTGAGATCAGCCAATCCGTACAGGATGCAAGCAGGGGCTCAACGGATTCTGTTGCAGTTTCAGGAAAGATGCTGAGGCCAAAATCTTGACATCAAGGATTATATTTGCAGAGTCCGCGAACTTCTGAAGGTTTTGGATGGTGCAATGGATCAGTCTTCAAAGGCTATTATGTTTCGCATTTTTTCGCTTGGCAATCTTAAAAGGAGCAGATGGCAGCGACATGATGCTGTGGGCGTTTGCACGGCTCAAAGATGTTGCAGTTGACGGCGCTGGAAGCGGTTCCGCCACTATAGTCCCTCAGATCCATTGTCAAACTGCGACGTCCTCACGTTTGATGTACGTTCAACCTGTGCTGGATATTGTGCCAGCCATTGTCGGACGCATCCCGCAATAAGGTCACAATCATGAAAAGCCAGTCGTTAGCCCAACTGCTTGGAGGATCTGATTCTGTTGCAACATCCTGTATACTTGAAGCTCAGTCAGGACTCATTGCCACAGCTGTAGGATTTGCAACCGAGCAATTCAACGGCTGTCACAACTTAGTCGAAGAATGTCGAACATATATCTTTTCCTTGGTGTACTGTACCTGTTTGAACTAAAGACACTTCAGCTTCTTCCTGAAGTGTCTTTAGTTTCTGTATGAGTTCGCTGAAAGATCTGAAGCTTGAACACATCCAGAGGTGGTTCTCCGAAATCGTCAAGGGCAACTGCGAAAAAAAGGTCCTTCCAACTTGTCCGGTCAGCATTTGTCAGCAGCATTTTCGACGTAGCACGGTGCCATCTGTTTTTCCATATAATATATATATATATATATATATTGGGATGATTATTCCCAATATATGGAACAAATATGGTGGATGGGAGGATTATTCCCAACCTTCCCAACCAGAGATGTTTTTCCGGGGGGCAACCGGTTGACCCCCAGCTGAAGGTGGCAGCCTCCAAGGATGAACAGGAGGTCTCACGGACAGAGCACGAGGCGGAGATCCAACGCCTGATGCTTGGCAGCTGAACTTGGTGGATTTTTTTGGATCCAAGATGGATCCAAGATGGATTTGTTGGGCTTGTTGATTGGGGTTATTTTCTGAATTTGAGGGGATAATATGGGATAATCCATGGTTGATTAATGATGGATATAATGGTTGAAACATGTTCATAATGGTCAAGAATGGTTGATTGGGGCCCCACCCTCCGGTAGACAGCCACATAACTATGGAAAGATCCACCCTTTTTTTATGGGAAAACTCACTATTTCTATGGCCATTCTTATCACTCAATATGGGATCTTATTGAACTGAATTTGGGGTGATAAGAATGGTTGGTTGATGATGGTTATAGTTTTTTTTATGTTACCATTATTGGATAAGCATCAACCATCATTAATCAACCATTCTAACGATTATTGATTGGGCTTGTTGATTGGGGTTACCCTCTGGTTGCGACTAACAGTTCGCCATGGAAAACATGGTTTGTTGATGGCCCATAAAAATAGATGATTTCCCCAGCGAACGAAACCTCCATTTATGGTTGGGGTTTTCCATGGCTATGTTAAATAACCAGATTGTATTTTCTGAATTTGGGGGGATAATGATGGTTGATTAATGATGGATATAATGGTTGAAAAGGGTTAATGGTCAAAAATGGTTGATTGGGGTTACCCTCTGGTAATTTCTTACAGTTTGCTATTGAAAATGGCCGAGTCGAAACAGTTGATTTACCTATTGAATAGCTGGTGATTTTCCATCGTTTTTGGTATGTTTACCAGAGGCTATTGACTCTGAATGGATGGGGTTGATGGAAACCGAAGCTTATCACACAGTCGCATATATTTCACGTCCCATAGGGGCCATATGGATCCATATGGGCCATACACATCACATAACTAATAGTTCAATGCAATGCAATGTTTTCTTTTGTTGGCAGGGCTGGTCATAATCCAACAACCCGATTGTTAAGCAGCATGACTTTAAGGGTTTGATGTTGCAGCAAACCGAGGAAGGAGGATGTGGAGACGCAGAAGTTGCTCCAGCAAGAGCAGGCAATAGGATCTTGTGGGGAGTTTTTTTTGGTATGTCTAATCTGCGGTGGATTGTGGATATTTCATGTCTCATGCTGGCGAAACCTGCTAGGCCGATCGGCTGTGAGTTCCGTTTGGTGTGGACTCTTTACCAGAGTTACAAATGGCTACCCTCTGGTAAACAGCCACATAACTATGGAAAGATCCACCATTTTCAATGGGTAAATCCACTATTTCGACTGGGCCATTTTCAATAGCTATGTTAAATTACCAGAGGGTAAGTGTCATTGGTCCTACATGGACATTTGCGGTTGTGAGCATCTGAACCTTTGCCAATTGCGACTGCAAACCCACTGCTGGTTTTCATCCCCACCTTCCGTTTGACTTCCACATCATCCATATCCTTGAAGAAGGAACTGAGACTAATAGATCATAATCAAGTCATAATCATCAGCTGATTATAAATGAACACATAAATATTCATATTACATTAGTTTTATGACACATAGTATTAATTTTATATAATCATATGTAACGTTTTTTGGCTGCTGATTTTACAACATTTTTTTGTAGCTATCCCCTGGAATCCAGCTAACCTCCATCGTCTCCATGGGAACTTCAGGATCCCATCCATGGAGGTACGTTACCATATTTCTGGTCATATTTTCTGGGGATATTCCCTGAAACTGAGGCCTGATATATGGTACCCTCTGATAATTTAACATAGCTATTGAAAATCACCATTTTTCATGGGTAAATCAACTGTTTCGACTGGGCCATGTTCAAGAGCAAACTGTTAGTTTACCAGAGGGTATATCCATTTCCATCCATTTCCATCCCATGAACTATGGAAAGATCCACCATTTTTAATGGTTAAATCCACTATAAATCACCATTTGTTAGTTAGTTTACCAGAGGGTAGGTATGGTAGGCACCTCCAACCTCCATCCCCCATTTGGCAGGCCACCAGCAGCGAGAAGCAGTCAGGAGAGATGAACGAAAGGATCCAAAGCCTTGAGGAGGACAGCTGCCTTCGGTCAGCGCCGGTTGGGCTTGGCATTGCCAGAACTAGATATAACTAGATCTATAACATCCTATAACTATTATATACATAATCATATATATATACATATATGGATAATTATATATATATATGGATAATTATATATATATGGATAATTATTTACATATGTTATACATATAGTTTTATATACATACACGCATACAGATATAACTTAGATATAACTATATAACACATATAACTGGATTAAGCAGGGTGTGGTGTATTTTTTGATGCTTTTCAAGTTAGTTGATGTGGTTTACCAAGTTATAACTTTGGGGGCACCACCTTGCACAACAGTCACAACGCCAGGAGAATGCTCGCTGGGGTCTCAAGTGCTGGTTGAATCCTATTTGTATTGGTTGAATTCCAAAAGTTGAAGTGTTGGTTGCAGGCCTGCTTTGGTGAAATGCCCACATGCCCCATGTTGGTCATACCTCGGTCGTATCCCTTTTCTTCTTGGTCATCAACAATCCACACTTCTGTTGTTTTTTTTGCCCTCTTCCCATCAAGCAATTCAAGTCACCCATCGGCCCCCAAGCTGAAGGAGGCCCATCAAAATCATTAAGTTGTGTCCAAACCGAGGTTTGAAGAAGCAACTTCAGGAGCAACAAGACCAGCACACCGCACAGCTGCAGGCGCGGCGGCGTCAAAGAGCTGTGGTAGTGTTGGAGTTTGGCCAGAGATGGATGATGTTTTTGATGGGAATTGGATTGGAGTAAAGTGGGGTAACTGTCCCAAAATTGAGATTTTCCATGATTGGCATGATTATGGGGAAGTAATTGGATATAATTCGACTGGGACCTGCAGGTCGGTGAATTGTCGATTACTTGTTCAGGTACATTGACGGTTGTCAGTTGGATCAGCGGTTTGCTTGATGAAATCGTGCCAGTTTGATGCTGTACAGTAGCTGCATTGATTGAAACAACCTGAGGTTCCGGCAGTCGTTTAGAAAAATTGCAGGCTCGATGGCAAGAAACAATGGTTTTCTGATGTTTTCTGTAAGTTTTGCCCGAAACCAGCCCAGAAAATCAAGGTTGCAAGTCCCATATTTGATAGGTAAGTAAGTAGTTTTGAGAAGTTGCCAGTTTGCACTTCTCTGAGTTTCTTGGAGTATTCAAAGGTGGGTCTGGAGAGCGAAAGATACAAGTAACAACAAGGGAAGTGATTTGAAGAACAACAACAAGAAGACACAATTATCACAAAGACGTTTATAATTAGTTACAAATATGGAGAGAGAGAGAGAGAGAATGGCAAATATATATATATATAGAGAGAGAGAGAATGGCAACAAGAATCAACATGATATAATCATTATCGGAATGCCAACAGTATACCTAATGATGCCAATAATTATGATATTATGATTTTGTTGGTGCCAAGAACAATGATGAGACTATGCCAATAGAACTCAATAGTGCTTGATGATTAATAGCTAAAGAATTATGACTCGCTAGTCATATAACATATTAATGAATTATATAGAATGTAAATAGCTATACCTGCATCCTCGAAAACGTGTTAGTTTTCTGCTTGGTCTGATTTTTTGGGGGTAGTGCCGTTTTTTTTGAATTCGAGCGTTCTTTGGATGTTCTTCTTTTTGACCTTCTAGATTGTTTTCTTGTGGCCTTCTAACATGCGTCATGGTCCTCCACACTGTTATTTGGTTTCGTTTTCAGAACGTTCTCTTCAATGACTCTTAGAACCAAATTGCCATCAAATGAAAGCGAAGAGTGATACACTCTTGAGTTAAGTACAACATGCCAAACAGGTCAATTGCAAGGTCATCTCAAGGAAGCTCATTTGGCATTTGGGAGTTCTGAGCCGCATCCTTCTCATCATGAAATCCAACTCGCAGCAGTGAAGCAATGACATTCTGAATCTTTCACATTGGGCAGCCTAGCCTTAAACAATTTTGCAACGGCACCAAAAAACGTAATTTGCCGACAAAAAGGCGTAAGTTGCCAGCGAAACGGCGTATTTTGTTGTGAGCAGATTGGTGTGTGTTTTGCTGTTGTTGGAAGGTATTGATCCTGAAGCTCAAATGACAGATTAAATGGACTGGGCAAATTCCAATGAAGCGACATAGTCGAATCTTCTAGAATTTGCTTTTGTGTTCAATCTAAGGGATGGAAATGATGGAAAGGCCAAGTCTCTGCAACGTTCTGGGGATGCATGATTTTTCTTTCACTTATTTTCACTTGGAGTTTGTTCTGACTATGAGTTTAAGAGGTTTCTTCCAAAGTGTCCAAGGTAATCAGTCGTGGGTTTCTGTTGTGGTATTTTACTTGATCTCTCTGGGGTTAGTGAAGGCTACGGGGTAGCCAACCAAAACTTCATGACAGAATAGGGAAGAACATGAAAGAGCAAAAATTAAGGAACACTTTTTGTTGTTGGGCGAAACACCCCCCAAAAAAAAACAATTTCAACTTCCAGCAATGATTTTGCACATCTGGAGGTTGTAGGTATAGAATGCCTATGAATACCTACTATAGCTATCACATTCACTAGAACAAAATACATAATAAACTTATTCATAGCCTGACTAGAACAGATATCACAGACTCTTCTAACCTGGGAATTTTATGTTTTTTGTTCATATCAGTGGCCATTTCAGCCGCAAAAATTGGGAGCTTACAGCTACGACAGGACCTGGAAGCAGCTCATCGCGATCAACTGACCTCGGCCAGCGAGCAACTGGAAACCCAGCGTCAGGTGCCTCGCGTGGACGTGGTGCGTCGCCGGAGATGGCTGGGGCGGTGGGATGAAAATTAGGGAAATGGCTAGGAAACCCCTAAAAAATATGGGCTGGAGAATGAGTGTCAAACTGATTTTTTGGGGAAAAGTGCAAAAAACAAGTTCTGGAAGCGCCTTCAGCTTTCGGAAGTGCTGGTTTCCGCAAAATGTGTGCCCAGCAAGCAGGGAACTTGTCCGTGTTGGCTGGAAAGCACCTATCTGGTCCGCCAGGCATCCCAAAAAATCACAAGAGTCATGTGTGTGTTTGGAATGCATATTCCATGATGGTCCAAGGGCATGTTCCCAGGGGCATGTTCCAAAGGTTTTAGTTATTGTTAGTTATTTTTAGTGTGTAGATCCTCCAGCTTCCATTTTTTTGCTTCTTTGCTGCTGAGTTCCCTCGCTTTTTTGTGGCCGGGTGTCTTTTTTGGCCAGGCGTACGTGCGACAGATGGAAGAGATGAGAGAGTCCCTGGATGAACAGCACCGGCAGGAGACCGCCATCGTCATGTCAATATGTTTTGATTATCATGATTGTGATATCATAATCATCATGATGATATAGACAATAGTAAACATAATAACCAACATCATCGTCATCATCATCATCATCATCAGCAGAAGGGTCCAAGCCAATGAAATCCAGGAGCAAGATTCCTTGAAGACGCAGGAACAAGAACAGGGTCGCCGCTTCCAGGAGATTTGGGGCAGTCATGCAGGATGGCTGGTGGTGTCATACGCTATGAATCAGTATGAAACTGTAAGGCTTCCAAAAAAGGTGGAAATGTTTCCGGAGGATGCGTTGGATGATCATGAGGTACAATGAGCTGATAATTTTCAGGTTTCCCACTTTTCTTTCTGAATTTAGGGCTGTCCACATCCATCCGGTATTTGAATTGCCATTTGGGGGTGTACTCACTGTACTCCATGTTCAGACACGCCAATCATTACAGTAATCATCAGAACTTATTTCTTGTTTATACACCATAGGACAATGCACAATCCCTATATCTATCTCATCGTGTATTCAGTGTTAATACCTCATGAATTACTAGCATTCCGTTCATACCCCATTAATCTCCCATTAATACCCCATAAATCACTAATCTGGTTGGTGGTTTGGAACATAAATGGATTATTTTCCCATTCAGTTGGGAATGTCATAATCCCAACTGACTCATTTTTTTCAGAGGGGTAGGTATACCACCAACCAGATTATTGTTCTAAGTCCTATGGTCAATAACCTAATATTTGAATAGTAATGGTTGATAACCTAATAATCCTATGGTTCATAATCCTATGGTTAATATTATTAACCATCATTAACCATATATGAACCATTATTAACCATATATATATCATTAATCCATAAATAACCATTAGTTGATATATATATATATATATGGTTATTATGGATGGTCATTATGGATTATTAGGTGAACCATATATATATATCAACTACCCTCTGGTAATTTAACATAGCTATGGAAAATCACCATGTTTAATGGGAAAATCCACTATTTCAATGGCCATTTTCAATAGCTATGTTAGTTTACCAGAGGGTAACGGTTAGCTAACTATGGATGGTTCTTCCATATTTTTCCCCTCCATCCCCCTGGGATCTCCCAACAAATGGCCCTCCCAGGAAGAGCTTCAGCAGCTCCGCGAGCGAGAAGCGCAGCAGCGCCAGAAACACGAGGAACAGCTGAAGGACATGAGGTGCAAACTGGAGAAAGAATGGTTAGTAGCGGTTAAATTCATGATAATGATATGGTTCAGAATGGATAAGAATGCAAGGAAAATTGTGGTTCATAATAGTGAATAATAGTGAATAATGATTATTAACCAGTACTACCCAGTAGTGATAATTTGACACACGCCTAATAGCTGTAACAGCGAGCACGATCTAGAGCACGATTTTTTGACTGTTACAGCTATTAGGACGGACCCAAGTGATAATGATGGTTAATAATGGATAATACTTGTGGTTCATAATAGTGAATAAAAGTGAATAATGATTATTAACAAGTACTAACCATTAGTAATATCCATCTATTAATTTACCATTAGTAATCATTAGTGAGAACAGTGATAATGATGGTTATGAATAATGATTACTAGTGGTTGATAATGGGAATTTGATAATGGATAATAATTATGATTAAATTATCAACCATTCTTGACCATCAGTAACCATTATTATCCATTATCAACCATCATTAAGCCTATTCAACCAGTATCAACCATCATTAATCAACCATCATTAATCAACCGTCATTAATCAACCATTATAACAGTTTTCCTTATTATTAATCATCATGGTTGATAATGGTTGATGAATGATGATTATAATGTTTGAAAAAAGTTAATAATGGTCAAGAACGGTTGATAATGGCTACCCTCTGGTCAATTGACATAGACCTTGAAAGTAAGCAAGTTTAGTGGAAACTGTTCTTCCAAGCCCTATCTCACCTATCTGGCAGGGTCTATGTTGATTTACTGGAGGGTAAGTTGTGTTTCAAGGTGGCATGCTGGGAAATCCCCTGTCAATAGAGGTTTTCTGGTTGGTGGTGACTGGAACCATGGAATGGATTATGACTTTCCCATCAAATTGGGAATGTCATCATCCCAACTGACTCCATCATTTTTCAGAGGGGTAGGTGTTGAAACATGTTGAAACCACCAACCAGATATATCATATTATAATAACCATCCATTAACCATCCATTAACCATCCATTAACCATCCATTAACCATCCATTAACCATCCATTAACCACCATTAACCATTGTAAATGATGGATTTTCCATTAACCACCATTAACCATGCATTAACCATTGTAGGCCCCATCCTGTAGAGGTTTTGAATTGTGGAAAAATCATCAGAGGATGTGCCAGCTGGCAAGCCATGGCAAGCCAGAAATTGGTTCCTGAGGAGATGATCCTTCGGAAAAATCTGCCAGAGGTTTACCTTAAAATTACCTTAAATTACCGGTAATTTATAGCTGATTTTCCCATGAAAACTTCCATTAAAACATGGATTTCCCATTGTGTGATTTCGTTGGGCACCCTTGGTATGGTAAACTAACTTTTACAGTTTGCGAACTGGAAAATGGCCCAGTCGAACTAGTTGATTTACCCATGAAAAATGGTGATTTCCCGTGGCTATGTTAAATAACCGGATGGTATAGTTTACCAGATATACCAGATAGTAAACATTAGTAAACTAACATAACTATGGAAAATCACCATTTTCAATAGCTATGTTAAATTACTAGAGGGTATCATTTCTCATGGTTTTCACGGTCCATCCCCTTGTTTCTTGGGAACGGGGATGGTTTTTTGTGGCGAGCTCCGTTCGAGCTCAACCGGGAAGCAGGGCGCGTGACGAAGAGAGACAACGAAAGATCCAAGAAGACCTTGGGGAGGCAAGCTGCGATTCGCATCGGATTGCTGATTTCACCTTTTTTGAACCAGGACAATTTGGACTTAAGCATCCACAATGGGGATTGAACCATGAAAAAAATTAGGATTTAACCGTGAAAAAAATGTGATTTAACAAAAACAGTGGGATTTGACCATCAAAAATTGAGATGTAACCATCAAAAATGGTGGCATCATGGGATTTAATAATATATGGTAATTTAATGGGGATTTTATCTTCCAGTAAACTAACATAATGAGGATATAGATGTAATGGAATATGATTATAGTTTTTTGGGACCACTTGGCTGATACTTGGCAAAAAGGGAGTTCCCTTCGACTGGAATGACTGAGAAGTAAATTCAAAACTGGTCGGTTCGGATAACAAAATAATGGGATAATAATAATGTTGGTTAATAGTAGTAATTCAATAATGACAATAAATTGGATAATAATATGTACATCATAGGGACAGTAATGTTAACTAAGAGGGTGATTTAATCAGGATAATAGATGATGAATTGACCCTTTGACCACTTTGACCATTAAACGTGGCAGCCGGGAAAGTCTCCGTTGACGCTGGATGCTAAATCCATGGGATAAAAAACGCTTCTCGAATCTGGTGAGGAAAATCTCCAGTCTCCACCATGGATTTACGGAGGATGTGGGTTTAAAAAAAAAAAAACAAGGTTAGCCTCTGGTAAACGTTTACATAACTATGGTAAATCACCATTTTTCATGGGAAATTCCCACTATAAATGGCCACTTTCAATATGGTAAATGAACAGTTCGACCCTGGCAGTCATTGGACTTGGAAGAAAATAGTTTCCTCTATAAAAATGTTGGTTATTTTCAGGGTCAAACTGTTTATTTTACCAGAGGGTACATTTGGAGTGATGATCTGATGATCTGATGATCCCTCCATATGGTGCATCAGCGTCACAAACCTGGTACCAGGTGCATCGTGCACCCGAGATTTGGATGTTTCGGTTGCTGAAAAACTTGGCCAGATCCACCTCCACAAACTTGTGATAAAAGGCCTTTCTGAAAAGCAGCAAGTTTTTCATGATTGTCCAGGTCGAATTTTCTCATGGCATTTGTAAGCTTGATCTCCAAGTGCTTCTACTAAAAAATCCCTATTATCCCTATTATCCTAAAGTTGAAGAATAGCAGTCACCACCATCCTGCAGAACACGCCGCCGGACCCGTGGCTGCCGTGGCTCAACAGGGGGTTGATGAACTGACTCGGGGGACTCGGGGTGCCTCTGTGCGGCGATGGCGCCATTGGCAAGCAAATCGGTGCTGTTGATTAATGGAAAGGATACCCTGCGGATGCTTCAGGAGGGATGGAGAGGGGCAGAATGCTGTTGTAAACTAGGGCGTTTCAACAGTTGAAGGAAGTTGACACATTTAACCATCCTCAACTAACATAGACCCTGCCAAATATAGGTCGTTGGAAGATGTTGGAAGACTACTTTCTTCTAAAAACTGACAACGTTGACAACTTTCAGGGTCCATGCAGGTTAATTTGGGAAATAGATAGATGGAAATAGTAGGTATCAAGATATCTATGTTGAAGCATCACATGACCACAGTTAGAATGCACACGCCTCAGGTCACATCTTTTGCCTCTTTTTTGGCATGTGTTTTGGGCATATGGATGAATATGTTCTTGATTTTTTTTTGGGGGGGTGGTATATAATAAGTAAATAAATCAATAAACATATTATATTATATGTATTATATTATATATTATTATTATTACACAAGACACCGAAAACTGTTTCCAAGAGCTCGTTCGTCATAGATTCTATAGGAGGCGTTGCGCGGTTGCGGCTCCCTGACAGGATGAAAAGTGGGAGGCTATGATGGAGCCACTCGGCTGGGGTGAACCCTTTAAAGTAAACATGGCTGGCTCCAAAATCCGAAAAAAACAAATGGTGGTTTAGTGAGATTTATACCATTGATAGCTCCATAAATGGTGGTTTTTCCAGATTTTTTTACCACTTTACATGGATTCAATGGTGGTTTCATGGTTTTTTTTTACCACTTTACTAATGCTGGAATTCTCCAGCCATATTTGATGACCGGAGGGCCCTCGGAAGTGGCCACTCCCAGGTTGATCACGGTCATCCCCAAGATCAGCACGGACAGTGGGGCCCAGTGGGGCCCGGTGGGGCAGCGGAAATCGATGTCGGAATTTCTTGGAGACTTTGGGGATGTCAACTTATTGCTGGTTATATTTTTGGTTACATACTAGATATGGATAGATATGGTGCTTTCGCAAAATAGGGGTACCCCTAAATCATCCATGTTATTTTTTGATTTTCCATTATAAACCATCTATTTTGGGGTACCCGCATTTATGAAAACGCCCATATAATTTATACATATGTATATATATATACACATCACTCATGATGGAATTTCATTTGGATCCCCCATGTCATCCCCATAAGAAAACATGTGGAGCGCAGGACAGCTACGTGGACTTGGCTCAGGGCCGCTTCGGCCCCTTCCGCGCACACGTGGCGATTAAGATCCCGCTCTGGGCAGCACCATGGCTGTTCCAACATGGCATGTTCCATTGTCATCGTTTCCGGAGGGTTTTATACAGCGGATTTTCTGATTTTATGGTTTTCCAGTCGGTTCCAGTTGTACATCTGAATATGATCTCTCCTGATGAGTTCCACGACATGATGGTCGTTTGAGTTTCATTCCAACACGCCAGAGAAAGATGACATCCAAGTTGCAAACTTGGCAGCTTGGTTGACTCACTTTGGGATTTGCTTTGCCACATTTTTTTCCAAGTGGCATTTCCCAACTGTTTCAACTGGCTGCTAGATCAATAGGGTAGCACCCCCCATCACACCCCAATTGAATCCAAATTGGTAAATGGTGCCGTTTGAACACACAATTGAGCGCAACCCCCGCTTGTTCAACATTTTTGCAACGTCAAAATGATCTTGCTTCAAAAGCTCATTTTTGTTGCTAAAACCACCTGACAACCCCTATCTTTCGAGGCCCTGCAGATGGAAGAACATCAGCACTGCAGCATCGAGCTGCCCAAGTGGATGGAGGACAAAAAAAATCTGGCGATGGATATGACTCAAACTGACTCAAAGAAATGCTTAAACTGTTTACTTGGATATAGGATTATATTTGGATATAGACAGTTGGATATAGATATATGCTTATATATGTTGGTATGATATAGGATATATACTTGGATATAATATTTGGATATAGGATGATATTTGCATTTATTTTTTCAAAGTTGGATGTTAGTGAAATAGATCTCATGTTTAAATATGCATGGTTTTTGGCCAATGAACAAGAGCGGGGGGCGATCTGGGAGTGTTTACCCTCAATGAAACCGTGGAATGATCACCATGGCTGCAACATCATCATTTTCAACAGAAAAATATAGAAAAATCATCGAACTAAATAAGGATATCATGGATATCCAGTTTCAACTTTATCCAAATTCATCCAATACACACACACATAATTATATACAGTATATATATATATACACCCATATGAATTTATCTATATATATATATTATATATACATTATAAATATGTGTTTACCTGTATACATCTATCAATATATCAGGCATTGATTTCTGAAAACTTTCCAACCGTGTCTCCATGCCCTAAACGGGTCATGGCTAGCCGCTAGGAGGAGGAGCTGAAAGCTCTGTGTGCCGAAGAACGGGCCCGGCCAAAGGACTTCGGGAACTCGGTGCACAGGCGGAATTTTTATCCGAGAAACATGGGGATATACCCGGTAAACATAGAAAAAACGATGGAAAATCACCATTGAAATAGTGAGTTTTCCCATGAAACATGGTGATTTTCCATAGTTTTTTATATGTTTACCAGAGGGTAACTATCGGATATAACCCAAATATGATCGGAGATGGTGATAGAGAGATAGAGATCCTGAATATGAGCACTTTTTTGAGCAACTATAATGAACATATAGTGGTGTTGTGATGTGTATGTTGTCATTGGCTGATGTGTTTCATGTTTGTTTCATGACTTCATTTCTGGGAAGAGAACGGGGACACGTCGCATATCACATGAAACTCGCCAAAAGTGCCAAACCATTGGGGAAAAAACCGTCAGATCTGCAAATTCTGGTGGTTCATTGCTCAACTGATGGGCTGCTCCAGGCATTACATGGAGATTGCCTTTGCATTGCTGCCTCGTCCGAAGGTGGGCTTGTTGAAATTGGATTGTCGGAATCCGGGTTCCGGAAAATGATGGAAAATGTGTGAATCGAACCATCCTTGAGCTGGTGGTTAGAATTTGTTTTATAGTTTCCATCCCTGCAAAACGGAGGGAAAAAAAAAGGATGAAAAGGTTTCACAACGATCCCCTGCCTCCTCGTAGCCACTGACTCGCCGCAGATGTCTCGGAAGTTGCCACCAAAATGTGCCAGCACTGCTGTTCATTGCGGGTCTACTATACAGTAGAAGTATGGCCAATTTCCTCGACCAAACCTAGGTGACTCCTAGAGTTCGAATCGTTAGAAAGCGTGGAACACGAGCTCCGTAATTACGTCACAAATCCTACTGGCATCTACTGGCGAAGTCATCATTTGCAAAGCCAAAAAAGACACCAGGATAACTAGGCTGCTTGAATTGGGCGGGTACCATTTCAAAGGCATGACTGCTGTATATTGCTGTATCACCTTTCGTGGGTGATTCCTCTGTTGGGATTAAAAGATTAACACATTTTTTTTTAATCATATTAAATCACCAGTGACCGATAGATGGAATCATCAAGTCTAGCCTTTTTTGATGCATCAGGATGATGTGATTCATGTTTTATTTTCCACCACATTTGTTTTAAAAAAATGTCCTTTTCATGACCGGGGTATAATCTCACCCCGGGATATCCCATATATCCATATATGTTTAGTAAACACATGTACCAAATCACCCCAAAAAATCCAATCCAAGGTTGTTTTGATATCCCATATCTTTAAGAATAACATGTACCAAATCATCAAACCGGCCCAATTTTTCTGGATCAGTCGTTCTTCGGTCACCTTCGGTCCCTGCGACCGACGACTCGACGAGGTCTTCGGCGGAAAGGAGAAGTACCGACAGAGGATTCTGCTGCTGCTACGCGAACTCATTGACGCTTGATCCATCTTGATCATGATCCCATGAGGCCCCCGGCAGCCGGAAGAACATGTGACAGTTATAGCATTCTGGTGCTTCGGAACCATGGGATTTGTTTCATGACTTTCCACAATATATTGGGAATTTCATGGAATTTCATCATCCCAATTGACTTAAACTCCATCATTTTTCAGAGGGGGCAGGTAGAAACCACCAACCAGCATTATACCATATGATACCCTCAAAAACGGAACCTAACTATGGAAGAAATATGAAAAAATTGGATGTGGAGAGAGGATATAACCAACCATTATTTGGATGTAGTGGTGATATCATCGGATATAGCCAACAATACGAATGGATACCCTTTGGCAATCCAACAAAACTATGGAAAAAAAAAAACGGCCCATGAAAGTAGATTCGATTTCCCGTTTGAAGAAATGGTATGAAATCCAGCAAGACTTGTTTGATCTTGTTTGATTACCCTCTGGTTATGACTAACAGTTTGCCATGGTATAGATGGCCCATAGAAATAGATGGTTTACCTGGGTTTACCTATTCAAAATGGTGATGTTCCATGGCTATGTTAAATAACCAGATGGTACCAGAGGGTAAACACAATCCACTTGGGGGTTCCTTAAGCCATCAGTACTCCCAGTTATCATCTTCTTGGTCGATTGTGTAATCGAGAAACCAATGGTTTTGGGGACCAGTTTAAGAAACCCCCCTTTATTTATAATGAACCCCTGTTTGATTGGCTATGAAACAGGGGGTTAGCTATCTACCTCGTGTAGTGGGCACAAATACAGCCCGCAAGAAGGAGGATACCAGATACCTATATGAGTATTGTGAAGAAGCCAGGATAACCATGACCATCTCCAATCTGTGCTTTATGATATTGGACTTACTTGGGATGATGCGTAAAAGCCACATGCTATGGTTGACAATGGGGCATGGTTTTGTGATTGCCCAATAGGATCAACAGGGGGTTAATATGGGTTAATCATGGGAAACTTCTCATGTTCCCCAAGGTGTCCCAAGCACGACCCGTGGATGTTGCAGCCAAGGAGCTTCGCAGGAACAAGATCTTGGAGGGTTTGAAGCCACTTGGTCACCAATAGCTATGCCGAAAAACCAACCGAAGACGCCTTCAAGAGCAGAAGGCTGGACAAAAAAAATCACCCTTGAGCCAAGTGTTCATGGATTACCATCTGGTTATTTAACATAGCCATGGAAAATCACCATTTTTAATAGGTAAACCATCTATAAATGGGCCATCTATACCATGGCTATGTTAAACAACCAGATGGTACATGGCCTATTGAGCCCTTTTCGTTGAGATCCACCTTGGGAAGTTTTACACACCCCCATTAGAAAGATGTGTCCCTGGCCAACGTGTGCGGTATCTTGGGGTGTTTTGCTGAAGATTCTCTAATTTGGCTGGGAGTTACTGAAAAAAGATGCAGATGATGTGTCTTTGATTTTATTGTTCAGCCTGAAAAAACTTGGCCCAATGTTGACAAGTCCTACCTCGCAAACAATGATCCCAATTGACTTTCAGATGGGATTGAGTTCTGGAGTGAAGATTTTATTAGCGGTTACCTTTATTGTGAAAAAGGATATAAAATTCAGTTCAGTTCTGAACCCAATGTATAAATAAGATCTAATGATTCTAATGTAAATCCGTGCTTATGCCTTGTTTTTGTTCGTTGAGTCATACCTGTATCCATTGATTATTTGCCTTCGGAGCGCCACGTTTCAAACGCGGTCGTAGCACCTGGAGAGTCCGAGTCCATGTTCACACCATGTTACACCCAACGATTTTTCCACAGCAAGGCTTCACAAATAGCGACATAATCTTTTAGTATACCCTCTGGTTATGACTAACAGTTTGCCATGGTATAGATGGCCCATAGAAATAGATGGTTTACCATGTTTACCTATTAAAAATGATGATTTTCCATGGCTATGTTAAATAACCAGATGGTATATATTACACATATGCAGTGCATAAAAAGCCTATAGAAACCCATAGGTCTGGGGAACAAAGCTCCGGCGCTCAGGAGCTTTGAGGCGACAGATTCGGAGCTAAAGGCAGGGCACCCATGGCCATATGCTTTGGGAATCTCATGGTCATCCATCATCAAGCAATTAGTTTGAGATTACCATTGTGGGATGGAGGACCATAAACCATAAATACCATAAGACTTGACCATGGCACATGTCATCTTTTTGGCTCTAGAGTGGGTTTTAAAAAAAACTGGAGTAGGTTTCAACAAACTTTCGTGTTCTCAGGAGGTGACCAAAAATATGGGGCTGATGTTTTTCCATATTGGGACATGGTGAAATCTTGGAAGGCTGGTGCATTGGGGTGGCCTTGTAATTATACTATATATATTATAAGTGATACTGTATCACTGTACTATACTATATTAATATTACACTTAGTATAGATTTACAACATGGAAAAACATAAGCCCCATGTTTGATACTAAGTGATACTAAGTGTAAATCCAAACAAAGTGGTCAGTTACCGCGTTTCAACGTTCGAATTCCGAGCCGCGAAACAGTGGTGCTTCCGAGCCGCCTGGGGCACCGCCTTGAACCCATGGGAACCAATCACATCCTCCGGTGGTGTCCCCCAGTTCGATCTAATGTGGTTAAAACAATGCCATAACCCACCCAGGACTGGGAATGGTAACTTTATAGCACCTATAAAAATGGTGATGACTGGATGGTAAACATATATGGCATTGTTTTAACCACATTACCACCATTCCATATATCATTCCCATCAGTTATGTTTCCCAAGCGAACCCAAAAAAAACATCCCGATCCAATCCCCAATCCAATTCACCAGTGGAGACGGAGAGAAATTCGATTCCTATCAACCATCATATAAACCATATACCCATGATTCCCGAAAATTACCCATGATCATAAATATAGAGTCAATAACAACAATAACCATATCATAAAAACCATCAAGCATATCATAAATGGATTCCCCTATATTTTCCTATATTTTCCTGCATATCCTCATGGATTCCCCACCTTCCCAGGTGAGCCACATGTCCGCCGCTGAGCTCAGCGCCTTCCGCACACGTTCCCTATGCTTCCTGGACTCCATGTGCGACCTGCTGCGCAACCGGGCGCTGGAGCTCACAGAGGAGGTGCAACCGGTGGTTTGGTGAACTTGACCATCAAAGACCTGGGAAAATGAGGAGAAATGATGAGAAATGATGAACCAACCAGATATGGTTTATTGATGTTTATTGGTGATATATCTATAGATACTATAGTTGATGGGATTTTAATATATGATAGTAATATAGTACATGTTTACATCACTGGTTGGTGGTGGCTGGAACCATGGAATTGTATAACTTTCCATTCAGTTGGGAATTTCATCATCCCAACTGACGAACTCCATCATTTTTCAGACGGGTAGGTGGCTCAACCACCAAGCAGTGAAAAATGTGGATTTAAGTTTGAACAAATTCATTTGAAGCATGAAAAAATAGGATCTAATGAACATGAATGATGGTACAATGGAAATATCTTGGAATGGTAAGAGGAATTACATATTGGGATGGTACTACGATGTACTAGGGCTCCTTTCTAGTAAGAAAAATTGTCCCAAGAAGATAGTGAAGTATTATTTCAGTGACGAACCACGATTCCTTAATGATTGGGATAATTCCTCCTCATTGCAGCTTATTGAGTTACGAAAAAAATGCCCCGAAGTAAAACTGAATATAAGATGACGTAGCTACATAGTACTATAGAGGTATCTGTTTGAGTTGGGAAAAGTGAATAGATAGTAAACATATACAGTATTAGGCAAATACTATAGATAGTAAACATAGCATTAGCATAACACGGTGGTGAAAAGTTATATCAGCTATGTAACGTCAACCCCGGCTTTTCAAACCCCAAACGGCTGTTTCATTGGGGAGGTACCATTTGAGTATATTTGAGTATTAGATTACCACTATTTGGGGAGCACACCACAATTCATAAACCACTGGTTGGTGGTTTCAAACATGAATGTCATTTTCCATTTCATATATGGCACTATCTCCATTGAAGACCCCATGACCTTTCCTGTTCGGCATGGTTTTCAGTTTGAAGTAGCGCTTTCATCACTTGATGAGGAATGGGATGTTGGTGTTAACCTAATCCAGATCGGCTTTGCCCAAATCAACAGTCAGATTCTCAAGCTTGACCATCTAGTGAAGTCAGCCTATGGGCAGTTTCCCATGAAGTGCCCTGCACGAGATGCCTGTGACCACCCACAGTCCATCTCGGTTACCATCACCCCACCTCTCAGAGATGGCACCCCGGCCGATTCATTTGCGTTTTTGACGTTTCATTCCGTGTTGCAGAGTGTATGGCAGCCGCTGTCTCTTTTGTCAGCGCGACAGCATGATCCTTCGGTCACTGTCATGACGTGGTTCCTGGATCATGTACGACTCCCACAATGCTTTGCGGCTAGGCCTGTGCAGTTGTATCAAGACCCTGAAGAGTGGACACACCTCATTCGACAGGCATGGGTTGATTTTGTCCTCCAGGACCAACCGCTGCATTTTCACATTGTACAGCCAAACCCTGTTGACATGGAGCTTGATGCAGCAGCGCACATCCTTCTAGTGCAGCAGCCCATCGATGGTTTTGACTCGATTCTTGTGAGCGTCATTGACTCTGCGTTTCAAGGACTACCCCCTATTAGACATGCATCTATGGCGCCACAAGTCCTACCGTATCAAACGCTGTTGGGTATTGCCTACAGAGACCAGGATTGTCAGCATGCGCACCATACCTGCTCTGCATGGGTAGGAAACAGAGAAATTTTGCAGCATGAATTTGTGCCACTCACAGATGGTTTATCGGTGACTGTGGCCATTCATCGCCACATCATGCCGCCCCCTGATGAGCCTGACCCTTGGGATTCACAGACACCGAGGATTGACCAGGACCGTCCTTACCTATCGGGTAGAGGAGAAGTTGATTGGCCTTTGCACCTCAGTGATGCTCAATTGACCACAGCTTTGAACACACATTTTTTCCCTCGGCCCCAGGCACAGGTGATCACCAAACAACGCAACAGAGTTACGCTCTGCTTGGAAGCAGTTCTCCCCGGCCCCCCAGACATGCGATGGAGCCAATTGAACCCCGATGTCTCGGCGATTTCATGGTTTCAGCAACAAGATTGGGCCATATACTGTGCTTCCTTTCCAGTGACACTGCCACACCCAATCCCTGAGGGCATCCATGTTCACCCATCCACTTATCATGCATTGCTGGATTTGCCTCTAGAAAGTGACCCCAGTACCTGGCGGTGGGAACTTTATGTTGACGGTTCACAAAGTCATGGTGCAGCAGGATGGAGTGTGGTTGTTGCGTGCACAGACAGAGACCGCTCCTCACTGTGGGGATGCTATGCAGGCCAAGTCCAACTTGCACCGCAGCACGAACAATGGATTGGTGCAGACTGCCAGGACAATATCTCAGCTGAGCTCACCGCTTTCATTGTTGCCCAGGATGTGTGCATGCGTTTGCTGCCAGGCAGGCCCACAATCATACGGCCAGACTTGCTGCTCAGCCAGATGATTGCGACCTATGAGCACCGCTTTCATTGTTGCCCAGGATGTGTGCATGCGTTTGCTGCCAGGCAGGCCCACAATCATACGGCCAGACTTGCTGCTCAGCCAGATGATTGCGACCTATGAGCAAATCACCAATGCTTCCCCAAAGCTGGCACAATTGTGCCGTGTCCTGTCCCGATGGTTGGGCAAAAATACCAAGGTGGACCAGGTCCCGGCCCACAAAGGTCATCCTTGGAATGAATTGGCAGATTCCATTGCGCGCTGGGCGGCAGAGCAAGAGCCAGCAAGTCTCCCACCTTGGGCCTCACCGGGAATTCATGTACTGGCTGGTGCCCCACATGACTTGCATTGGTGTTGGTTGCAGAACGCTGCAGATTGCGTACAGCAGTGTTTCCCACCAATAGTCCAAAATGAAATTATGCAATTCCCTCCCTCTGAGGTGCAACCACCAACACCCTTACCTCCAAGGTCAGAGGAAGCCACATGGAACACTGTTGCATTCTCATGCGCGACTGTCAATGTACTGGCGCTTGACCATTTCCAGCACCAAAAGAAATCGGAAGACAAACAGGGGCCCGCACTGCCCGCCTTGACACTCAGCTCCATGCCAAAGGAATCGCAGTGATCGGCATCCAAGAAGCCAGAACCAAGCAAGGGCGCTACCGAAGTGAGCATTATCAGATTTTCTCTGCTGGCTATCAAGGACCTAACCCGGTCTGCCTAGGGTGTGAGCTTTGGATTCATCGCTCTATGCCGCTTGCCATGTTGCCAGATGGATCCCATTTGACTTTTCGGGACTTCAGAGTATCCACCCAATGGGCTGACCCCAGACGTATGTTCGTCCTTTTGGAAAATCGTGATCTCGTTTTGTCGTTTGTGGTCTTACATGCCCCATGCCTCAGCAAAAATAAAGGTGATGGATCACGCCCAATTGATAAGCTTGAGGCATGGTGGAAAGAAACCGCACAGCTTTTCAGGACGCATGCCACGCATGATTTGATTTGGGCATTTGTTGATGCCAACGCTCCGGTCAACCAGGAGTTTCACCCATTTGTAGGTTCCTTGCATGCCGAAGCGTTGAACCCACAGGGGCGTCTCTATGGTAATTTCCTTGCCGAAGTTGGGCTCTTTGCCCCATCAACGTTTGAACATTTCCATGATGGCCCTGGGCATACCTGGACGCACACCAATGGCTCCAAATACAGAAGAGATTACGTTTTAGTCTCCCCCAAGGTACTCGACATTGTGACTCGTACCCATGTATTGCACGATTTCGACACTTCGTTTTGCCATGATGATCATATCCCCCTCTGCCTCTGTGTCAAAGGCCTCCTTCAAAAAAAGGTGGCATGTCTTGCCAAAGACGATTGGGACGAGCAGGCCTTCCTTTGTCCGGTCAGAACACAGGCATTCCGACAGGCACTTGCCTCGCTGCCCATTCCAACATGGAACATAAGTGTCGAAGCGCACACTGCATGGTACGAGAGCCAATTGCTGCAACTGGGGCGGCAATTTTTCACAAAGACGGTAAGGACCAAGACCAGGCCTCAGATCAGTGCTACCACTGTTGCTGCAATTGCCATGAAAAGGCACCTGCTGGATTGTGCCAGGTGTTGGAACCTTACACACACAGCTGAATTCAAAGAAGTCATCACTCCGATTGAAAAACAGGTCCGCAGTATGGTCAGAAAGGATATTGGTATTTTCTTTGACCAGCTCTTGGTGCACCTGCAAGAATCGGACAGTTTGGGTGATTTGCGAACTGTCTTCAGAATCCTGCTGCGCTTGGGAGGAAGGAACAGCAAAAAAACCAGTGCGTTGAGACCGCTACCAATGCTCAGAAAACCTGACGGCTCCTTAACAACCACCTTTAGTGAGCGTCAATGGGTTTGGATGGATCAGTTTGCAGCCATCGAGGCTGGAACGACAATGCCGCTGCCTGAGTTAGCCAACCTCAATATGCAGCCCCAGGGTCACCCTCTTGACCTTCAAGAGCCATCCTCCTTCCCCACAGTCTGGGACATTCAGCAAGGTCTCCGACGCCTGAAACGAGGACGAGCCCCGGGACCCAATGGGTTGTCGCCTGCATTGCTCGAAGCCGGTGGTGAGGTCTTTGCTCGTCAGTTCCTTACGCTGGCAACCAAATGTGCTGCCCACTCACAAGAGCCGCTGTCCTGGAAAGGGGGCAGACTCTTCCCACTCCATAAGGGAAAAATGCACCCGGCCGATCCTTTAGGATACAGATCGATTTTTGTGTCAGATTTCACTGCCAAACTTTACCATATGACCATGCGAAAACCCCTTGAGGTTGCCTGGAATCGTAGCCTTCATTCCCTACAATTTGGGGGCCGCAAGGGACAGGGCACCGACATGGCACACCACACCCTGCAGACTTTCTGGCACTGGACGCAGGCACGCCACATGCCATCAGCCATTGTTTTTTCGATGTGAGGGCGGCCTTTTACAGTGTTCTTCGAGAAGCGCTCTTCCCAGGGGATGGTGACATTGATGCACTGCTTCGCACCCTCAACACCCTTGGCATCCATGATGAAATGGCCAGGGTTGTTGCTGCCAGTGTAGACCAAGACTTTGCACTCACAGGCCTTTCCCAGCACATGATCACCGTCCTACAGGATGTCATGACGAACACGCATTTTTATGTTGAGGGTATTGCCGATCCCTGTCGTACGAGACGTGGAACCAGGCCTGGCGACCCCATTGGCGATATCCTTTTCAACATGGTTATGTCATGTATACTCCGAGACGTCAAAGCCACCATGCTTGCCTGCACTGACTTGACCTGGTTTGGTGACCCGACTCCATGCGCCGATTACATGGAGTCCCAACCTCTACCGGCAGCCGGTTACTTTGACGTCTCTTTCGTTGATGACTGTGCTTTTGGTATCCATGGCAAGACCAACCAGCAAGTCGAAGACGGCATCAAAGCCATTGTCCAAGCCGTGACCTGTGCAGCCAAAAACCGAGGGCTTGTGATAAACTTTGAGCCAGGAAAAACAGAAGTACTGTGGCACATCGTTGGGAAGGGCTCCAAGGAAAGGAAGGCACTTCTCGCAGCTGACGACTCCGAGTTGCGATGGCAGACAAAAGAAGGACCAATTGCCCTGCGCACAGCCCATGCTTACAAACACCTTGGAACATGGATTCAAGCAGGCAATGTTCATGGAAAGGAGATCCAACAGAGGAGCTCAATGGCTAGAGCTACTTGGGGGGTCTTAGCTAAGTCCTTTTACAACAAATCGTATGTGTCCCTGCCAACGAAAGCCAAAGTCTTCCAGTCAACTGCCTTCAGCCAGTTCATGTACAATGCGCACATTTGGACAGGGGTCACTGCCAAAGAGTGGGACAAGTGGCACAATGCCCTCCGCAAGCCCTTCTGCCTCATGGTCAGAGGTAAGCTTAGAGGCGCCAACCCTCTCCATTTCGATATGGATGCGGTTTCTGCACTTGCAGGAGTGCTTCCACCCAGACATGCGCTTCAGGTAGCCAGACTGCGATACCTCAAGCGCCTCACCAGGGAATGCCCACAGGCCTTGTGGAACCTCCTTATGGCAGATGCTACATGCAAGGACTCTTGGGTTGAAGGGTGTGCAGAAGCTTTCCATTGGTTCCGCACCCATTATGACATCCCCTTTGCCCCGCAATCAGACAAGCTCGTGCATTGGTTGCCCTTTATTGCTTTGGACGTTTCATGGAACGGGCGCCTCAAACGTGCCGCGTATTCATGCCTCCAGTATTGCACAGCAATAGCAGAAAGACAAATTTTTCACCGAAGGTTCTGTGAATCATTTGAAGCAGCGGGAGGGGTGTTGCCAGTTTCATCCTCCCCAGTGCAGGAAAAATGGCAGTGTGATCTGTGCACCCGATGCTTCCCATCCAAACGGGGCTTAGCTTCTCATGCAGCCAGAGCGCATGGCTACAAGAGAATTGAAAGGTTCTATGCCACTCATGCCACCTGTGATGCTTGTGGAAAACACTACCATGCCAGAGCGAGATTGCTCATGCACCTCTATGACTGCCCAGACTGCCTTCTCACCCTCCAAGCCTGTTTCCCCCCGGCCACCGAAGAGGAAGTTGACAGATTGGATGAGGAAGGAAAGCAATATGCCAGTGACATGAGGCAGCAAGGCTGGTGGAAGACGAAAGCTTTCCTCCCACCGGCCCGTATTTTTGGTCCCCTCCTGCCGGCGCACGACACACCAGACGCAGCCGCATTTAAGGCCAAATGGGCTGTGCGTACCACGGTGCCGGGCACGTCCTACCAAGAATTCCAAGGACGGTGTGCAGTTGCTGAACCACCGGCCGACCCCCAGGTCCTCCTGTTTGCCGAGGATTTCCCGTCATTTCTCATGCAGGCGCCACCAGGGCCCAATGCCGGAGGAGGAGCTCTGGCACAAGCTAACCTGGCACGGGAGACGGCCAGACTACACATCAAGTGGCTAGTGTTCGTACATTTTTTTAGTGGATTTCGCCGACCACATGATTTGCACGCTGTCATTGAATCGACACAATTGGAAGGCACCTCACAGCTTCTGGTCATTTCAGTTGACATGTGCATGCAAAAAAAGGATGGCAACTTAGCCACTGACACTGCCACCAACTGGTGGATCAACAGAGTGCGGGCCGGGCAGGTGGTTGGCGCGGGGGGAGGACCCCCCTGCGAAACTTACACCGCGGCAAGATTCTTGCCTGATGGGCCCAGACCCCTGAGGACAGGTACACATCCCGATGGACTGCCAGCTCTCACCGCCAAGGAATGGGCGCAGCTACGGGTGGGTTCGAGGCTTGTCTTCTTCATCTTTGAGGTTTTGCTGGAACTGGCCAAATATGGCGGATGTGGCTTCGCTGAGCATCCACAGTGGCCTCTTTGGGCGCGCAAGTTTGACCCAGCCAGTATATGGTCCTCTTACCAAGCAAGATTGTGCCGCACTCTCAACTGCTTCAGTGCTGTGAGCTTTGACCAGTGCGTAGTAGGGTCACCTGCTAAAAAGCCAACCACAATTTTGCTCCTCCGTCTTGACTCCTTTCGGCATGAGATCCTCCAAACGGGATCTGGGGGGCGCTGCAACCACCCCCGTGGAGCGCATGAACAATTGCAGGGTCGAAACGAGCAAGGGGAGTTCCGAACTGCGGTGGGCAAAATCTACCCAGTAGGCCTGAATCAGTCTTTAGGTCGAGCCGTGTGCCGCTTTGTGAGTCTGACATTTGACCACAAGTTTTTGCACTGTCAGCTCCCTGATGACTTTTCTTGTTTTCAGCAGCAAATGTTCGAAGACCATGGTAAGGTACAGCCTGATTACCATAAGGTCAGCACTACATAGTGCTTGTACAAAGCTGCTGTAGCATGCATGCGACCGAGTGCCAATGGGCACAGCAGCCACAAAGTGACAAAAGTGTCATCCTTCCCATTGCAGACTCATATTTTTCAAGATGGTTAAAACCGCCAACCAATTCATAAACCATGGTTTATGCTCTGGTAATTTAACAGTTCGCTATTGAAAATGGCCCAGTCGAAATAGTTGATTTGCCCATTGAACATAGCTATTGAAAATGGCCCAGTCGAAATAGCTGATTTACCCATTGAACATAGCTATTGAAAATGACCCAGTCGAAATAGTTGATTTACCCATTGAACATAGCTATTGAAAATGGCCCAGTCGAAATAGTTGATTTACCCATTGAACATAGCTATTGAAAATGACCCAGTCGAAATAGTTGATTTACCCATTGAACATAGCTATTGAAAATGGCCCAGTCGAAATAGTTGATTTACCCATGAAAAATGCATGGTGGTTTTCCATAGTTATTCTATAGCTTACCAGAGGGTAGAAAAATCCAGGGTTGACATCATCAGAGATATTTTTTGGTTCTGCTACCAGCTGGGATGGTCAGGAGCTGGCTCCTGAAGCACAAGCCATGGAAACGGAGGACAGTAGCCTTCCCATTCCGCCTTGAGATGCGAGCTGTGCGAGCTGCGAGAAATTCATGGATTGACACTTTAGGAAAAACTGTGGAAAAAACGCTGGATTTCATTGGTGTTAATTTTCATGGGAATTATAGAAATGCCTTGGTTGGTTGAATCTGTTTTCTCACATGTTCAACCATTGCCAGCTAGGATTGAACGTGTCTCAAGTGGTTTGAAATATGCATCTGATATCATTTGATTGTCCAATCCTAGCTGGGATGACGATGTCATTTCATGTGCAAAGTCTAAGGGATGAAAAAACCATGCTGCATCAAAGCGATTGGTTTAGCCAGATATGGATGGATGGTCGTCTTATGATAAGTGTAACTTATGTGTAATAGTAATGGTGACTTAGGACGATGCATGAACACCGTAGAAGTCGCGAGTCATTCATTAACAATTAATACCCAATGATGATAGAAAGACTAATTAGTGACAATGATGATGATAGCAACACTAGTAGTATAATGACTATTTCAAGAAAGAACATACAATAATTACTAGACTATCACCAATCAGTCAAAGTGATAATGTTATTGTAGCATTGCCAATCACCAGCCGAGAGAACTTGATTTGCTTCGCATCACGGGCCCTGTAGAGATGAGAAAAAGCCGCACTGGTGAAGGAGTTCGATAGCCATGGCTAATTCATAGAGGATTTATGTTGACTTAGCGTTTTTGAAAATGGTGATTTTCCACAGCTACGTTAAATTACCACAGGGTATATCCCCACATCGCAATTTTCATGTGGAAAAACGATGATCTGGGCCGCTTTATTTTCCAGATGAAACCCTGAGATTCATATTACCCATATTGACAGGATTTTTTTGACGATTATGACATGATTAATGACATTGATTTGAAAATGTTACTTTTTGGAATTTTTGAATTGGGATTTTGGTGTCCCATATCTATCATATCTTCATTTTTTATGTACCTTGGCATCCGAACCTCGCCCCGATGTCTGTGGGATTGTCATTGAACCAATGACCCGGGACCCGGGGGGACCGCGGGACCGCGCCGCGCTTCGTTCGAGCGCGTGGAAAAGCTTGGAAGATGGCGCCAAGGGGATGAATTAGTACTGCTTGGTGGTGACTGGAACATGAAATGAGGAGAAATGATGAACCAACCAGATATGGTTTATTGATGCTTATTGGTTATATATCTATAGATACTATAGTTGATGGGATTTTAATATATGATAGTACATGTTTACATCATTTTTACATCACTGGTTGGTGGTGACTGGAACCATGGAATTTGATGACTTTCCATATACTGGGAATAGTAACCCCAACTGACGAACTCATATTTTTCAGAGGGGTAGGTATACCACCAACCAGATATTTTATAGGGGTATAAAAAAAAAAACTATGATTGGTTTGCTCAAAAATCTACTCCGATTTAGTCCGATGATTTTCATATCTGTGAATGCCCAAGCTTTGGAAATCGGGGATTTCCGAGCCATGTTGGATTAGTTTCGAGGGTGCCCCATCGTGCGAAACCATAGATGTCCTTTTCCCATTGGTTGGTTGATTAATAGAGGGGTTTGTTTGGAAACCCCTTTAACAGGTAAATGATGATAGATGGTATACCAGCTCCCAGCCCAAACCTATTTTTACCAAAAGGACATTATTGCCCGAAACAAATGTTGTGGTTAATGCTAAACATGACCAACATCTGTGCTTTATGGGCTTGAAATTTGACCCTGTTGATGAAAGAGGGACTGGTGCCATTCACAGAAACCTACATCTTTACGATATTTACCATGATTTACCCATGAATTTGTCATGGGACAAAAGCAAATTCCCCACAAATCATACGAAATACGTGTTTATATATATATATATATGGTGTGTGTGTGTGTAATTATATATTTTGTATATATATATATGTACATATATGTGTGTATTTTATTTATTTATTTGCAGATATAGATGACCATACGAAAACATATTATTTTTGATGTTATTATATGTGTGCTACTTTTTAACTGAATTTTCCCACCAAGCTTCACACCCTGCCTGAAAGTCGCTTACTCCGGGCCCTTGGAGAGGCCTTGCGCGACTCCAACAAGGCAGACTTAGAGAAGCGGCTGCTGGAAGAACGGGTGAACGACTCGAAGGTGAGCGGCTTTGTGCCAAAATGCTGAGCTATGGAAGATGGGGCGTAGGGCTTTGTATTTACACATGTATACTTATATTATATATATACACATATATACATATACATATATACATATACATATATACATATACATACACATACACATACACATATACATACACATACACATACACATATACATACATACATACATACATACATATATATATATATATACATATACATACACATACATATACACATACACATATACATATACATATATACATATACATATACATATACATATACATACACATATACATACATACATACATACATTAATTACATACATTAATTACATACATACATACATTAATTACATACATACATACATTAATTACATACATACATACATATATATATATATACACATATTTATTCATTCATTCATTCATTCATTCATTTATTTATTTATATGTGTATATATATATGTGTGTATATGTATGATGTATTTGCAGGTTCCTAAAATCGGGGTACCCCGAAATCATCCCAATCAGACCCTTTTAGTATTGGGGATCCATGACTTGAGAAGAGCAGGATGAGAATCCCAGATGGGTTGAAGCCACAAAGTCACAGAGATGGGACAAAAATCACCACATCTCGTTCCCCATATTAGCCCATATTATTAGCCATACTATTCTACTATGGATTTTACTCTGGATTTCATATGATTTTACTATGGAACCGCCCTGGATTGGATGAAGATCTGGTTATAAGCCACAAAAATGGACCGTATGGATACCCTCTGGTAAACAGCCACATAACTATGGAAAGATCCACCATTTTCAATGGGTAAATCCACTATAGATGGGCCATTTTCAATAGCATCGCAAGCTTCCCCGAAACACGACCGTGACGAGGCTGAAATGGATCAGACGCGGAGTATCCTGGAGATCCAACAGGAGGAGAAAATCCCCATGGGTTTCCGTTGGTGTCAAAAAACAAATGTGGTAAAACGTGGTAAAGCATTCGAAAATAGTGATTTATGGGAAACTATGGGAAACTGTGGGTTTATGATAGATATAACTGATATAACATGATATAACTGTAGTTACCATCTGCTTATTTAACATAGCCATGGAAAATCACTATTTTTTATAGGTAAACCGCGGTAAACCATCTATAAATGGGCCATTTCCCATGGCTACGTTAAATAACCAGAGGGTAGTTAAATAATGGTGATATAATGGATACAATAGGAATATAACTGAATATTGGATTTCTCAGCCACATGGTAGAAGTTACGGAATAGTCACCCTATGGCCCAAAAATCATGGTAATTATTCACCTTTTGTTAAAGCGTGTTTTCAGAAGCATTGCCAGCGACGTCAGCCAAAGCCCCCTTCGATTCAGGAGTTGAAACGTGTCCATCAAATCCAGGCGGAGTTTCGAATCGGCCATGGATCACATCAGGATATGATACCCTAAAGCGACATAGCGAAAACCACCATGTTCAATAGGGAAATCATATATACAAGGACCATAGCATCCATAGTTGTGTTAAGTTACCGGTGTGAGATTTTATTCCATGACTGGGCCCCAACTCATGAATAGATCTAATACTAAACCAAGGGTTTTCTTGGGGATTTAATAGTGATGGGGTGGGATTACATATGTACCCTCTGACAATGAAGCATGGATTGCTGGAAAATCCATAAATTCCTTCGATGATACTCATATTTAAATGCCCATTTAGTCATTTAGTTTGTGGATTTCCCAGTTTGCCATGTTTAATTCCCGGGGATGCATGTTTTCACTCCGTTTGTCGAGTTCAGACAGTGAATTTCCTCACGGCTTTGCGGAGTTGGTTTCCCAGAAATCTGGATTGACCTTGGTGCGGTCACCCGTCAGTTTCAGCCACAAAAAATGCCCATGTTTTGATTTTAAACATAATATATTGATGGGATTTTAATATATTGCAATACATGTTTACATCACTGGTTGGTGGTTTGGAACTTGTTTATTATTTTTCCATTCAGTTGGGAATGTCATCATCCCAACTGACGAACTCATATTTTTCAGAGGGGTGGCTCAACCACCAACCAGATATACTATATTTTATTATTGTGATAATAGTAATACCACGTGATTTTGATATAATAGTACATGTTTACATCATGTTTACATCATGTTTACGATGTTTTTGTTTGGATGATGGCCGCTTGACAAAAATCTCCCACCGGCTTCGCCCCGCGTCTGTGGGCTCCAGTGGGTGCGGGCGGTCCCGGTGTTTTTTCTCGGGGCGGCCGGCACACAGACAGGTGGGATCTCCTGAGGGGCGAAAATCTGATGGAGTAGGGCTCAAAATCCCAAAAAATATAATGGATTATCATGGGTTATCATGGATTATCATTGAAAATATCATGGATTATCATGGATGGGGGTTGGTTGCAATGATTTTTCCAAAAATGATGGGAATGGGATTCAGCAAAACTGGTACCAAGCGTTATCCCCTCTCTGGAAATCACCAGAAATCGCAATGATCATCAGACATGTACGTCCCTATTTGCCATCTGTAATCAAAAAAAGAGATAGCAGGTATAGCTACAACTTTTTCCAAGCATGGTAGTGGTCATACTGTTAAACATCAATCTGGATGATGGCCGTAATCATCATTAATCATCCCAATGCAAAAGGGATCATCTATTTATTGCCAACTAGTACACCTTGGACCTACGCTGAAATCGTCCCATTTCTTGTAGGAAAAAAACTCATCAGAACTGACTGGGGTTGTCACCATGTGTCATCAGAATCATCCCATATTTTCGCAGTTTCATCGTCAATAGGTTAGCAGTAACCATCTGAAATTCCTCAGATAGAGTGGATGATTCCAGATTCATGGATGGTTTCTATGGATTTCTATGGCCTATAAACCACCTTAAGTGGTGATATTCCACAAAAAAACCTCCCGCATCTCCCGCAGCCCCAGGCTCCAGCGCTCCGCGATGGGCAACGCCTCCCAGCGCCCCGAAGGTGATGATAAGGCTGCGGTCCTGGAAAAGGCCAATACCGAAGGGGCCAAGCCCGAGAAGAGCCGGGAGGACACCTGACTGGGCGACAGATGGATGGAATGCAGAGATGGATACTTGGATACATGGACGCATAGATGGATAGAAGATACTGTCAAATATGTTTTATGTGAATACACGCACACATCTGTGTTTCTTTTTCTCTGTGTGTGTGTATTTGTTTGTTTGTCCAATGAAAATCCGTTGGCCAGAGCTGCCTTGCGCAGGATATTCGCGACAAATACGAGCTGGGCAAAGTTTTAGGCAGTGGATCCTTTGGCCAGGCGCCACCTTTTTCAGTGGTCCAAGCTATTTGGGGCTCTGCTGCTTGGATAAGCCATGGAATTGAGGAACTGCCTCTGACTGGCTCAGCATGTCGTGGAACTGAAGGTTTTCAGGAGTTTGCTGGTGATTTTTAGTAACTGGCCATATGTGTCCCAAATTTCTTCCATATTTTCCATCTATTTACACACTGGTAATTTAACATAGCTATGGAAAATCACCATTTTCAATGGGAAAATCCACTATAAATGGCCATTTTCCATTGCTATGTTAGTTCACCAGAGGGTAACCATCGTTACCCAAAAGCCTAATCCCACTGAGTCATCTCATGGGATGGCGCTGAAATTTCACGTTCACAGGTGCGAGAAGCGTCGCTGAAAGAGTTTCCCGCTGCTTGGAATTTTCCACCGATCCCAAAGTGTCACTTTTGGATCCTTTCAACAGCGATGGTGCCACCATTGTCAAAATGGCCAATGATTTGAAACCCATGTCATGTTACCCTCTGGTTATGTCAAAATAGCTATTGAAAATGGTGATAGAAATAGTGGATTTTCCCATTAAAAATGGTGATTTTCCATAGTCATGTTAGTTTACCAGAGGGTAAAATTTAGGGAATGAATTTGCCTAAGCTAACTCTTTGTATATCGGTATATCGGTGTTTGTTACTCATAGACTCATAGATCATCTGGTTTTTTTGAAGCCCAGCCTCTTGATGGACCAAAGCCCATGGGCTGATGCTTGAACCTCATTCAAGACGGTGAAAAGATATGTGTCCGTGGTTGCAAATCTGATTCACTGTGAGCTAAAACCCAACTTTCAGTTGTAATGTTTCTGTGAACGCCCCATTTGTTCTCGCTTAAAACCCAATGTTTGATGGTTAAAAAGTGCATATAATGTCGTCTAATTGATTATAAATGGTTGTGGGTGGTAACCTAACTGTACGAGTAGAAAAATAATATATTATTGGAGGATAAGACCTAATTCTTACTGGTTGGCACCCCATTTTCTGTTGAAAAGTTGTAGTTGTTTGTCCTTCAGCTCTTGTTGCTTGGTACTTCAAAACCCAATCTTCAACTCAAGCCCAACTTTTCCTTGTTTAACGATAACAAATCTGGACTGGTGTTTACCGTCTTCAAGAAACTTAAAGGTAAAATGACAAAATAGCTGGCATTGAATGGATACTCACACGTGGACATTCAGCTACCTTTAGCCGCAAATCATCCGGTTTTGTAGGTAAATGAGTCTTAAATAAAAAAAATTGGACTGGTTGGTGGTTTGGAATATTTTTTCCATTCAGTTGGGAATGTCATCATCCAAACTGACTTTAACTCCATCAGTTTTCAGAGGGGTAGGTGGCTCAACCACCAACCAGATTATTATTAATCATCATTAACCATATATTAACCAATTGGTGTACATTCATCCCCAAGCCTGGTCCCTCAACCCCTCCGAGGACAAGGTGCGCGCGGTGAAAATCATCGAGCGCGACGACGATGCGGAGCACGGGGGCGAGTGGAGTAGCGCGACATGGGGAAACACACCGCGAATGATGGATGGTTTGGAATCCAAATCCCTTGGAAAACCTGGTGAATATATACAGTGTGAGGCCCCCGTTCGATAGCTAAGTTGGTTTATAACTCCAATAACTATGTTTTATGGTACTTATAACTATAGTTACTGGGGCTTATAAACCAACTTATAACTGGGGGGGGCCACATTGTATATATATATTACATAAATCCCTTGGAAAGCCTGGTGTTTAGCATTTGATCTAGTCATATTGGGGGGATGGTTGATCCAACAGTTTTAGGTCAAGACTTTTGAGCCACAGCCGGGTTTGTCTAATTTATATGTTGGGGTGACCCCCCCGTGTCGACGTGTCGAAACAAACATTATATGTTTAGTGGTTGGTGAGTTCAACGGTCCAACGAAACTGTTGGTTTTTTTTGCAACCAAAGAAGAATGAGACTGAAAGTAACCATGACTGGGTGCTGTGATTTGGTACTGGATGGCTTCAGAGATGTTGATGTTTATTGTCCATTCATGTCCATAGTCGGGATGATGCTCCCAATTCCACTTACAAGACCACAGGAAACCGTTTTTTTTTTTAATGGTTGGAAAACACATAGAACTTGAAAATTCCATATGGTTCTCCCAATGGGATCTTCAACCCGATCTGCCGTTGTCCTTAAGGCAATAGCGCCATGTTTCGACAAGAGGTGGCGCTGCTGCAAAATCTGAAACATGACAACATTGCCGCTCGGCAAAGGCATGGCGCAAAAGCTACGTGGAGCTTTAAAAAAAAGCCAAGGTGTGGGAAGCAGCACGTGAAAAATGGTGGAAACCAATGCATTTTGAAAAGGAAGAGACGTGGTTTTGATCGGGTCATTTCCTGAACCCTGGTTGGTTCAGGTGGTCAAATGATGTCAAATGGTTTGACCCGCCCACCCTGATGGACCAGTGATTTCCTGAGATTGTTGTTGACCTCTGCATTTGCCAGGTGTTTAAACGATCTATTCATCGGATCTCATGTGTTGTTGGCGAGATTTTGTTGGGTACGGCCTCAACCTTTGTATAAACCCAATTTATCACGATATGTCAACACTTGATTTGTTGAAACGGTCATTGGTTGCATCCCACCTCTATTGGTGTCCCAGTTCCAACACCGGCGGTGCTGAGGTCCGTTTCTGGGACGTGTACGAGGATGTTCACTTTCTCTATGTTGTCCCTGGGCTGGAAGCTATGGAGGATAAGCCCACGTCCAGATAGTCCCTGTATGATGGGTACGTATTGTTTGCAGATGCTTGTTTTACCCAATAGTTCAAGTTACCTTAAAACAGGACAGAATTCCGTCTTCGCCAAGTAATTCTTCTCCCAGACCTGTGATTTTTTTTTCAGGTCATGGACCTTTGCCGTGGAGGGGAAGTCTTCTCGAATCTTCGGCGGCCAACTCGAGGTGTTTTTGGGGTTCGTTCCACCGGTTCCACTTCCAACTTTTGGGCAACCGGCTGGTTAAAAAAAAGACTAAATCACTAGCCGCAAGTTGACGATATGCATAACCAAGTGACGATCTTCCAGAAATCTTAGCCACATCAGGCAAAATCGAAGTCCGAAGAATTTATAGAATGAGCTCCAATCTTCTCAAAATGGTCGCGCATAGGAATTCAGCTTGGCAAAATCGTCGTGAAATACAGCAACATATAGAAATCCCGTTCCCCCAATATCAAATAGCCACCATAACAACTATGTTTTTTTTTTTGCATTGGATCTATATTCATTACCAGGTTCCTGTTGGTTATGTATCCCTCGGGAATCCCATACTCAGAAGGGAAATCCCACTAAGTAATACACACGGATATTCACAGTATAAGGGGATCCAATATCAATCACCAACTAATCACCAATGATTACATGATGATAATTCATGGGAGAGCCCCACTTTGAGGTGATCAATTAGCCTCCCAGCACTGCGAACTTTTTCCCAGGAAGATTTTGGAACTTCGACGTTTCACCGAAGCGAATGCAGCGACGTTGGGATCGCAGATGTTAGTTGCTGGGCTGAAGAAATGATGCGATTACAAGTTGATGCAAAGAGACTACAATGGTGGATTACCCACCTAACAAATCCTAACAATATATAATTAGAATATGTAATAGTACCAATAAATATCACTTAACAACCTACGTAGTTACAAACCAACTTCGCCAACAAAGTGGAACCAGCTTGTATAGCATGTTCTCAGCCTTGCTCCGTCAACAAGAGGGCAGGAATTCCTAGAATACGCAACTTCCGGTCGTCAAGTCATCAAACTGCTGAAGCCATTTTCCAGATTATATTGGAAAAACATGACTTGTGGATGAAACATACTGGTGCAGTGGAATAGCTTGAGGAGGCTTGGTTTGCAACTTCCAAATTGTCCGATTTTTTGCATGTCCCACGGATATGTCAGCCGCCATAGCCATAGAGATAGGTCAGTCTGATCAGCCTGTGAATGGACACAGTACATGATGCCCATCGCGGGTGATTGCTGTGTCTGAAAATGTAGTGATTCCAAATCCACTGGAGAATGAAGAGTTTCCCAAATAAAATCTCCTTTTCACTGGTGGTTCACCCTTTTTTCGGACATATGCTGTGCAAAATCTGCAAAGTCTGCCTGATGGGGAGGCTGCAATCGCGTACATCCATTCCAAGAGCATCATGCATAGAGACATCAAGGCTCAGGATTTCATCCCCAATGGAGCGACCACTAGCAGAGGTAGAGGCAGTAAAGCCTCCTTCACGATAGTGGGGATTTTTTTGGGGGGCAAATCCTCAAAGAAATCTTTCAGAACCCCAAAAAAAGGCCCTACCAGCTACTTTCATCGAAGTTCCAGCATGTTTCGGTGTTCCATACCGGATCATGCTGCAGGGTATGATGCCACACATTTTTTCCCAAGCCAGGCGGAGAACTTCTTACTCTCCGACAAGTCTCCCACATCTGTAGCGACTGGGTTCAGCAAATCTGTGGTGCTCTAAGGAATCCTTGGTGACGTGAAGATAGGTGAAGCATCCTCGAATTGTCGATGGAATCCTGGATAGTCCTGGAAGGTTTTTGACAATTATAAATCTGGTTGGTGGTTTGGAACATTTTTTATTTTCCATATGTTGGGAATTTCATCATCCCAACTGACGAACTCCATCATTTTTCAGAGGGGTAGGTTGAAACCACCAACCAGAAACATATGAAACCGATTGCAATCCAGAAAATGGCGAAGAAGTCAGCTGGCTGGAGGTTTCAAACATTTTTTATTTTCCAAAATATATGGGATAATCCTTCCCCTTGACTTTCATATTTTTCAAGATGTTTAAAACCACCAATCAGTAAGTTTTGATATTGATCCAACTTCCAGTTTTCCCGCTGACATTGTTGGTGGAAGCTTCAGCTGCCGAGGTGAAGATGATCGATTTTGGCATGGCTGTGAAGTACGACCATGGCGTGTGGTTCAAGGCCAGCCAGGGAAGATAACAAGGGAGCAAGGTGGGGCTCAAGCTGAACCAGCAGAATTTTAGAGATGCTGAGTGGATCGAACATTCATTTGGAACATTTTTCGACTCACAATTCAGAAACTTCAGTCCAAAGACTTTTTTGTTTCTCTTCCAAAGTGGGAAAATCCATCTACATCAAACACGCCAGGAGATTTGTGGCTCGCCCCACTACTTAGCTCCAGAATTGATTGGCCCCTTGGCGGCTGAGATCTTCGCAAAAAAAAAGGGTACGGTGAGCCATTGCTGGCTCCAGGAAAAGCCATGTAGCGTAGAACCATTGGATACTTTGAGATTTAGATGATTTTAGATGATTTAGTTGCGGGCCTGTAACAATAGAGCCATAAACATCATTCAAACTGATGATGTTTTTTCGCTGGCCGTGGAGAACAAGCGGTATCTGCAAGGGGGAGTCAGAAGATCACAGGCTGTAAGTTGGAAATGTTCACCCTCTGGTAAACGTTTACAGTTTGCTATTGAAAATGGCCATAGAAATAGTGGATTTTCCCATTCAAAAATGGTGGATCTTTCCACAGTTATGTGGCTGTTTACCAGAGGGTATTGCTTCCACGCTGATGGATCCAAGTTGAGTTTCTCTTTTGAGCCAATGATGGATCCAAGTTCCAGTTTTGCCCACACTCCACACACCAATCATCGAAAAACCCAGCTACGGTCGCCAGCAGTCGCCCTCAGCCAAGGTCAGAAGTACAATCACATGGTAGACATGTGGGCCTTTGGCGTCCTCATGTACCTTCTGATGTACGGCCACTATCCGTCGCTCGTCGATCAAAACCCAGATTTCGAGCCGCTCATCCAAGAACCATTTGAGATAACGGGAATCTACGGGAGTTCCTTCCACCCTTAGGTATCCAACCCTCCAATCTTCGGTGGCTATTGCAGCATCGGCAATCAAACCATCTCAACCGCTTGAAGAAAATGCCATTTGCACTTAGCTTTCCATAAACAAACTATATCATGAGTGATGCTCCAGTAAAAATCCCAGTGTTTTTTGTCGGTGATTTCCAATTGTTTTTTTCGATAGCAGTGCTTTTTGTCCAACCTCCTAAGGTATGACTCCAAGAACACCCGAGACATCATGATGAAGGCCTGGTTGCTGCTGATTCGTCCATGAAATCCTCCATAGATTGGTGATATTTCATATGATATTTCGGTGTTGTGTGGGAGATTTGCATGTGGATTTATGGTGATCTGAACTTTTTGGAGATGTGTAAATATTGATTTCTCATGATTTCTAGTTCTCAACATCCACAAAAACCTCGCCTGATTTTTCATCCATATTTCTCACGATTTTCGGTGGTGCTCCACATGTTGATTCTTGGAACACATCCACTTGACCGAAAATCAGAGCGTAGCAGCGTAGCCCACGATGGATCCAGGTGTTGACTGAACCCATCCGATGGCAGACGAAAGCCAAGTTGTCTCAACAGACGTGGCTCACCCTGGTATGCCAACCCCTGGTGATGTGGGATGGCTCATCTAGGGGCGAGTTTTTTCCAGAGATGTACCCTTTGGTGATTTTTTACGGTTTAATAATGTTTAAATGTGTTTAATATATAGGTTTGATCACCATCGGTAAATGATCGAACGAAATCCACCATGGCTTCATGTGCAAAGTCTTAAATTATCGGAGACATCGGGAGAGAATCTTCAAATGAGCCTCCCTCGGTTGTTGTTTTTTTGTGTGGACCACGAAGCTGTACTGGTAACCTGGAACCGTTCGAAAGCCACAGTTGAAACGATCAGCCCAGTGCCCATGGAACTTGTCCTTTTTCATAGGCCAAAGCGATCGACTATTTCTGGTTGGTGGTTTGGAACATGAATGGATTATTTTCCATTTCATATATGGGATGTCATCCTTCCCATTGACGAACTTATATTTTTCAGAGGGGTAGGTATACCACCAACCAGATTTCAATCTATTTCAAGCCAGAGTTTTGGGATTGTACCATAGTCAGCCATAGTCTACCCCAAGGCAGTTTGAATCACCGCGGGGCTGCGAGCATTCGGACAGAGTACACCGCCTGAAATCATCAATGTCCCATTCCCGGAATCGTTGAAGCACCAACGATCTATAACATCGCTGGGAATGATTGGTGGTGAATAAGGTTGATGTATGCGCATGTCCAACATGTTTCTTGACCGTATCAAGCCACAAAAACATCCATATACCCTTTATGGTAATCAAACATGGCAATGGAAAATCCTCTATTTATATAGCATCATTTATCTATAAAACCTATAAAACCTCCATGGCAATCATTTAGCTATAAAACCTATAAAACCTCCATGGCAATGGAAAATCCTCCATTTAGCTATAAAAGCTCCAGCTAGTTGCTGGGAGGATTACCCAGCTAACACGCTGGTTTTTTTTTGGATTTTCCATTACCACCAGCATTTACCCAGCGATTCCCCTCACCAAGGCTGGGTTTCTTGAAGCGTTGCTTAGAGCCATCGGTGCGGAAGCGCATCACGGCCGAGGTGCGGAGTAGTTTCTCTGATTGGGGATTTGTTTTTTTCGGAAAATGTCCCAGTTATCATAAATAAGATGCCTTAAGTACAGGTAGTTATCTTAAGTACAGGTAGTTATCTTATCATCAGTAGGTATTCAATAGAAATTGCCTATCATATTAACTATCATAACTATAGTAATTGGAATAGGTATATTATAGCCATTGTTACTATTCTCCAGCACAAGTGGATAGATACTTGTTGTGGTGGTAGTGGTAGTGGTAGTGGTAGTGGTAGTGGTAGTAGTAGCAGTAGCAGTAGCAGTAGCAGTAGCAGTAGCAGTAGTAGTAGTAATGGTAGTGGTAATAGTGGTAGTACTGGTAGTACTGGTAGTACTAGTAGTACTAGTAGTACTAGTAGTGGTAGTAGTGGTAGTTGTCGTCGTCGTCGTAGTAGTGCCTAAAGAGGGTAATATCCAATTATAATTATAATAGGATATGAGTATTCACAGTTATTATACTGGTTATCACTGGGTTACGTGGGTTATACCCTCCAAGCCATGGCCAAATTGAATAGATGATTTACCTATAAAAAAAACGTGACTTTCCACTGCAAACTCTTAATTTTCCAGATGATATAGTTATGACAATTGAGCAACTTAGATATAATTGGACCATAATTGAAGGCTATGATTCTACTGGATACTTGGGTACTCCACCTATAAATTGGGATGACATAGCTTATCACCCAGTCTACTGACCAATCTACTGACAGCATGGAAACTAGCAATCGCCAGATTATGTATCCACTGGTATCCAGCAGTAAAATCATGAAACACGGATCCAATGGAATCCGAGTTTTATATAGTTTTATCACTTTCGATCATTTTTTCCAATCTCCAGAAATTTCTTCATGTTCTTTCCACTTTCCATATCTTTCCATCGAAAAAAACATGGGATTTTCCCATCGCCAGCAGCAACCGTGAGGACGGCTTAAAGCATCCCTGGATCGTGACCGCTGCGGCACCAGACCCCGAAACCGGTCGGGAGAAGACCATCGAAGTCGAGGAGGAGATGGAAGCGGAGTGATGGGTGTCTCTATGGGAAACCCATGGGTTTTTGGGATATGGGATATATAGAATATTTAGGAGGATATTATCCAATAGTATCCAATAGTAGTGATAATAGGATATATGATGTATATATATATGCATTTATTTATTATTATTTGTTATATTTATACATAGAATCCCCGATTCTAGTACTTGAATATTATAGTTGGGGATAAGTATGACAATAGGATAGCAGTAAAATTAACCCAATAATAGGAAAATAGATAGGGGATTGATAAATATCCACTTCCCTAATCTTTATCCTTTTGTGTTTTTTCCACTCCTGCTTTACATCGTGGTTTCTGAGTGGTATTTAAGATAAAAGGTGGGATGGGATTATATATTTAAAAGGGGACAATTTGATGGCAGAAATTGCATCACAGACAGGAATATCTGGAGAACTGATTAGCAGAGATTAGATTCAGTTGCATGGAAAATCTGGAGATGTAGTCAATAAATGGGCAACGGAGAGAAAGAGAGCAGTCAATCGATATTGTGACCTCAAACCCGTTTGGGTGGCAGGATTTCCCAACAGAAATTTACTCTACCGGTAATCAAACACCTCAACATCCCGTCCAGCCTGCGAGGACCTCAATGAATTTGTTCGCACCTGGGGCAGAGAGCTGGTGCCAGAGGGGTCAAAGAACTTGGACATGTCCGAAATTAATTTAATATGTTTGCTATATATATATATGCCTGGCTGGTGGTTTGTAACCTTTTTTATTTTTCCATGTATTGGGAATAATATTCCCAACTGACGAACTCATATTTTTCAGAGGGGTAGGTATACCACCAACCAGATATACTACATTTTATTTTTGTGATAATAGTAATACCACGTAATACAATCAATATCCATGGATGACGTATTTACAATATTTTCTATGATTAAAATAGTAATGCTATGGCATAATCGTGTTGTATGGTTACTAGGTTGTAATGGTTACTCTTGTTACCACGGATTCATCAAACTTCCCCCTTTACCATGGTAAAGAAAAAGTAGGGGAAATTGGCAACACATCTTTGAGACCATTGGGTTTAAGGGTGTAACATGGTGTCACTAATATGAACGGTGGACGGGATTTATTTTGCTTATTCATACTAATGGGTACTAATGGATTAATGGGTATCAATGAATGTTAAACTCTGGTAAACATACAAAAAACTATGGAAAGATCCACCATTTTTAGTGGCTACCCTCTGGTAAACTAACATAGCTATTAAAAATGGCCCAGTCGAAATAGTGGAATTACCCATTAAAATGGTGGATCTTTCCATAGTTTTTCTATAGTTTACCAGTGGCTAAACCAACTATTTTCGAGCTGGCGAGCTGTTCCAGTTCGCTATGATTCCACATCTCCAAGGTCCAGATTTAAAGCAACTGACCATTGGAAGTTTTTCCAACGGGGGGGGCTTAGGTTCCAATCTCGGTGGGTTTATTTTCCGATCCTGGTGGTTATATTTTTTTTCGATATATATATATATTATATTAACATTAATATTAATATTTACTGCCATACCCTATTTTTCTATAGAAAACGCATCAAAAAACCGTCATTGTTCAGTGGATTTTCCCATGGCAGCCCAGGTAATGCCCACCGAAAGGTGACCGCCACACGAAAACAGGTGGACCAGGAGGCGACGGTGCATGTTGCTTTGTGGGAATCCATGTGGGTGATATAAAAGGATACAGATATATTTTATACATATATGTATATATGTATATATGTGAATGATCTATAGATTATACTACCTGATATATGCGGGATTGTACTCATCCATGATGGGAGTCCTTATGAAAACCAGTGTTTTCATGGAATGTTTTCAAGGATTCCAAGATGCAGATGGTGGATAACTTTGGTCCAACGCTCAATGGATTGGTTTAAGGAAAAAGTTACAGGAAAACACCATATTTAATGGGAAAATCATGGAAAATCCATGGTTTCCTGTGGATTTTCCCTTAAACTCAGGCAGAGAATCGTCGCACCGACTTGCTCGAAAAGATCAACAAAGACTTCGAGAAGGGCATCCGTCACTTGGAAATTGTGTTTCATCATATGTAAACAAGACCATCCACAATTCTTGATTAGGTTTATACAATTACGGATGTTTTTTTGTTTCAACTTATATGGATTCGGATACATAGACAAATATCAGTTAATCATAGTCAATCCATAACTGATATCATCCATGTCTTATCCATATACAATCCCTAATTGGCCATGCTGTGCTCGGTGAACTGCCTGTGAGGTTTGGGCAACCGCTTGGGTGAAACACCTCAAGAGGAGACGGGCGGATTGGGCATTGGAAGGCCAAGGGAGACAGGTTGGGGCCGGAGATAGAGATACTATAAAGATACCCTCTGGTTATTTAACATAGCCATGGAAAATGGCCCATTTATAGATGGTTTACCTATTTAAAATGGTGATTTTCCATGGCTATGTTAAATAACCAGATGGTAGATAACATGATAATCTATACATAAAATGATAATCCATGTTACCGTCGTATTAACCTTGGGATTGCGAAACATTCTACATTCCCTGTCTTTTTGTGCTTTGATCATTTTTGATCATCGATGATCAATGATCTTTCATAGGGAAACCACTTCACTCTTGTCCCCCCGTGAGTTGTTTAGCAGTTGCTCACGGCCAGCATTCGGGTAAACCTTGGTCTGATAGATTGGTAAACCTGTGACAGGCATGTCAACTGTTTCAACCTGCATATCCAAGGGTGTCCCCACCGTTTTGAGGTTGCTATCACCATTTTTGTCGCGGTTGTTAAAACCTGAATTTCCCTAGTTATACTCCCATGCTGAACTTGTTCCACCCAAGGGGTATCCCTGCATGATTTATACGATCACCATCTTTGTTAGTTAAATGCTCCTTTCTTGCTAGCATGTTTGATTACACACTCATTTTGTGAGTTTTTGTTGTAAGGATACCATCTGGTAATCTAACATAGCTATCTTACCACATATTTATAGGCAGTTTTAAATCATCGAACTAAATGGTTGTTTTTTCCATAGCTCTGCCAGAGGGTCACGACTCATGGTCAGCCGATTAGCCACCAATGTCTACAAGGTGGTGCCCCAAGTTACTGCCCATGAACTAAGATATAATTCGGTATAATCCCTAAAAACCCTATCTGGTTGGTGGTTTGGAACATGGCTTTTATTTTTCCATATATTGGGAATGTCATAATCCCAGCTGACTAATATTTTTTAGAGGGGTAGGCTCAACCACCAACCAGCTATAGCTATTGGAGCAAGAAAAACTCACGGAGTGCGATTCCGGGCCGCGATTTCCAGGATTTTATGTCCAAACCGGAGTTTGTTCGGCGCGACAACCGCCTCACCACCGCACCATCGCAAGCAGTTGCTGAGCTCCAAAAAAAACGGGGGGGGAAGGTATTGGAATTGGTGACCTGGCATGTTTTTAGGGGATATTACTCATACAGGATGGGTCGAAACCTATGAAATTACATGAAATGAACAGCTCTTTTCGGTTACCAGGGTCGGGTTTTGACTCCTCATCCAAGGGGAGCATAGCTATGGGATGGATGACCTGGATCGTAGTGAAATATGCACAAAAATTATCATCCCAAATAGATCCAAATAGCCCTATGGGTAAAAACACTCATGTATTACATCATTTTGCATCATCCTAGGGGCCTAATATATCATAATATGGTGTTTCATTTTTTTTCATAAGCCTCTATTGGGAACGCTTCATTCTTCGGTTTACCACATGAATGTGGTAAGCTAGCTGCACTTCCAGCAGCTGAGGTTGGCTCAGGCCCTAGTGCGAGTAAGGCGGTGGTGGAAGAAAAGTGAGGGGCCCTGGACGTCTGGGAGAATCCATGGCATTGGTCTACCCCATTTGAATGAAGCTATTTCACCTGGAAGAATCCATGGCATTGGTCTACCCCATCTGAATGAAGCTATTTCACCTGGGAGAATCCATGGCATTGGTCTACCCCATCTGAATGAAGCTATTTCACCACCATAACCACACTTCATCACGCATTTTAGATGGAGAAACGACCATAACCAAGCTAAGTTTACCACCATAACCACACAAAAAATCCAGATTTAGAGTAACTTAGCAAACTGGAACGCCACCTTGACTCTATATATATATATAATATACATATATCAGGAAATAGGCCTAAATTTGAGACCTATTTCAGGACACAATGGTATTTTGCTTCGATGGGGAACAGCGAAGAACTTCCAGTTATGGAGTTGCTTTTCATTTGGCGAAGTTCCGCTGGCACAGATTTATGGTATTCAACCCGATATGCACGGCGGAAAGAAATACAACGTCCCAGTGGCTGGATTTTGAAGTAGAAATGACAGCAAAATGGATGGGATGTTTTTGTGAATGTCAGCGACTAATCGGATACATTCGAAATTGTGTCTATTTCTGGAGTTTAGGACTTATAGAAATAGGGTAATGTGCTTAGATTGGGATAGAACCATCAAAACTGGGAAAAGTCAACCCAGGATTGACCTCCGCCAGGGGGTGATTAATCCAGGGCTAGAATTAAGTATCAATTGAGTCTAATATATATCCAACAATAAGTGGGTAGATAGATTATGGCAGTTCAAACAACCTGGTGATAGACAGTGTGGCGGGGCCGAACTTTTTTCCCCACCACTGCCACTCCCAGGAAAGTGGAAGGGAAGAAAGTGGTCATCGCTGAGGACCCGGGGTCTACTAGAAGGGGTAGATTGGGGCTTGACGGAGGATCTAACCTATAAAATCATGTAAAAATCTCCCATGATCAATGTTGATCATCATTTTCATGAAAATTATTCCACCATTTTTGGCCGATTTCTTCAATTTCTTCCCATTTTCAGAGACCCAGATGGTCACTGCTGGGATGCCAGGAAACGAAGCGTGAGGAACTTGCTCCAGCGAACAGAAGGAAGAAAGCCCATGCGCAGACTGTCCGGGGCACCCAAAGATATCGTCAGATTGGCGAATTCCTTGGTGAATGGCTTGATCTTTGGCCCCAAAAATGGCCAATTTCAGAATTCGTTATGTCAAATTTCATGCCAAAGAATGGGTGCTGTTTTTAGATCCTGTCTTTCGTGACATCATTCCAGGCACGATTGATGTACATGGGAGACCTGCAAGAGAAGGATGAGGATGAGATGAGGCGCGGTGGCCATGTGATTTCACGTTCCACAGTGATTTTCATCTGGCTGGTGGCTTTGAAATATCGTGGTTGTCTCATCTAACTGAACTGGGACGAGGTTGCCGACGATATGTTGTTTTTAAGGATGGGTGGCACCAATCCAACCAATACAGTGTTTCTGGGTTCTTATACATAGCGACATAGCCATCATTCTAACCAAACAAGGATTCACAATCCTGGATTGCGAAGCATTCAGCTACCCATTCATCGAGGAAGATGTGGAGTGAGTGGAAGACCAAAGAGAAGGCTCGCCCTCTGGTCAGATGGCCATGGGAATTCGATGGAATTCGCCAGAAGCAACACCTTTGATGAATTCCATGTTGGGCGGACATATGTTTCTGGGTAAATTATAACGACCTCACTGTTCTCCCTCACTGGAATCATGGTTTATTTTTGGGGGGAATCATCCCCATTCATGGCCGAACTATTCAGGTTAGTGAAATATTATGGCCTTTACCCAGATGTTTGCAAATCTTCAACAGCAACCAACTTGGTGTCCCTGGCAGGATGAGGCGGGGATGTCAAGTATGTCACCTACAGCTGAAGTCTCAGAGGAGCCGAAACGGAACCGCCGGGTAACCATCCTCAATGGATTGGTTGTGAATGGAAAATTTACAAAAAAAAAACATGGTTTTGACAATTTTTTATATGGTTTTTTCCGGTAAAAACATGTTCCCCTAAACCAATCCATTGACATCCCAAATAGGATAAACAGGGGTATACCCAATCATACCCAATGATAAACCTTCAGTGGGGATGGTTTATTGCTTTGAGATGTGCCCTCCCGTAATTTCTATCATTGGCTACGTGGCGAATCGGCATGTATCATCTGCTTTTAACCAAGGTAAGTAATACCATGTAATACTGTAAATCAACGCACTCATCGTACTAAATGGGCCATGGCGTCGCCATAGCGAACTTTAAATAATCACAAATATATTGATACCACATTATGCAGCTGTATATTCCATTAATATTCCAATGAAATTGCTGGCCGATGTCAGACGTTTTTTTTCAATCAGCTTGAGTCGACGGTTTCATTTCTAACTGATTGATGCCAATTTACCCAATTTATGGCGTCAAATTGATGTGACGAAAACGGGCAAATGATTGATAAACTGATAAACCAATGGGTGGAATGGGATTTGGAGGGTGGAACCCCTGATTTCTCAGACGGAGCCAAATGGAGTCCTGTGGGTAAAGAAACTTGAACTGGCGTGACGACCCCGATACTCTTCAGGGATTTCTGAAAGCATCAGCAATGTACGCACAGAGTACATAATGCACATATCACATTCGTTTGAAAACATATGTAGTTATGTATATATATATGTGTGTGTGTGGAGCATATATATATATATACATATGTGTGTGTGTATTTTATATATACACATATCATGAATCTATTTTTGGACTTATTCAGCATCCTGCTACAGATTGACCTTTGCAAAGCAACCACTTCAAGTGTGGTACAGCCTGAATTGCCAGCTCCCAGCGTTTCAGGACCGTCAGGATACCCGAAACAACCTCACAGATGCAGCCGGAGTCCGAGCTTGAAAGTCATAGCTCCAAAAAAATGTGCAAACTATGTAAGTTGTTGCTTAAGATGTGGCAAGTTGATGCTTGCCAGTTATATGCCAGTTATATATATATACATACTGTATACTGTATGTATATGTGCATATATTATCTTATATTGCTGAACTATCTCCAAGAAATTTCGCCGCCAGATCAACTAGAAGAGCGTGCTGAGCCTTGAAGGGTGTTGGATGACAGGAATGTCTCAGTTTATATATGTTTATATGCCATAGATTCTACCCAGTTCAACAAAACAGTTACCCTCTGGTAAACTAACATAGCTATGGAAAATCACCATTTTCAATGGGAAAAAACACTATTTCTATGACCATTTTCAATGGCTATTTTGACATAACCAGAGGGTAATTAATATGTTTGTCCCCATGACTATCCATATGTATCCGATTTCTGTGGCTGGTCCCATGTTCCCATTGCTGAGATCCAAAAGCTTCGTTCGGAAAAGGCGCAGAAAGAAGCCGAGGCCGAGATTTCCGGCATGGAACAGTCACGGACTTCGAAATTTTTTTTATTGAATTCCCATGGAGAATTTGATGGGATGAGAATGATGAGAATCAAAAATGTGGATTCAATATTCAATCTGGATTTGTTACCCTCCAGTAATCAAACGTGGCTGGTTGGAAAATCCCTTTGTTTATGAATGATTTTCCCAGCGAAAAAGACCTCTATTGATCTGGGATTTCCCTGGCCACGATTGATTGCCGGAGGGTTTTATTGGAATTCATTGGGATAGATAGAGAATTTTTCAGATTCAACGTGGATTTAATATGATTTAATATGATTTAATGAGGACTCAATGGGGATATAATGTGGAGACAGGAGAGGCGATTGGATTGGGATAACTGTGTTGCTATCCTAAAGTGGCTGACAATATAATATTACCACAGAGAGATTATGTATGCAGCCTTTAAAACCATTAAAATGATTGGAGATGTATGCCTTACAACATATGGGTGGTGGCAACCATAAATATCCAATCAACATTGGGAGTCGTGTGGATATAAGCCGCAAGAGTGGCCCACAAAAGAAGAATCGCCCAAGTAAAAACAAGAAAAAAGAACCACACGTACACCCTCGAAAAGAATTTTCCTATTGAAACTATAGGGTTTTCCAGGGTTTCCATGGAAAACATCTGCAGAGTTCAAGAGATTTCCCATTGTTCCGCAGGAAGAAGCTGGTTTCATCTCGGCCCGGGGCCCAATTGGTGTAGCCCAACGATCGGCCCACTTTGCCACTTCGAAATCTCCAAAAATTGGAAGCCCAAAATCAGGAGAAGCAGAAGAGATCATGATCATTCCGGAGTTTCATCTTTTTTCCCATAGATTTATAAAATTTTATGAATGATTGATTTTATATTCTATGATTTTCTGGGGTTTCCATAGTCATGGAGGTGTTACCATGTGTTACCCAGATATCATCCATGTGATTTTCGGATTTTCCGTGAAATAAACCATCCAGCGAGCTTGGGGTACCTATGGGTACCTGTTATCTTCCGGATCCCAAGGATAACTCCCCAGAGGTCCCAAAGACCAAAGATGCAGCACCTTGGCGCAGCGGGGTTAGTTGGTTAGTTCATCAAGTATACCACCACCAAGCTACTAACCTGGCTTATTGGTGAATTAATGTGAATTACTAACTTCAGTACATTATGAACTATCAATGAATAATGTCAATTATGGATTGGAATTCATTATATCACCACTAACCTACTAACTTGGGTTATTGGTGAATTACTAACTCAACTACATTATGAACTACTGGCATAATTATAGTATCATGTTCCCAAGTAATATCAATGACCTGTGTCAGTTCTGAAGTAGCTTATCCTTTGGTAAACTAACATGGCCATGGAAAATCACCATTTGGAATAGGTAAATCAACGACCCAAATGAGCCATGTTCAATCGGTATGTAAGAAATTACCAGAGGGTAGTGGGTTAAATGGGTTAAATGCCAACATCTACCAACAAATGGAAATCTAATGAAGATATATGAAGACATGATAGGGATTTATTGGAGATATAACTGATATAACCAACACTATGATTTGTAGTGTTTGAACATGGAATTAAACCCCAAATGGCATGGATTTTACCATTGGTGTTTGGGCCCCAACTACACGGTTCCGTGGCAGTGGAAACGGGTCGAACACTACCTTGAACATGTTTGAACCGTGGGATAGGTGATGATAGTAGTTTAAACTCAGTTTCGAAGCTTCATTGTCGCATGTGCCTCATGTTTACACTGCTTTGAGGCTGGCAGGCAGGATTTTGGGCAGTGCCAGTGGTGGCGGATCTGGTGTTTGTTGTCTTTGTTGCCCAACTTAGGGGAAATCATGGAACTCACATGATTTCTAGCCATGATTTCTAGCCATGATTTCTAGCCATTTCGATCCATTCGGCTTGTGTCAGTGTTTAACTAAGCCGATGTCCATTCTTTGCAACGCGCGTTTTGTTGCCAGGAAAAACGATCGATTCTCAGGGGTCATGCCTGGTGGCGAGGTGCCGGGGAAGTCCATGGTGGGATGATGGGGATTTTACCTGGTGCGAACTAAGGAAAAGCCTATAAATGATCCTATATTTGATGGTAAAAACAATGGAAAAACCGGTGTAAACTAACATCCAATTTATCATTATAGCCTTTGGTAAACTAACAGTTTGCGAACTGGAAAATGGCCAGAAATAGTTGATTTGGCCGTTAGAAATGGTGGTTGGGACCAAGTACCCCACCAATTGAATCTGGGTGGTGGTTTGGAACAGTTGGATTATGTTTCCATATATATATATATATATATTGGGAATTTCATCATCCCAACTGACTATTTTTTTCAGAGGTGTAGGTTGAAACCACCAACCAGTTTTCACATTCATACCGTTATACCCGTTTATATATTTGGATGTGGTTGGTGGGTTGTCAAACTGATTACATTGATGTGGGATGTGGGGGGTTTCATGCAGGGTTTTCCCTGAAACTGAATGAAGACCTGTCCATATGAATCCAGACATATAGCCCATGGCAGGGCTGCACATATTGATTCCAATGGATGGGCATATGTTGAAATCTTGAAATCCGCAAGAGAAGATGCAAAAAGATGATGAATTGGGGATGGGTCAAAACCCTGGTACCTAGTGAACCCCAAAATAGCTGGTAAATGGATGTTCATTCCCCTAAAAATGGTATTAATAGGTATTGATCCATACCCAATTCACTATTGGCAAGGGATCAAAACGATGATCAAAACGATGATCAAGCCATGGGTGAAAACCCATGGGTTTTCCATCCATTTTAAGCGAGCGGCGAGCGTGTCACCTTCTTCAGGTCAAACTGCCGGGCACAGTGCCTTGAGGAGCGACTGGATTTGGACTGGGAGGAGATTCCTGAAGAAATCCAGCTGAAATCGGAAAAAGATACTTGAATTTGACATGAATCTTAGATGAATCTTAGGTCTCAGATAAAAACCTTGGAGAAATCTTAGATTGGAGTTCCACCAATTTTCCAATTGAAAGCTGACACACTCCTTAGCGTTTTTGGTGGAGTCACACCATGTTCCTGCAATGCCGTGTCAGGACAGCTCCTTGAAGCTCTTGAGGGGCGCAAACAAAAAGGTGCTAGGCCCATCTAGGCCAACAGCAAGTGGAAACCGGCAGGCGAAGCCTTTTCAACATGATGTTGGTTGATGGTTGATGACTGAGGTAGAATTCTAGGGCCTAGGGGGTTCTTCCATGTTCTTCCCACATCTGGGGACTGGGGATTCTCTGATTCTCTGGTCATAGGTGAGGACTTCAGACTCCTCAGCCGTGCCGTGCGTTTCAAGTTTCGCCCCGAAAAAACGTGGTGCCCATCAGCCGGTGCCCCGGGATTTTTTCAAATTTCAAGCACTCCGCCTGGATGGTGGACACCCTCCACAGGATCCACTGGTTAGGCTGAGGCTGCCATGTCAATGCCATATTGGGCGCTGGTTGGTAAAGGTTTCCATTCCACTTGGGATTCTGCACAGAAAACCCCAAGGTGCTGAAAACATGATGTAACATGATGTAACATCTTGCCACCATCCAGGCATGTTTCCTCCGAGCCGGAAAATGGCCGCATTTCACCAAAGTCACCGTCCATCCCCACGACTTTTGATGCGCCCGCCGGAACCAGAAGCGGCATACCGCGGCGTAGCTGTCAGCAACTGGGATGAACATGAAAACCCCAGCAGCAAAGTGGTACTTCTTGGGGAAATCCAAGGCTCTGGAATTTCCATTTAGCACATCTTAGAACCCCAAACAAGATGGATGTTTTTTCCCCAAGTCTTTTCTGACCATCAAATAAAACCCCATCACTATAGGAATGAACATCTATCAACGAAGTCTAAAATGAATAGATTCAGTAGCAAAGCAAGGTTTCTGCGGGGTGTTTAATGGTGTTTATCATGATTTAAGTCAGAGTAATTTAGTTATTCGGTTCTTCCTGGCAATTTTTCACATCCAAATTACCCCAGATTCTATGGTTAACCAACACCTCGGCATAAAAAAAATTGATCTGGTTCCAGCGGTGTAAGTGCTAAACCACAAGTTGTGGCAATCATGATTCCTACTTCTCGTCCTACTCGTCACGTGCTAGGAGCTCAGAACGTATCAAGGGATGCCCAGATGTCGCCAAGGGCACGCATTTCCAAGTACAAGTAACCCCGTTGGAAAATCACATGGAACCCCCACAAAAAAAAAGGGTTTAGAAGATGTTCTGTTTTTGGGAGTTGCGTTTTTTTGGAGGTGCCTTTTTCAGCTTCAAGTGTGCCACATCTCAAGTTCAAAAACTGAGGACCTTCTCAATGTCTAGTGGGGTACCCTCTGGTCAACATACCAAAAACATCAAAAAACGATGATAAATCATCATGTTTAATGGGTAAATTCACTATTTCTATGGGCCATTTTCAGTAACTATGGTACCCTCTGGTAATTTGTTACAGTTCGCGAACTTGAAAATGTCCCAGTCGAAATAGTGGATTTACCCCTTAAACATGGTGGATCTGTCCATAGCTATGTTAAATAAGCAGATGGTATAGTTTACCAGATATACCAGATAGTAGACATTAGTAAACTAACATAACTATGGTGGATCTACCCACAAAATGGTGGATTTTTCCATATCTTTCCATCGTTTTTTTCACGGGGAGAATTTCGAGCTCCGGCACTGCGAAACCCAGGGCACACAAATGGGAGGATCACCACAACATTCGAGCGACCTGAACGACCTAAACGTCATCCCATCAGGTGATTACTATCCCTGTTTGTTGATACTTGGAATAGTCACCTATCATCATCATCATCATCATCATCATCATCATCATGGTATGATTATATAATTAATATGATAAAATATAATATAATATAATATAGTATAATGCAATATATATATATATATACATTTATTTATTTACATGCTTTATTATACATGTGTGTGTGCGCCTTTCTGTTTGAACTTGTATGGCACCAGATCAGTTTCACTCTTAGGATATGTGTTTCTTCCAAAGAGGGACTCTATACCTAGACCGCTAGACCTGACCATTGGCGAATGCTTCTCCTTAACTGAAGTACAGACCGAATCCCCTAAGGCCCTAAGTGTCTTTTCTAAGAGGATTTATGATTTGGCCCACTTTGGTTTCCCCAATTCTACATTTCACCCACTGCGAGGACGGATATGCCCATTGCATCCCATTGCTGTTTGTTACCCACGGCATTTTCTCTGGGTGAAGAGGATAATTTGTTGCTGGCGCTGTTCCCTTTCTTTGGTCACGTCAACTGTTGGTTACCCTCTGGTAAACATACAAAAAAACTATGGAAAATCACAATTTTTAATGGGTAAATCCACTATAAATGGCTATTTTCAATAGCTATGTTTCGTTTACCAGAGGGTAGTGTCAACCTTGGAGTAACCCGTGGACTTCACTAGGAGTCTCACTTTTCTATCGGATTGCGATCCGAGGTAAAAATCAACCAGGTTTTTTGGCGCAGAGGTTAGCTATGGTCTCCTAAGCGCGGTTGTCCCATCTATTAGGCTATATATAACTGGTTGGTGCTTTGGAACATGAATGGATTATGACTTTCCCATCAAATTGGGAATTTCATCATCCCAACTGACTTTCACTCCATGATTTTTCAGAGGGGTAGGGTCAACCACCAACCAGATTATTAGTAACCATCATTAACCATAGATTAACCATATATTAACCATTATGAACCATATATTAACCATTATTAACCATATACTAACAATTATTAACCATATATTAACCATTATTAACCATATATGAACCATTATTAACCATCTATTAACCATTATTAACCATATACTAACAATTATTAACCATATATTAACCATTATTAACCATCTATTAACCATTATTAACCATCTATTAACCATATATTAATAGTATATTACCAACCAATGGTTATGAATTCTTACCATTACCTACAAACACGATTCGTGGGATGATCCTCCAGACGTCTTCGGTTTCGCCGAACAAATCGCCGTTTGAAAGACCCGGTGGTTCGCCACCGTTGCCACCGTTGACTCAGTCAGGGTGTGCTCACTGCGCCATCGGGGCGCTGAAATCATCACGGGAGTGGGGGCTTCCTCGAGTCAGATCTTTATGGATGACGAATATGACGAATATGACGATAGTGATACAGGTAGCTATCCGTGAATAAAACCATCTAATTAGTAATCAGATAGTAAATCTAAATTGGATTGGATTTAGATTTGGAAACCATTTAGGTAACGTAAAATTTAAATATTAATCGGATAGTGATAATGAATAGTGATAATATGTGAAAATTATAGTATACCATAGCCATAATTGGCATATGATAGTGATAGTGATAATAGTGAATCAGATGCCAATTGTGTTTCACCTGATTATTCCATATTAATCCTTTATGATTAATATAATATTAATATGTTCATCTTATCGGGAGGGGATGATAAGAATGATGCTACGGATGATCATCAGCACGGTGAATGACGAGCTTTACAAACGCGGTATCAATAGTGGAGAGTGATGACAATGATGCAGTAGTAACATGTAAAAAGAACCCTAATAAAAGTGAATAGTGAGTAGTGATGATGATGATGATGATGATCATGATCATGATGATGACGATGACGATGACGATGACGATGACGACGACGATGATGCTGCTGCTGATGATGATGACGATGACGAATACGACAATGCAACTTCCAATGAATTCTTAGGACATTTGGGGTTCCCATAATTCCTCATTTCTTTGTGGAAACCTTGGATTCGACTTCCAGAATAAGGGTAGCCAGATCGAAATCGGACCGAGGGAGCCAGCGGGTCCCAGCGGGCAGTCGCGGGTCGCGGGCGGGTCGCGGGTCGTCAGGGGCCTCCACGCTCTGATCGTTGTGCAGTGGAATGTGAAAAGTATCCTCTGGTAAACATACCAAAAGCCATTGAAAATGGCCAAAGAAATCGTTGATTTAGTTGTTTTACCCATAAGAAATGGTGGTTGGAACCAAGTATCCCATCAATTGAATCTGGTTGGTTTGGAACATTTGGATTGTTTTTCCAGATATTGGGAATAGTTTTTTCCCAACTGATTCATATTTTTCAGAGGGCTAGGTATACCACCAACCATGAATCCACTGGATGAAATGTGAACGCCAGATTTGTTGCAAGGGATTAATTGGGGTGAACTAATATGTATATATATATATGTATATATTTGAATTAGTTGGCTTCCTGATTTTCATAGATTATCAATTTGAATTATCAAAATCCACTGGATGATTGGCATGAAATCTGATGGGCTGCAGCCCATCCTGTCATCCTCTGAACTGGAAGAATGTTTTTACAGAGACTCTCTGGAACTGGTGCGTGCCGCATTAATGATTTGGAAAAGGGGCATTTGGAAAATACCCTGGATATGATCTGGATATGGACATATAATGAGAATATGATTCTAATGATTCTGGATACCCTCTGGTAAATTAACATAGCCATGGAAAATCACCATTTTTAATAGGTAAACCATCTATAAATGGGCCATTTTCCATGGCTATGTTAGTTTACCAGAGGGTAATGTTGGAAAGAACTGTGGATATAGCCTCTGGGTTTACCAGCCACGTGTGGAAAGATCCACCATGCTATTAGTGGGTAAATCCACTATTTCGACTGGGCCATTTTCAAGTTCGCGAAGTGTAAGAAATTACCACAGGCTAATCCCCAACAAATATTCGATGTGGGGTTTGTGTCCCATTATCAGAGGCCAGGTCATTGAGGTCCCAAAATTCTTCCAAGATGCCACAATTATCATGTTTTTTGCTCATCATCCCAACAATATCCAACCTGGTTGGTGGTTTCAAACATGACTGGATTATTTTCCATTTCATATATGGGATGTCATCCTTCCCATTTTTCCGAACTCCATGATTTTTCAAGATGGTTATTGCACCACCAACCAGCGCTCATCATCCCAACAATATCCAACTATTGGATTAAAATTTGATTGGAATCTCCCATTGTGGATAGTGAAATATAGTGAAATACGTTCTCCCAACAACATCCAAGAATTTGATAAAATTGATAAGTGATAATTTGCTGATCCCTTTGGCATCATTGATGAGTGATAGTTTTAATATCCATCTGGTTATTTAACATAGCCATGGTATAGATGACCCATTGAAATAGATGGTTTACCTATTAAAAATGGGTGGATCTTTCCATGGCAAACTGTTAGTCATAACCAGATGGTATCCATCCCAATATCCATCCCATCATGAAATCCAACATCCCAAATCATCCGACTTGAATTCTCAGAGAGTTTTACCCATTAAAAAACCATATAGCAATTCCCACATGGTAAAAACGTGCTAATCCATGGTTAATCTATGGTTAGCAATGGTTAATCTATGGTTAATAATGGTTACTAATTGGAATAACAATATATCTGCTTGGTGGTTTGGAACATGTTGTTTCCATATTTTTGGAATTTCATCATCCCAACTGACGAACTCCATCATTTTTCAGATGAGTAGGCTCAACCACCAACCAGATATATAATATTATAATAACAATCCATTAACCATCCATTAACCACCATTAACCAATGTAAACAATTATAAACCATATTTTTCAGAGGGGTTGGTAGGTATACCACCAACCAGAATACCAATTGCATCACATTTGGATTGATCAAACCCAACATCATTATCCTCCAACATCATTATCCAACCCATTGGATTGGTAAAACCCAACATTTGGATTGGTAATATCCATGGTAAACCCAACATCATTATCTAAATACTGGTAAAACCTTGGGCTCTTGTGATGAGGGCCCCAAGGCCACGAACCTCCCCCGCGTGGCACCGCGGCGACCCCCAAAAATTCGGATGAAAACTTGGTCGTTTTTGGCCGAAAGAATGGGCGTGGGGAGTTGGGAAGCACCAGAATGGGAGTAGAATGGGATAGCACTGGGATACAATATATGGGTATGGGTCAATACCTATAGATGCCTATTAATACCATTTTTAGTGGGATGAAAATCCATAAATCCCAGCTATTTTGATGAGAACTACAGGGGTACAAGGTTTTGACACACTGCCATAGATATATATATTATATATATATATTATACATATATGATTATATATGAAAATATCACTTAATTATATATGATAATAGGGGATAGTTTTATAAGATTATACAAGATATGGTTGGTCATGGAAAATATAAGGGCTCCAATCAAGTGTCAACATGGTTGAAAGCCCCGAGCCTATGGAAATTGATTCACCACGATGACCTCATGGATCAGTGATAGAAAATTGAGAGAAAGATTAATCCAGATCCATGCGCCAATAGGATCACTAATACTATTATACAATCATTTATAATCATGAATAATAGTTCCATTTCAATCCATTGCAACTTTGCAATCCTGTGGTACAGTCCGCCATTTCAGGCTAGTTACGGCTAGTTCTTGGGAGAGTGCTTAGCCGAGGATTTCTTATAGGCATGTATCCCCCCATTTGTTGGAGACAACAACACACTCTACCACCTTGTTATTCAACATAGCTATGGACAATCACCATTTTGTTGTAGGTAAATCATCATAAAATATCATAATTCATTCGGACATGGGCTATGCATTTTTATGTTGGAAACCAGAGCGTACACTCTGGCAAACTAACAGTTTGCGACCGAAAAATCACTATAAATCAACGAACTACCCTCTGGTAATTTGTTACAGTTCGCTATTGAAAATGGCCCAGTCGAAACTCAGTGAGTTTTCGCATGAAAATAGCATGGTGGATCCGTGCATAGTTTTTTGTATGTTTACCAGGCCGGGTAAATGGGCCATGGTTTCCCTACTATGTTGGTGTATCCCCCAGCCCACTCACCTGGAGGTTGACATGCTGGAGCAACGCTCGGCCGAGAAGGAACGAGCCCTGCAGAACGAGGCGCGCGCGGCTACCCGTTTTGCGGGGAGTAGCCTCTGGTGAACTAACAGCTGGTTGGTGGTTTCAAACATGAATTTTATTTTCCATTTCATATATAGGATAGTCCTTCCCATTGACGAACTCATATTTTTCAAGATGATTAAAACCACCAACCAGGTTTGCCATAGAAAATGGCCCTGTTACAGTTGATTTACCTATTAAATAAAGATGATGATTTTCCATAGTTTTTTCGTATGTTTACCAGAGGGTAAGCTACCTCAGAACTGACATAATTGATTTATATATATATATATGTGTGTGTGTGTATTACTTGGGAACTTTATACTATAATTAAGCCAGTAGTTCATAATGTACTTAAGTTAGTAATTCACCAATAGCCCAAGTTAGTAGGTTAGTGGTGATATAATGAATTCTAATCCATAATTGACATTATTCATTGATAGTACTGGATTATGAAGATTGTAACCGATTCGTTGGCCTACCTAATAAACTGTGCATTGGGGATTATGAACTGAGCTATAAGTGATGGAACTAGGAGGGATTACGAGTATTGGAACGGTAGCACCTTGTAAATAATTTTGTTGGTAAGCGTCCCAAAAATGACGTGTTGCCAGTTTGAGAGTTATTTTGATTTTCACAAGAAGTAGTGATGGTCAATCGTGAAGGGCATGCCTTGTTCTTGCCTCAGGATTATGGTGAAGGGATGTGTCATGGCCTTTCCTTCTTTTTCTACCATCTGCCGAAAATACCACTGCGTGTGGGATCAATTCAATTATATATATATGTATGCATATTAAATCAAGTAGATGAGGATTAGTTAAAATCTCTGACATGAGATTTTGGGGAAATCAACATCCATAAACTCCAAGAAATCCCAAGATGTTTTGGATATATTAGCAGAAAAGAAACCCGTTTTTTTGATCTCGACCATCCTGCCAGGTAGAGATCCTGCGAAAGCAGAAGGACAGCCAGGTGTGTTTTTTTTTCTCCGGAAAGCGAGGGGGGAAATCACCCTGGGTTTTTTCATGTTTTCATGGAAGATGGGATTTCCTCTGGATTTGTTAGATGAACATGGACAAACTCTTGTTGCTTTAGAATCTTTGGAGTTTGGAGTGTGTGTTGGATGGGTTTTCCTCACAGGAGCTTTTAACGAACAAAAAATGGTTGATTTTTCAGCCATGTTTGATTTCCGGAAGGTAAAAATCCTGGGAACAATGGAATGAATTAAAAGGGGATCAATGTATGATTGAAATATAGTCGATATACCCTCTAGTAAACTAACGTAACTATGGAAAGATCCACCATTTTTAATGGGTAAATCCACTATTTCAATGGCCATTTTCCATAGCTATTTTGACATAACCAGATGGTATATCCCATTAAATCACCATTAAAATCCCATTAAATATCTTATTGATACTATAAATGGCCATTTTCAATAGCTATGTTAAATTACCAGAGGGTAAACCAATTCATTTTCTCACCGCGCTACAGGTGGCCTCGCTTCGTGCGCAGCTGGAATTCCAAACCACCGAGCTGCGACAGACAGCCGAGCAGGAGGCGTCCAGAATATCTGCTGCGACAGACGGCCGTGGGGAAAAAACATGTGGACTATGTGGATGTATGATATTTCTATATATATATATTTATACATGATTCACTATCCATATTTTATAAATCATGTATATCATATGCATTTATATATATATAATTATGTATCATAGATATCTCATAATTATTTACCTATTGGCCCTCCGGTCATCAAAGGTGGCAGTGAAACAAAGTCCCTCATTTCGTCCGATGTTCCCCCAGACTCCATTGCCACGAGCCTCCCATGGTGGGAGTTAAGCAAGGAAAAACGCCGAGAATTTCATGGGAATTTCATGTGATTTACTGGGATATGATTCATTATCCATATATATATATACAGTATATATCCAGTAATGTCCAACATATATCCAATATATATATATATCCAACATATATCTAACATATTTTTTATGGGGATTTGTCATGGAGATTTTTTGTGGCCCTAAAATGGAGATTTATGGCTATGGTTGACCACTGGACCACTGGGCTTCAATGGTTCAATCGGTGAAGCTTTGTGCATTTTGCTGGTCATAAATCAAGACGCGAAGATACATAAAGGACATTTACAGATATTCACGTGTCTTTATTTGCCTGTGCGTAGTAAGGTGCATGTTAATTGTATAACTACCCAAAACTAAAGAAAGATATCTGATATCTTTAAATGATCCACCTGCAGGTTGCATTTTTTCGTGTGAAATATGAGAGTTTTTCCCACCGGAAGTCGTGCCAGGTATCACTGCTGAAGCAGGACTTCGAACGCCGCGAACGCTCCCTGCAGCAGATGTTGGAACAGGTGGGCGATTGGGATGATCCCTGCCTGGAGGTGTTTGAAAATGTTTGAATCATAGGAAAAAATGGAACAATAGCCCCCCAGCTGTTCCATAGGCGGCAATTAATCCCCAAAAAAAGTGTCATTTCATAGGAAAAGATATGGAACATTGACGATAAACCACTCATTTTTGGTATCTTCCGACAAAGCCAAACGCTTAGTAACAAACTGTAACAAACTGTAGATCATCCGAAAAATATCGAAGACATCGTTGTTGCCTCTCAAGTGGGTGTACAAAATGTTCGACTCCCACGAGACAAGTCATCGTCAAATACTACAGGTTCCAGCTATTTCCAGCTCAAAATCCCGCCAATATTCCTGATGCCAGAAAGTGAATCACTATCCTCTGGTTATTTAACGTAGCCATGGTATAGATGGTCCATAGAAATAGATGGTTTACCCATTAAAAATGGGTGGATCTTTCCATGGCAAACTGTTAGTCATAACCAGATGGTATCCATCCCAATATCCAACATCCCAAATCATCCCATATCATAACCAGGTACTAACTATTTCAGTAGGGTTTTTACGAATTTCCATCTTTGGGGGATCACTTTCCAGCATTTTCCAGCCAGGCCCGACTGGGACAGGAAGAGGAGACGCGCACAGCGGAGATCCAACTGGCACCATGGCAGTTGCACAGGTGAAAGTCTTATTCAACGAACCTGGATATTAGCCTGGATTCTATTTTGATATATGTTTATATATAATATAATTGGTGTTTTATTTATATTATACTATATTATATTTTACATTATAATATATAACTCATATATATATATACATATATATATATATACATATCTATATATATATACATATGCATATATATATATGCATACATATATCTGCATGTGTGTTTTGGTTTTGGAATTTTCTGGGAACTTCCAACTTTGCCCGGAAAACTGCGCTGTCGCCGTTTTTTTTCGGGATCCTCTGAGGCCATGAAACTGAAGCGCCAGGAGGAGTTGTTGAGAGCTTCGGAGGCGACGTTGCGCAAGCGGTGTCAGTGGAGAGTAACTGGGGAAACTGTGGGTTAAAATGGTTCGAAAATTGCAATAATAAGATATAATAACTATAACCTGCCTTATATTGATGGTATCAATATCATATATATATATATAGTTGTTATCAATAGTTATATTAACTGATATGATTTAATAGCCATATTATCCCATATAAATCAATATAAAGTGATGGTTTATATATATATATGTATGTTTATACCACCCATAAAAATGATCATTTATGGTGATGGTCTACTATTGCTTTACTCACCGTAGTTTCAACTGTCTGTGGTTTCTGTCGGTTTCTAGGCGGCTAGTAGGTTCCCACAACTTTCAAGCTGGACATTCTGCTTCTATTCCAAGCATTTTCCGAAAATTGTTGGTTTTCACGTTTGACTGCGCTAGCTGAAATATCATACACTGAAGACATTCTGAGGAAAAGACCTATAGATATTTGTAGATTCTGCTTGGATTTTCTTGGCTCCACATCAAACCTGGGCTTTTCCAGGCCAAGATCAAGTCCCTGGAGGAGAGCAGTGACCGGCAACAGGTGCCCTGGGCCGCAGTCCCCATAGGAAATCAGCAGGAGGAATGGGGGCAAAATGGGGTACTCACCCAAGAATAGACCTATACAATATATATATATAATCCATTTGGGGCTGGTTTATACCACCCATATATATATATATATGTGTGTGTGTATAATCACTTAGAATCATTTATCATGATGATTTTGGGGATGCTTTATTATTGGATTCACATTATTCCATCAGGAATATATGGGTGTGTTTGAAAAAAAAAGAGGCCTGCCCCGAAAAATCCCAAAGCGTTGATCCTCGATTTTGACAAAGCCTGATTTGGGTTTGATATCAGTGATATCCACCAATAGGACACTAGGCATATCATTATTCAGGGGTTGGTAAATGTCCTGATTTTTCACATCACCCAAATATTGGGGAAATAATCTCCAACAGATACTTGTTCAAGTGATGTTCAAAACGGTCCCAAAATGGGACGTTTACCCTCTGGTAAACTCACATAGCTATGGAAAATCACCATTTTCAATGGGTAAATCCACTATAAATGGGCCATTTTCAATAGCTATGTTAGTTTACCAGAGGGTACCAAACCCTGTTATCATTTCACATTGACCTTCTCATCCACAACGCCAAAAACGCATGCCGTGGCGCTGCCGGTGCCCCAATGAGTGGCCCTCAAAGGAACTCTATGAGCGTCACGTGGGGCAGTTGTCGCAACAGATCAGGAGCAGCCAGGACCCCTGACAGACAGCCCCTGGAGGGATGCAAATGGTTGGAGTATACCACCCCAAATGGCCATCTTAATAGAGAAAATATCGGGAAAGTATGGGAAAATCATGACTAACCAATGGATTTATGGGCACACTTTAGACAAAGCCAAATAGTGGAGAGTTTCCACTGGAAGACCTGGAAGCAAGAGGTGAAAAGTGTTGCTTGTAGACCAGAAACTAACCAGAGAGAGCTGTGGTCATGTTTATTGGAGCCCTGGACACCTTCAAAATTCAATCCTCCAAGGATGATTGAAAAACTGTATCGCCACTGCAATGTTTAGACCCGAAGACCCTTTCAGAAACCTGAAGCAAATATCTTAGTGAAACATAGTGAAATCAGCGAAGAAGTCCATTTTCAATGGCCATCTCCCACAAAATATGGCCTTATATGGTACAGTACCTCCATTTTAGGATTCCTGAAATGCTTCCAACAAAAATGAATTCCGCGTTTGTTTTTCCAGAGCTTCACAGGAGAACTTCCGAAGTCAATTGGAAGTGGCACAGTCGGAGAATGACGAGCAACTGCAGGTGCCATTGGGACCATGCGCTGCTAGTTCTACTACTTTCACGAGCTCGGAGTTTGGCAACCAGTTAAAAAATGTTAAATTCAAACCTCTAAAACTGGAAGTGTCAAAATGTGTGTCAAATTCCCAAAAAGATCCAAAACAATGGAAGAATCAGATCATCCAAAACTGGCCTGAACCTACCTCACTGGTTCAATTGAAGGAACATCGGAACATCCGCAGCAAATGTTCCCCTGATGGAATTACAGTATGGTTTCCCCATAAATTGCATGGTTATATGGTTCAACTTGTTGAAAACTCCGATGTTTTCCATTGTTTTCATTCATTCTTTTCCATTCACCATAGGTTTCTCCCAGTTTCTCCCATGTTTTCCCCATGAAAATCCACAAAAAAACATCCGGGGTCTTCGCTGCTTCCCCAACCCACCCAGGCGGCCATCGCCAAGTTGTCGGACGTGGAGCGCAACAGCAAATCGGAGCGGGAACGCATGCGCGCCGAGGTGGAACAGGACGAGATTGGGAAAAAAAAGTGGGGAGATGTGCCTCTGGGAAAATGGCCAACTGGTTGGTGGTTGGTGGCTAATGGTTAATGATGGTTAATGATGGTGAATAAGGCTTATTGACAGTAGAAATAGTGGATTTTCCCATGAAACATGGTGGATCTTTCCATAGTTATAAATAATGATAATGGTGTAATGATAATGGTGATAATGGTGATTAATGATGGTATAATGATGGTATAATGATGGTGATACCCTTTGGTAAACAGCCACATGACTATGGAAAGATCCACCATTTTTAATGGGAAAACTCACTGTGAAATTGTACTATATGATCACATATCTGTTTTTTTACTAGGTAAATCAACCATAGTTGGGATATTGATATGATCAACTACAACTGGTTGGTGGTTTGGAACATGAATGGATTATGATTTTCCATTCAGTTGGGAATTTCAGATCCCAACTGACTCATATTCTTCAGAGGGGTAGGTATACCACCAACCAGTACAAAAAACAATAGACAATCACCATTTGGAATAGGTAAATCAACGAACTAGTAACTAAATGGTAGATTTTTTCAATAGCTATGTGACAAATAACCAGGGGGGAGGTGGTCATTTGCTGAGGAAATTGAAAATTGGCAATAATTAATGGTAATCACTGACATTCATTGACTCAGAGTGGGGATATGTCATATATGTACAGTAATATGATGATCATTGGATATAATATGATATAATTGGTGATGTTCAACCAACTATTTTAGAAGATCATGAACAGAATGATTCAGCAACTTAGTAGCTGGTTTGGATTCATGTAGATTGACCGCTGTTGGATGCTCACCATGGCTTGCCATTTTGCCAGCCATGAAATTCGAAACTTGATGACCAATTTTTGCTACCCTCTGGTAAACATACAAAAAGCGATTGAAAATGGCCATAGAAATAGTGGATTTAGCCATTAAAAATGGTGGATCTTTCCATAGTTATGTTAGTTTACCAGAGGATCCAGAGGGCATTTTGGGATGTAAACCCAACGCCATGAAACTCCGGGGAATGCTGGTTACTACCTATTTCTGGGGTTGATGGCAGCTTGGGTGTCCAGGACGAGGACGACCCTGATCAACGGGTTGACGTTCACGGCGTTGTTTTTCTTAGCGAAACAGATCGATACGGGATTTCAGTAACAAAAACTTGGAGTTTGACCAACACAAATTGTTTTTTGCGCACAGATTTCTGTGGGTTAAAAAAATAATAATAAGACCAACAATGACGGGCGACAGTTACAAGAATTGTTGTTGATGGAGTTCTTATGATGGTCTCTGCAGGCTAGCGCGGATCATTTCTCTAGCCGCCGTCAGGAGCGTGAAGAACAAGCTTCGAAGTTGGCACAGGCCGCTTTGGTGCCCCCAAGACGTAATTCTGCTTTGAATGGGGACGCTAATTGGTGTATGGCCTACTTGTGAATGGTAGGTGTAGTAATGGGTACACGGAATAGTATGGTACAGTATGGTATAGTATGGTGTATCTATAAGTGGGGTCAGTAATAAACTTCTACATTCAATATTGGTTTGCAAACTACTTCTGAATGGTTGGCTGAATCCGTAGTGTTGGGCAGCAGCCATGAGGTGCTCACCCTGCCTAATCCGGATAAACCCTGGGGGTAGCTAACATTCCACTTGTTTTCCATCACGTCCTTTTTTCCAACTCCACTGATTTCAGGATATGCGACCAACATCTAAGCATAATTCATCATACTCCATCTAAATATCGACTCAGCATAATCCATCCCTTTAGAATCCTTCAAATCTATATATATATATATACATGCATCCATCCATCCATCCATCCATACATAGATATATATATATATATAACATTTATTTATGTAATACTTATCTATATAACATTTCTTTATGTAATATCCACACATTGAAGTTGTTTGGGATTTTGTGGTAATCTCCATCCCCATCTCCTTCGATGTATCACCATTTTGTTTCCAGGCCGAGGAACTGGGGCAGCAGGTCGCAACCCTTCAACGGGAGATCGACGAGCTCCGCCAGCAGCTGCTGCAGGTCCTACGGAAACGTAGGGAAACGTAGGGAAACGTAGGGGAAATGGGAGAAAAACCAAGGGTAAACCCTTGTTTTTGGGGGAAAAACGTTTTTCAGTCCAAATCCTGGAATTCTTGGGAAAACTTGTTTTTTTTTTCAGACTAAATCCTGGATTTCTGTGATATTTTTGTTTATTCCAATGAAGCTGTTCAAGTTAGATGCGATGGATACTGGGAAACGTTGCCAGCAATTTCCTTGGCTTTCCGTGTTCGGCCATTCTATTTGGTCATTATGCGGCGTCCAGGGTTTCTTGGCCGTGTTGCGAGGCACGCATGAAGTTGCTGGACAGGCTCACTGGGTTATGTTAAAACTTCTGATTTTAAAAAGCAACAAGTGCGAATAATGTTTGCGTGTGTTTTCGCTTGCAGCTTATTGTCAAGGTTGAAAATGGTTGAAAACCCAAAACCAAACGAATGCAGCGTGTGTGCCATCATTGATTTGCAAAATAAAACAACATGTTTTATCCTTTTTTATTTTCAACAACATTTGTGATTGACATTCCACATGGAAAAATGATGAAAAATGAGTTTTCGACTTAGTGGACTTGTTTCTCAAATACTGTTTCACTTCTAAGCCATCTAAGCCATTTTTTGCGCCTGGCATTTGGTTCAAGTTGGTTTTTAACGCCTCACCGGGACCGGGGGGGGGGCAGGGCGGCACCAAAAATCGCGCGGCAGGCCCACGCGGGCCGCGGCAGCTACCGATGCACCCAAGACAGCGAAGGCGTGGTGAAATTTGGACAATTTCATAATTTCATAACCCATATGCTCCATGTGTGGTACATTTACCTACCTGGTGGTTTCAAACATGTATTATTTTCCATCATATGGATAATCCTTCCCAGTGACGAACTCATATTTTTCAAGATGGTTGAAGCCACCAACCAGCTACATTTGGGTGATTTTTTTGGCAAGTGTTGGTAAATATTCCAGCACCATGGAGCATATGGGAATGGTGGATGGATTCTGCAAATGTTAGGAAATTGTGATCTTGAGCCATGGGTTTTGCCTCACTGTCCCGGTTTCAGAGTGCAATCAAGGTGGATTGTGAAATCATCCAATATGAGAGGATATTGCAGCATCCAAAATTGGGACAAATTTGAAACCATCAAAAATACTATGTAATTATTGCATCAAACAATTTAAAAAAACGTTTTGCCAAATATATCATTTCCAAACAATGTAACCACGTGGAAAATAGGGACCATGTTGTTTCATTTTTTTTATAGATGCCATGGTTTTCATGTTGGACTGCTCACACACACAAGGTTTTTCTGGAATGCGCCTTTTTTCGAGCTGGTATCAACGATTGTTCCCTCGGATGACAGCATGATCCCAAAACCAATTCACATTGATGAACATGTGCACAGTCTGGGCAAACCGAGGCATCAGAGGCCCTGGCAAAACAATGCTGATGTTTCCGGAAAAATTCTGACTATCCAGACATAACCATCAACAATTTTCCCAAATCATTGGAAACTATGAACAGATATTGAATAGTTAAATATAGAAAACTTGATAACTCAACAGTTTCTATCCATAACAATTAAATATCCATAAAATATTCACAATTAGCTAGTAAATATCCATAAATAACCATGAAATAGCAATAAAAAATAACCATAGATAGCTAGTAAATAACCATAAATAGCTCAATTCTATCCATAAGTAGCTAGTAAATATCCATAAACCATGACGTTGGTAACATCATGTCCTCAGATTTGATGAAAAAATCTGTCACCTCAGGCGGCTCGCCGCATGTCGGAATCACAGATTCCTGAGGCGATTTGGACGGTTGGATGGCTCGATGGTTGGACGGTTTTTTTATGTTTTTTTTCCAACAAATCCCCTGGCAAAAAAGGTTGAAACCACCCAAAAACGAGGATTTAACTGATTTAACCCGGAAAAATGAGGATTTAACCATCAAGATTCTTCGAAATCCATGGGATTGAACTGATTGAACAAACAAGATTGATGATTTAATGTGGATTTACCGAAAACAGATTCCTTGACGTAAAGAAATCCATGGATTTCCCTTTGAACTGATCTACAAATGTTGATGTTTTTTCAACTATGTCAGCTGGAAGGCGGGAAAATCATTCATCACTTGGAGATGTTACCCGTTTTTTTGATTGTTTTAATGTTTTTTTTGAAATTATAGTCATAGTCAATGGGGGGTTGAAGTATTGGTGCTGTTTTTTCTACCTTGAATCATCCAATGACCCAATATTTTTTTTGCATACCCGAGATAGCTATTTGGCATCTCCATGTTTGCAGATCTACTCCTCGTGTTTCAGGTTGAACTCGCAATCACGAGCTGCTTGCAAAAAAAACGCCGTTTGTTTGCGATTTGTAGGGAGTCATACTACCGTTGGTTACCATATACTACCCCAAATATAGGGGATGATCATGGATTTCCAATGGGTTTTAGTTCCACTGCTCGGGGATTTAGTTAGATATCAGGCGATGTTTTTTCCATTCCCGCCGACATGCGAGGTGTCCAACATCCATGCCCGTCGCAAGTCGACACGTATCATGCTGCTGCCAGCCAAACTCCAGGAGGCTCGGGACATGGTGCTGCAAGGTGGACCACTACCACTGGCCGTTTTTGTTGTGCTAACAACGATTGATTTTGGTGTTGTTCCAATTGTCAAGCAGATTATATCCAGGATATTTCATTGTTACGGATATAACTGCTTTATTGTTATGGATATTAATGATCATATATGGATATACATAACATGTTCTATCCATGTTATATTACCCGGATGTTCCTCACTAAATTCATCCCGGGATGATCTTGGATTTTCCAGGCGGCGGCCACTAAAGATACTAAAGCTGAAGCTCCCAAGACCGCTCCCAAGACGACAAGGCCGGCGCTGACGATCCCAAGTCGGGGGAGTTCCAGGGGTTCCAGGAGATGAAATCCAACCGGCCAAGGGTTGGGTTTTTCTCATGGAAGATTCATGAAGATCCTATAGATACTGGATAGATACTGGTTGGTGGTTTCAAACATGAATGGATTATTGTCCATCATATATGGGATGTCATCCATCCCATTTTTCCGAACTCCATGATTTTTCAAGATGGTTAACCAGCACCACCAACCAGTAAAAGATGTGTTTTTTAAATGGATGATTTAGGGCTAGGCCTATGATTCATAGGACAGCTCCAGGCCGAAACAGGCCACTTGGAGCTCACCGAATCCACGTGGCTGTTGACATTCCCAGCCATCGGGATTTCACCAGCCAAACTGGCACAAATGCTCCAATGTGATTGACAACAATCCCATATGCAACCCATGGTGCTGGTATATTTACCTACAAAATTGAGTGATTTTTTAAGGGTAAATGTTGGTAAATATTCCAGCACCATGGAGCATTTGGGAATGCTGTTTGAGTAATGCTGAAATTTTGCACCAAGTATTTTTCGGACTTGGATGGTCGCAGCACTCGTGCTCACTTGGGTATTTCGCGCCAGGTGGCTGTTGTCTTTTAGCATCTAAAGAGGAGCCGGTGACGCAAGTTCACCTTCTCGACCTAGAATGATGGCAAGTTTCAATACCATCGATTACCACCCATTGATTGGGATGTTTGACAAAGCTATCACAGCCCATTTGAATTGGTTCAACCACTTCAATATACTTCAAGCATCTTCAATCCAAAAAACTAGATCCAAAATTTCACCATGTCCAATGCCATTCAAGGTTGCGACTATCAAACCCATATCAAACCATATTAACGCCACATTAAACCATATCAAATCATATCAAATCATATATATAACCATCATTAACCCATCATTAACCATGTTAAACCATCATATATATATAATTATACATATATATATATCATATATAACCCATATAATCATCATCATATAACCCACATTAAAGCCTCATCATATAACCCAAATGGTATGACCCCCATGACGATAACCCGCTAGGCCTGCCCTGCGTCGGCGCACCACCTTCGCAGCGCCACGGAGCATGGCGGTGCCTCGGAAGAAAGGAAAAACCCATGGTGCTTCAGATGGGATTTTCAGATGGGATTTTATGGGATTTTTAATGTATTATAATGGGTTTAATGGAATGGGATTATTTACAATATTTTACAATGGGAATTTTACCCTCTGGTAATTTGTAACATAGCTATGGGAATTTTAATGTGTTTCATTAATGGGATTTTTTCTGGAATTGAATGGGATTTCATTATCCCATTTTAATGGGATTTCAATGGGATTAATGGAATGGGATCTATAAATTTCAATGGATTGGGATCTATAATCCACTATAATCCACTTAGTGGGATTTTTACCCTCTGGTTAAATCTATTGAAAATGACCATAGAAATAGTGGATTTTCCCATTGAAAATGGTGATTTTAATCCACTATAATCCACTCAATGGGATAGACCCTCTGGTAATTTGTAACAAAAAGCTATGGAGAGATCCACCATGTTTAATGGCAAAATCCACTATTTCGACTGGGCCATTTTCAATAGCTATGTTAAATTACCAGAGGGTATTTCAATGGGTTTAATGGAATGGGATTATCTACAATGGATTTTAAATGGGATTTTAAATGGGATTATAATCTACTAGGTTGGGTTACTGGTTGGGTTACTGGAAAAAAAATAATGGAAAATTGGATTTTAATCCACTATAATCCACTTAATGGGATATACCCTCTGGTAATTTGTTACATAGCTATGGAAAATCACCATTTTTTATGGATAATTCAACTATAAATGGACCATTTTCCATAGCTATCTTAGTTTACCAGAGGGTAATGTGGGTTAATGTGGGTTTGATATAGTTGATGATTTGTTTGAGATCGGAATGTGGGGGATACGTCCCTAATTATATTCTTGATATCAGGTGGTCGATGGAAGCCATGCCCAACACATGGAATGCTGGTTGGTTTGGAAGATGAATGGATTACCATCTGGTTATTTAACATAGCTATGGAAAATCATCATTTTTAATAGGTAAAACCGGTAAACCATCTATTTCTATGGGCCATCTATACCATGGCTATGTTAGTCATAACCAGAGGGTATTTTCCCCAATGTCATTGGGATGATGATCCAATCTGACGAACTCACTCCATCATTTTTCAGGGGGGTAGGTGGCTCAACCACCAAGCAGAATGATATTGCCATACGAACGGATTATATCTGGTTGAACGATACAAAAACCTCATCGCCATATTGCTGCTACCACCATTAATGTGAGATTTTTAAGGTGAATCATCCCAATCATATCATCAATTCAACGAGACGATAAATCAAATACTGGGGTCTACATGAGACTATATGATAGACTATATGTATGTAGTTAAAGCAATTTTCCGAACAAGTTCCCCAAAAATCAGTTCCGCCATGAAGTTGTTCAAAACGGATTCACCGAAAAACTCGACAAAAAAAAAATCCGCTGTGAGTGAAGCTGTTTTCGCCGTGAACTTAATCAAAACCAATTCCCAAAAAGCTCCGGAAGCGATACTCTTTAACCGGCATTTCGTTCCACTACTTAGTATACTTGATTTCCTACTTTGCTTTCAGCCGATCAAGACAATCTGCTTTTATCAGGCTTTTATGGCTCTTGCTAGGTGATGCTAAGCATATGTTCTGTGCAACAGCCCAAATTTGGATGATGACTACCTACCAGTTATACCGTATACCCCACATTTGGATAGACTTGGAGGACGCTGACTACTTGACCCATATTTCTGGGACAGGTGGCTTTGACACCCATCACCAGCAGCCCGTGTTAGCTGGGTCTGTGGGAGGTGATGGAATTCCGTCCTGAAGTGCAGAATGATAATCTACTTCCATTTCTCCCCAATATCCATCTATATCAGCAGCTATCATCTATAGCCAATGTTCTTTCGACGGAACAGCGTTCCTGTTTCTTCTTGGAAGGCATGTTAACCGCAGCCGCCCTCCCGCCCAAACCTCCTCGTCGACAAACCCTCCAGCCGACAGCCGACCAAGCAATGGCAGGGCCTGCGCAGAGGACCGTGTTGCGCTTGAAGGTGGTGAAGGGGAGCGAAGCAGTGCGGCGGGCACTGCGAGGAATGGGTTACTCCAGGTCTCGCATCAGTCAACTGATGACTGAGTGCGAGCAGTACCCCCCGAAGAGCGCGGTCCAACGCCGCCGGCAGTCGGCCGAGGACCAACCACGATGCCTCCGAAACACATGATAACAGATAACACTGATAACACAGATGATGCACAACCAATTATATTGATTCTATCATAGATTGCTTGAGCAAGTAGGTTGATCACCGATGACCCGATACATTTCCTCGGACAACGACTTGAGAACAGAGTTTATGAGGTCTAAAAATAACAATATCTAATATATATATATATAGACATGATAATGATCGGCCATTCAGGATTGAGACATCTCTTGGTGCAGGAAGATCGATGGATGCAATAAAAAGAAAATGCAAAATAGTTACACCTACAGTAGATATACTGTATGTAAATATAAACATATATACATACATATGTATATATGTATATATATATACATATAATATTGATCATGATATATCATGATGCTCACCCATTTTGAAAGGCAGCGGTTGGTATGTCGATCACCGACAATCATGATCATGCCGGGGTCCATATCCTTCCCCGTTTTGCGGGTCAAACGCTACAAAATTGGCTGGGTAATTATACAGATAATGGCTCTACGATGGTTGTGAATATCGCTAAGAGGTGATCCCAGCCGCCGTTTCCCGAGAAACTATGAGCCACTCGCAGCGTGCCAGGGAGTTGCCCGTAAACAGCGGGCAAAACAGCGGGGCCCAATCTGGCGTTAGCATTCACCGCAATCTGGAAGGCGGGGTTTGCGCCAGACATTTCGAGTTGTCTTCTGGCATTGGCAACTGGTCTTCCGGATGACTCCTTCATGGGAGCCGATGAAATTCACCGTGTGGGGGGGCCGCCTTTCTTCTGGCTGCAGTCATTGTTGGGGTTCTCATGCTTTCTGCTTGTGTCCGCGTGGCGTGGCGCCCATGTGCCATTTCTAGCGTTCCCTTTCCTTCTTGCTGCCGGCCAAGGCCCCTGCTGCTGTAGCCGGGCCAGCAGAACCGGCACCGCCCACGGCCGGCGACCAGCCGGCGTTCGGAGCCAAGTCTTTCACAGTCTTGACAGAGCACTTCCCAGGGTGTCCATCAAAGGTGCCTCGACACAGCGTTTCCAAACAGCGTTCGGCAAAGCGGTTTCGAAGAGTGTTTCCCCAAGAGTGTCTCTCACAAGTGCTTTCACAGAGTGTTTTGACATCCGCTAAAGGGAAAAACTGAACGCCATCCAGTTTGCCATTTTTGCGGCGATCCCCCCCGAACAAATCTGGAGCAGACGCGCATTCATGCATGTATTTTTTAAAGGCTGGGGGTTTCATGCAATGGATTTAGGGCACACTGGTACACCGACTGTTGTTTTTGACGGCGCGTTGTTTTGAGGAACTCATCCTTCTTTGCGCGGGCCTCGAAGGTGACCTGCTGAAACATTTTTCAACTGCAAGTCTTTCGCTCCTGCCGAGGCCTCCCCGTGTTTCTTGCCTGGCGTCCGCAAGGCTGAGGCGGGGCGCAAAAAGTGAAAGCCACACCGCTTGCTGCGTGTAAAATATCTACAGGTAAAACTCACATGGTTATATTCATCGCGCACGCTCTGCAGCATTGGACCAAAAAGGTACTTAGCTTAGCGGCTTGGGACAGGTAGACATTTGGTTACTACTGTTCCTTATCTCGTTTTACTTGGTTTTTCGCTGTGACCTTGCAAAATACAGGTTATCAGCCGTAGACTCCACTACTGGGTGTACAGATGGCGGCATCCTCTTCAATGGCGATAGTTCCTGTAACGGGTGATCCAAATGCGGCTGTAGCTAACACTCAGGGTGATGGCATAACAGCCGGGTTCAATCCCGTGCCCATGGAAACTGAGAGAGAAATGATTGAACAACCAACTGTTGCATACTTTCAGTTTATTCAAAACAATTTCAATCAGATTCAAGCGGGCAATGTGGAAGCCGTTAGAACTGAAGCCGAACAAAGGCATCGACAAATCATGACGCAAGTGGCCGAACGCATTCGTGCGGCGTGCAATGGTGAGTTGGGTCGTGCCCAAGCCAGGTACGAGCAGGCACTGACGGCAAAAGATGCCGAGCTGCAAAGTCAGCTTTCTGCAATCCGTGCTCAGGCCGAAATTTCCGTTCAGCAGGCGAACAATCGACATGATGTCACGCAGAGCCAGCTCCAAGATGTGAGAGCAGAGCTTGAGAAGGCGTTGAAGAAGGTCAATGAGTATGGTAGGCAGTTGAGTGAAAAGGATGCCGAAATCAAGAACAGAGTAGACCAAGTGAAATCTGAAGCAGAGAAACTTCATGATGACAAAATCAAACAGCTAAAGAAAGATCTTGGTGAAGAATACCGCAAGATTGCTGACAACACAGTCCAACAGGCGTCGGAAGGTATTGCTCAGGTCAGACGCGATATGAAGCCGACATTGAATTCATGACAAAACATCATGAGGATCAGTTGGAGGGGAAACCTCAAAGCAGAATGCCGAACTCCAGGAAAGGATAGATGAGCTTCTCGAAAAGGTGAACAAAGGAGGACAAGCTGCGATCATCGCAAGCCCAACTCCTTTAGTGCCAGAAGCATCAGCCCCGGTTGAGAGCGATCTCGCTAGACTTACCGTATGTAAGTTTTCAACTTTGCTTCCGGCTTTGTTCATAGCAGCCCTTGACTCTTGATCCCTGGCACTACTAAGTTTTTTGCGCCGTTCTATGGACGCCACTTCTACCAGGCGTTGGCTGCTGACTCTTGGGGACAACAAATTGTTCATGCAACAATCCGTCTCTATGGTGATGATTGCCCGTGTGTCCAATGCATTATCGGAACTTTGCTGTGCTTTGGGCATTGATGTATGCTAGAGCCAGCTTGAGCTGGCCATGCTGGAACCAGCCCACATATCGCAGTAATCTCTCCAATCGCCAGGTCATTTGTTGGCTGCTCTCGGGCAGCCCGCTTTTTGGGGCTTTGTTGAGTTCCCTGGCTTAAATTTAAGAGATGTGGTTGCGAGATGCGCCCGTCACCTGTACAATGATATGCCCCAGATCATTGCAAAGGAAAAAGTTTTCTGGGGATGCATTTTGGTCACCGTGAGAACTTTTCCATAGTCCCAAACTCAAGCACTTCTTTTGATGTGCCGTCAGTTTACAACTTTGCACCCTTTATCTCAAGCCAGCTTCAATCCTTTGCTGTTTTGTCGAGGTTATGTCATTTCATTCAGTCCATATTTGTTTTTACGCACGTATTTTGAAGGAATCGCGATTCAGGCAGGGCTTACACAAAACCTTTCACCATTGCAGGTCGATCTTTTTGGGGGTTTCCTTGGCAGGTCTGGGAGACATGCCTGAGGGTTTCTTTAAAGAGGCCCGAAAGGCATTGTGGCCACCCAACCCAGCGGACGATTCTTTTCCACAAATGTGACAACTCAAGTGCTTGCTATAGCACATCCTAAGCGAATTGCTAACTGAAATGATCTCAAATGTAAAGTGGTTGTCAAGTGAACCTGATTTCTGAGGACCCTATGGATCTGAAGACGGCCGAGGTGATAGTCAACAATTTTGTGCTGAAAGGTTCCGTGTACACTTGGCACCAAGTCTTTGAGAAGTGGAAATCCGAATGTGTCTTGCCAAAGTCGCTTTTTCACAAACAGGCAAAAATAAAAGGTCATCTCGAGTTTCCAGGATTTCTAGCATGCAAGTATTTGGAAACTTGTAATTTCTAGAACTGTCCATCCTAGGTGAGGAGATGCGTGTTCAAATCTTTGACGTCTTTGTTGGGCCGCCAAAGTGACAGAGGCAGGGACAACTGGCTCGTTCTTCAGAGACCTTAGAATTTCTCCTTGAACCATGCTTGGGCGGCGACCTCAATGCCACATTCTGCAAGATGAATTTTTACGGGTCCGTAGAGCACTGCACCTTCTATGCTGCGGGCACCGTTTTGGCGTTGGAGCATCTTCATATGAGAAAGATCATTTACCAAGATTTGAAACCCGAGAACATTTTATTGACAGCAGCTGGCCAGATGAAACTGACGGACCTTGGCGCTGCCAGCTTCGCACCCAGTGGCTGCACGGATGTTTGGCCTTCGAGCTCATGTGCGGCCATGCGCCCTTTGAGAGTGAAGATCGCAAGCAGCTCAAGGCGAAGATTCGAAAGGGGCTTTGTCGTGAGAGCCTCCCCGCCTGTTGCGCAGACTTCATTCTAAGCCTGGTGCAACAAGATCCCAAGGACCGTTTGGCCATGCGGCCCGGTGGCATCGCGAACGTGAAGAACCACAACTGGTTTTCGAAGATTGATTGGGGCCTCATGCAGCAGGTGAAGCAACAAGCTTGACTTGCACAACTTTGAGGTTTGTGCGGCGGATGCTCCAAAACGAGCGCGGACAACTTTGGCTACGCCAACTAAGCTGTGCGATATGGGAATCGCGCGCGAATTGCGCAGTCCATGTCTCAAATTACATCACGATGTGAACGTGGTGCACGTGGCCCATTTTCATCACGTACCCGTGTCTGATCTATTCCCCACCCACCGTAGAATGCCAAGGAAAGACCAACACGAAGATTGGCACGCCAGAGTACATTGACATCAGCACAATCACCTGGCCAAGGGGCCCAACATGGCCTTTGGCCAGGGTGGAACAAAGATGGTTTTTGCAGCATTCACGGTAGATATTTTCATTACATCATTGAAAAAAGTTGGTCAAATTTAGATTTAGGGTTTTAGGATTAGTCTAATTCCTCGAGGTTGGTCATAATATCCCCTTTGAAGAATTTCCATTTGCAGGTACCTCAATAAACTGAGAATGTCGTTTTGCGTGGCAGGGGCCGTATTTGGTGCAGGTCCCTCGTCTGTGGCAAATCAAGTTGCGTGCCATGACATACGGCTCAATGGAAGGTAATAATTATTGTTGGATTGCTAAAAAATCGACAAACATGACGTTTGGGGGCTTGTTGTCATGACTGGAGTAAGTGGCGTTTATTGGGACTTTACTTCAAGCACTTTTTTTGTCCCGAAGTTTCATCACTTTTCCCGAATGTGTAGCGAAGGGTTCTCGTTTTGCTTTGGGTTCGCTCGACACTGCTTTTGTGTTCGCAACCGACAGCAACCGCTTGCAACCGTCCGCGATCATTGCCCTATGGCCGTGCCTCCAGGGAGTGCTGCAACAGTGGTCACTTCTCTGAAGGTTTCAAATGTTGCGTAACCTTGCTCCGCGTGGCAAGCGTGGCACTTCGCGACATTCCAACATGCTGCATAATGTTGGCAGTATATAGGTCAGATAGAATGTCAGGTATAGTGTCAGAATATACGTCACATAGAATGCCAGTTAGAATGTGAGATGAATGCCAGAAAGAATGTCAGCAAATCCGCAGTTGCGGAAATCATTGAAATCATTCCTGGCTAGGCTGTAGTGGAGACAATTCGCGAAACAAATTAAACTTCAATTTCCCACAGAAAATCCTCAAAATTCAGCTCAGCCTTGAAGTTGATTAAAACTCATTCCCCAAAAAGTTCCCCCAAATCATCTCCTCCGAGATTATCAAAAGTTCAATTCCGAAATGCGCTCCCCAAAAATCAGTTCCACCGTGAAATTAAATAAATTTAAATGCAATTCCCCAAAGAAGTCAGCTCCGCCGTGAATTTAGGTGAAACAAATTCCCCAACCAGTTTTCCAAAAATCAGCTCCACCGTGAACTCATTAATTTCAACTCCCAAGAAAAACCCTCAAAATTCAATTCCGCCGTGAAGCTATGTATTCTTGTTTTTGCATATATATACCCGTTGTTTTTTCATGATGTCCAATATTTGTAGATAGACACCGCTGATGCCCATCACATGTAATGATTTTGCCGTACGGACGGATCATATCTGGGTGGATCGTATTGACCTCATCGTCATTTCACAGATATACCATACATGACAAGTATTTAATATGATCATATTTCACCCAGATGATGATCATCTTTGCATTTTTATATACATATCCAATTACAGTTACCTTTGCATTTGCATTTGGAAACATAGACATATACAGCATACATACACATATAATCACATATATATTCAATTTTTGCATGCACATTCGCATTTACATGTACATTTTCATTTTACATCTACCTGTACACGCGCATTTGAATCAGCATATGCATATGCATATACATATACATATACATATACATATACAGGTATGTTTACATTTACATTCCATGTGCCCATACATGTTTGCTCACATATACATTAATGTTTTCAACTACGTGTGCATTTACATTTTACAATTGCATGTGCATTTGCATTTTCATATACGTATACTTGTACATATACTTATCTTTGTTTTACACATATATATATATATATATCAGATACATCACATACATACATGCATACATACCTACCTACCTACATACATACCTACATACATGCATGCATGCATGCATACATACATACATACATGGATGTATGTATGTATGTATGTATGTATGCATGTGTGAAACATCCAACATCACATGAAACAGATCACCTTATTCCAGGTCGGGGAATGACGAATCCAACCAGATGACATTCTGGCCCAGCTAATGCTCAGGAAACGGAGATTCTGCCCCTTCGCTTCTTGGCTCCGGTGGCACATTGGGATGGTCCACCATCGATAGGCTATACTCCCTGATGATACCATTTGGCAGTTTAACATAGTTTTGGAAAATCATCATTTTCAAAGATTATCAATAGGTAAACAATGCCAAAGAATCTGTGAACCTAGCAGTTTTCATAGTTATGTTGGATTACCAAATGGTGGCAATAACATCTAGCAATTATGAAATAATTGTTACCCTTATAAATTGTACTGACGGTATCATAGAAGTAGGTGCTACCATTGGGTGGGTACTATTGGTGATATGGTTTTAACTAGTCAGTCCATGGGTAATGACATTTTCCTAAACACCAAAAAAATGTATTCACAGTTGGTAAGAGAAATTGAATCAGCGGAACTTGACACCATTTTCTGTTCATGTCCCACAACATGTGCAAAAAAACATGTTTTCATTTTAAGAAACCAAAATTGCCGGCAGTTTTAAAAGATCCTGTTACTGGATGAGATGTTGCCTAGCAGGTTTCCTCATTGGCGGCGATGCAATCGTTTCCAAGGCGTTGCGGGTTTTGTGGCATGCAGTGGGGATGGAGAAGGTCTCGTTTCAACCGCTTCGATCGGTTTTGGCAGAAATCAATGTCATGGAAATGCCAGCTAAGCAACCCAAAAAACAAGCCAACAGCCACTGGCGAAACCATTTGAGCAGCGTTCTAAATTCCCTTTTACTTGTTTAGTATTGGGCTTGAAATAATTCCATCAAGTCGTAAGACTTTCCTTGGGTTTCGTAAGCAGTGCGAAAAGTTTGACGTAAGCATTGGTCACAAACATGTTGCCGTAAGCCGTTCGTAAGTCTATGTCGGGCCATGAGAGCTGGGGCTCAAACAAGGTTGTGTGCTTTATTTGGTGCATGCTATTGCATGCTATTGCATGCTATTGAATGTCGATGATTAATTATGCAATTATGCCATTGCATATAGGGAAAGCGGTATTGTTTGAACATCAAACCAAAATTCACAGAATCCGAATTGGAGATCGGAAATTGCCGTAAGCTCGGCGTAAGCAATCCGTAAGCGAGTCGTAAGCGAAGGTTGCCTTCAGTGACCCCTGGCACAGAGTTGGCAAGGCCGAAGCCGGCAGTTGAGGTCCAGCAGTGCCCACTGCGCGCGGAAGTTGGCGAAGAGATTGGCGAAGAGTTGGCAAGGCGGAAGTGGACGTGGAAGTTGATGCAGACATGGTCGAGGAGAAACTGGAGGAGGAGGAAGAGGAGGAGGTGGAGGCGGAAGAACAGCTTTGATAAAATCTAATAACCCGTACCCGGCAGGTGGGGAAAAATGCATCTCCTAGCATGTGTTTTTCACTAAAAATTCACTCTTTGGTTTGCCGGGAAAGTTTGCCGTAAGAGATGCGTAAGCTAGTTCTTTGAAGTTGTTGTGCCGTAAGCAAAACCTTGGAAAACGTAAGCGAACGTAAGCTCCTACGTAAGCTTTGAATTTTTTCTCAGGAGATCAAAAGGAATTTTGAACACAGCTCATTTCTGGCCGGGGGCCATCGCCGCAGGGGAAATCTGGTGGTGAAGGGACGTTGCTTCGTCCTAGCTTACAGAAAAATGGCAAGAAACTGGACAGCAGTTGATGTTTCTGTGGTCATGGGGAGAAAACCCATGGCGAGCCCTCTGAAAAGACAAACGGGAAAGGTTCATCTTCCAATGGGTTCCTGGTTGGTGATTTGGAACATGAAATTTAATTTTCCCATCATCTTGGGAATTTCATCATCCCAACTGACTTTCACTCCATGATTTTTCAGAGGGGTAGGTTGAAACCACCAACCAGTTTCAATTGTTCCAATTCCAAATTTGATGTTTTTCTTGGTCACCACCAGGAACCAATTCGCTTTGCCCCAGGGCATTTTGTCCGTTGATTTCCCAAGGATCTTCAAGGGTGACGCCACAGTGTGGCAGCGTATCGACTCCGCAGGCAAAAACCCATAGAAAAACTCCCATCCGATGTTGCTTCGACAGGGGAAACGCAGATTTGGGTTTGTCTGAAAATAGGGTATATTCCCAATTATAGCCATTTAATAGGGATAATGATCATTAACCATTGGGTTTAGGGGTACACTATTTTCAGACACACCCATATTGTTTATCCTTCCAGGGTCCCAGATACTTGTAGAAAAATCTGCCAAAAGATTCAGCGAGACATGATCATTGCCATCGGCATCGGTGATGAGGAAGCTGAGTTGGGATACATTTCACTCTATTTGGTGCTTTAAAACTCGATTTTGATTATCCTAGGACTCCACATATGAAGGGCTGGCAGGAAAGCTTTCCGCATTTGGAAGCACGGATCTCAAAGGATGTTTGCTTTCAGTTCATCCCTTGCGTTTGTCTTAGTTTCTCCCAGCTTCAAGCTCTTTTGATTTTTTCTCGGGTTTGGACGAAAAAAACAAAAACTTAAAATCATAACTGTCCCAAAATTTCCTCATGAAAATTGATGAAAATTGTAGTGTTTTGGGGTGATTTCGGGTAATTCCCAAGGGCAAACTGATGGCAGGCCTTCCCACGTCGAAGCCGTCGGAGGGTGCGGTGACGGTGCCGCGGCGTTGCGTTGAATCTTTGGGGCACAGTTCCATGGTTTCCTTCAGAATTTCCTTCAGAATTTCCTTCAGAATTTCTTTCAGAACTTTCAACATCTTTCAACCCAGTGAAGGTATAGGTTGATTTCAAACGTCTCATTGGGATTTGGGAAAGGCGTCTTGTTGCTGTGGCTTGGAGTTTCAGGATGCGTTCCCCATGTGTTTTGTCCCAAAATAAAAATCGCTGCGCAGCCGGTTTTGTTTCGAGGTGCTGTGCTTCCGGGAATGCCACGATCCATCAGAGAAGTATGAATTGCTGGCCGTCGGCTGTAAGAGTGGTGCCCTGTGAAGTTCGACGTCACCCAAAAACGAGTACCATCTGGTTATGACTAACATAGCGAACTGGAAAATCCATTACAAATGGAGGTTTCTAGCTGGGAAAATCATCTGTAAATGAGTCATTTTCCATGGCTATGTTAAATCATCAGAAGGTACTCAAAAATTGATAGGTAATCATGCTGTATATGTTCAACTTTCAAAAACATACTAAATACCAATCTTGGTACATCCGTGTATATCAATTTTCATACACACTCATCAGGAAAATGATGAACGAAGGATTCTGGTGGTCCAACGATGTCCAACGTGGCAATGGCAAATATTTCGTTTATAGGCGTCGTTCCAATTAAAAGTTATATTTGTATGGGTTTGGGGCTACCACGGTTGATTACCAAAGGTTGTCCTTCCTTTGCTACTTCATCCCACTTGTTTGGATTGTATGCGTATGTCCCACTTGTTTGAGGGATACCATATGAGATCTACAAAAACTATCAGCATTTAACAGAATTAATTTATCAGCAACGATCATAATATTATCCATCCATTTTTTGTAGTGTCAAGGATTTGTCCCCAAATAGTGTGTCCACACTGAGGGGCTCTTACAGTAGGAGTTAAGGCCGGTGTTTGATTGAGGTGCTGCCTCTGGGGCGTGGCATTTTCCTTGTACGGCCTTTTACCTGTATTCTTTTGCGTAAAATTGCTCTTGTGAGATGTCCATGTGCGTTTCGACTGTGCAAGCTCACACAAAACGTGGGGCTAAAGCTTCGGGCGCGGCGTTTGCCTGTATATGTCCGCTTCAAATGGCTCTTGTGAGATGTCCATGTGCATTTATTTCGATTGTGCAGGCTCGCACAAAACGTGCGGCTTATGTTTGGGGCGCATCATCACCATCCTCAACATCAACCTCCTCCACCTCACCTTCCGCAACACCATCATCCTCCACCTCATTTTCCGCAATATTATCACCCCTTCAATCATCCTCCTCGACATCATCACCTTCAACATCATCAACTTCCTCCTCAACATCATTTGCAACTCCTAACTTCCAACAAGTCCTTGATGCTCTGCTCGTAACAAGCCATCACTTAGTTCGATGTTGGTTTTGAAATCCCATTAACTGTTTACATATCTACCATATTTGCAGATATTTTTTCAATGACTATCATATCATCCATTTTGATGATTTACAATGCTTTACATGGTTCAAAACTACCGCTTCGGGTTTTTTCCAGGTACCTTGTCCATCTTCAAAATCCGTCGCACCGGCCTTGTGCCTTGTCCGGGCTGAGTAAAGAGAAGCTGCGACCAGTGGGCTTGCCGCAACCCGGAAGATTTGACTGGCAAACATGCATTGGGATGAAACTAGAAAAGCAGAAGCAATTGACTTGCTGACTAAAGCATGGTTTGATTCCGATGTGTTTTTCATCCGGAAATGCTGTATTTTTGCTGAAAAGGATATTTTTATCGGGTTATCCAAGGTTCGCCACGTTATGCCACATTTAGATGCTCATTCCATACAAGAAAGAAATGATTAGTAATTAGCAATTGATGAATAGCAACACAAAAATTGGTGTGCCTACTACCCCCAAATCACATCAAATCACCACTTCGAAGCACGTGCCTTCTTTGATGTGTTTGGCACGTGCAGCACGTGCATAGCCCCGGATGCAGTACTACCCGGTCGATGAATTTGGGGGGTTACTGTACCCCAAAAAGATGATCATCTGAGACCTCAACTGTACCTTGTTTTCCTATTCCTCTCCGGTACTTAAATACCTTAAATGTGGCACTGAGAAGTCAACAAAAATACAGTTTTTATATGGTTTTTATAGCTGGGAACGTGGTTTGCTGGTGGATTTTCCGGCAAACCACGTTCTGACTGCCTACCGGGTGCTCTTATATCCCATGACATCCACCATTTAGTTTGTCTGGTTGGTGGTTTGGAACATTTTTTTCCATATATTGGGAATAATAATCCCAACTGACTCAACTGACTAATATTTTTCAGAGGGGTTGAAACCACCAATCAGATTTAGTTTGTTGATTTTCCCAGCTATGAGTTTGATTTTGGAGACGTTTCCAGCTGGCCATATTTGATTTCCGGAGGAAAGGGCATATTAAACTACCCTCTGGTTGTGACTAACATAGCCATGGTATAGATGGCCCATAGAAATAGATGGTTTACCTATTAAAAATGGTGATTTCCCATGGCTATGTAACAAATAACCAGATGTTACCACTTCCTTTCATGAATCATTCCTTGTGCCTGGGGCTGAGTCAACATCCAAAGAGTTTTCACCGAGGAGCGCAACATGGAAGAGGAGACGAGTGAAGATATTGAGGCCACCGATAATCGATACCGATTTTCATGTGGGGTACTGGCTGAAAATGAGATATATCATGATATATCATGACATACTCATACCATTTAAAAAAAAAATGACAAATGTTAATTATCATGCGTTAATAGGAAAAAATATAATGAACCATTAAGTAGGGAACACTACTCCATGTTCAAACAAAATTACTTATGTTTCTTGCCAGAGAAATCTTGGTTGTGTACCTAAGATGACAGAATCACTGGGTGCATGTGGATCTGTGCCGCACCATCTCATGGTGTAGAACAATCATGCATTTCTCGACCAAGAACACCCCATCCATGTCATTTGAGGGAGAACACATTTGGTGAATATCCAATGTTTCCTTTCATGTCTCAAATCATTTGATATTTGGGGGTCAAAACGATAGTGCTATCATTAATGACATGATTAATGCTATTGCAGGTGCATACATAAATATACATATAATATACATACATATATATAATCCTAATATGTGTATATATATATGTGTGTGTGTGTGATCATATCCCCATGTTAGACGGTAAAATCCGCATGAATCTCCCAGACGTGGAAAATTCCCAGCGACGGAGGTGGTGACACGAGCACAAGCACATGCTAAGGCCATCACGTGGCTTGGCCCATGCTGGTTAGTAACCTACCTGCTTGGATTAATGGAATGCGATGGAATGGAATAGGATTATAATCCACTTATTTAATGGGATATACCCTCTGGTAAATGGTGATAATGGTGTAATGATAATGGTGTAATCATAATGGTGTAATGATAATGGTGATTAATGATGGTATAATGATGGTGATACCCTCTGGTAAACAGCCACGAAACACGATGGAAAGATCCACCATCAATGGGAAAATTGGGAAAATCAACGAACGAAATGGTTATTTTCAATAGCTATGTAAGAATATGTAAGAAATTACCAGTGGGTAGTATGGATTTGTCTGGCTTGTGAAAAAGAAATTCGAATGGGATACCAAGTTTTTCACCAACCGCTTAGAGCTTTCCATCGCTGGGGATCCAATGGCGATTAATCCAATGGGGAAGCGAGATTGCAATCCTCGGATTTGATCCAATGCTTTGGATATGTTTGGATGATATATATATAATATTTATACATATATATATATATATATTGATTAGTTATTATATATATATTATTATATATATATATTATTATATATATATATTATTATATATATATTGACTGATGATTGTTCATTTGGATTTTTACGTTGCCTCATTTTGGAGCAATGATGATGAATAGTGATGAATGATTTGCTGAAAGCGTCAGAAATCGGGTAAGCCTCAATTCTCACGTTGATTGCCCCGGCAAAAGAGATCTGGATTGAGATGACATTCCAATTCCACGGGTGATCCTTGTTTTGGGGGGCCCGTTTCTAGCATATGAGGTTTATTTCCCATGACTGTTCGTTGCCTTGGGACATCCTTCGGCATCATCCCAAGGCGCCCCAAGGCGCGCCATGGGACGGACATGGATAGCGTGATTTTGAATCACCAAGGTCCATGTGTTTTACTGCCGGAGGAGATTCCATTATCACCAGTTCCTCAGAAGCTGGGCGCAGCAATCTCAAATTCCTGGGGGGTGGTCAAAGTTCTTCAAAAATAAAAAAACAAAAAAGTACCATGTACCCCAAAGTTTGGATTTTGGGATTTGACAAAGTTTGGTGGGAATAATCAGTAATACCAAAGTTGCTAAAGATTCCCAAAGTTTGGGGCATATATACATTACCCATATGGAATGGTTTGCAACAAGGTTTCCAACTTGGCCATGGAAGTTTTACAAATGGTGGTTCTGCCAAACCTTCCCTAGCTGAAGGTTGATTTTGTCAAAACTTTGGTGGCTGAAGATCAGCTTTAGTTGACACATTGCATTTCACCATGTCACTCAGCATTTGGATCTTAGGATTGGACGGTGCGGGTGTACAACATCAAGGAGGAACGCTTCACAGAAGAATTCACCGATACCTCCCTGGTGCGCTGGGGCCAGGATGGCCAGGATGGTTGGGGGGGGGGGCAGGTCGTGCAATCAATGCACGTTTTTTGGGCAGCTGGTACTCTTGTTAAGATTTTTACGGGAATATTGAAGGGTATTGTTCTGCTTGTGAAGGCCTCTTCTGCGAGGTTTCGTAAGGTTCTGCGGTTTCAGACAGAAGGGGCCTTCAACTGAAATCATTGTTTTGGTTCCAATAGAGCCTGAGTTCCAGAAGATATTGCTAAATCGCAAGATGATGCTATTAGTCATTGCGCATATCTTCGCATTTTTTCCATGCCGAAGATGTACAAAAAATCTTTGGAAATCTGACTCCAAACATGAGAGATTGGTTGAATACTCCAATCGTCTATTGAAATGGAATTAGAATAATCAGGGATGTTAATTTTGAGGAAACTATGTGTTATTCCAATTCATCTATGAACAGTTCCTTCATGTTACCTAAGTTGGTGCCCCCTCATTTATAAGTTGGTACATCACCTACTTTTCTCGTCATAGTTCTTTCATCTCCATAAAGCATAAGTCGCCCAGTAAACTAAACCAAACTTGTAGCTAACATCAACCATAAATCACCATGTTGCTTGGGGATAAACAACTATTACTGGTTGGTGGTTTCAAACATGAATTTTATTTTCCATTTCATACATGGGATAATCCTTCCCATTGACGAACTCATATTTTTCAAGATGGTTAAAACCACCAATCAATTATAAATTTAACCTACTTTGGATGTTTTTTTGGGCAAATGTTGGGGATAAACAACTATTTTGCCCAAACATCTTGAAAAAATCACCAACATTTTAACCTACTATTATAAATCACCATTTTTTATAAATCACCATTTTTTATAAATCACCATTTTGCTTCGCTGCAGTCCCGATGAAAAGTCACCGAGTCGCTGTCGCAGATCTCAGGTGGTCTGTGCCGTGAGTCTGCCAAAGCCGGGTGCCTTGATCACGGCCAATGCCAATGCGGTGCTACAGTTCGAGGGCCCAGTGGTTTTTAAAGTAACACGGGGAATGGTTGGATACTTGGATACTATATATCTATATCTATATCTATATCTATATACCTGTATGCATATATACATATACACATATTCGATGATATGCGTATATAAAATATGTTTATGGAAAATGGTATCATATCTTATAAGTTTGTATAGGACCTATACAGTCAGATTTGTTGGATGGTTTCATGTGGATTTGCTGGGAGTCCACATGCTTCAAAAGTTAGGTCATTTTTTTTCAACAACAAATCGAAATGTTTGAAAACCATCTAGAAATACCGAAATACTGTAGATAGGTCATAGAAAACCATCGAAATGTCAAAGAAGCTCTGTGATTTGAAAGAGCAGCATCTAGAAATTTCTCAGAGTTTCTTTGATTGGAAATGATTCATCTTCGTGTCAGCTCCACCCTTTTAGGCTCCGCGGCAGTTCTGCCGAGCAGCAAAAGGTGCCGAACTCTATGGGAAAAATGTGACCCAGTTGTGACCCCAAATTCCTATGGGATCATTGAACAAAATGGAACCCCAAGTTCTGTTGACCCCATAAACTATTACGTACTGATATCCTTCAAGTCGTGGACACTTACGTGGTGGAGCTGAAACAAGCAAGAAATGTCCAGCTGAAACGGCTGAAACCTCCAGATTTCTCACTACAGATGTCCAAGTGGTAGAATACGCATGTTGACATCGCAAATTCATATTTCCAGAGAAATCAAATCCTAAAAAGTCAAGGACTCACTGAAAAGCTCATGGGTACAATATTTTTTTGATAAGGTTGCTATTCCAAAAGTGCAATATACCATCTGGTTATTTAACATAGCCATGGTATAGATGGCCCATAGAAATAGATGGTTCACCTATTAAAATGGGTGGATCTTTCCATGGCTATGTAACAAATAACCAGATGTTACCACTTCCTTTCATGAATCATTCCTCGTGCCTGGGGCTGGGTCAACATCCATGGACACAGACACAGACGGCAGACTTCGAAAACTGCCAGAACGATCGCAGGTTCGCCTGGACCACTACGCCAGATCTTTGATGTTGGCCTTGGGAGGTGAATCTGTCTCGGAACCTGTGAGGATTTGGGTGCAAATATCCTATGATGATGATGATGGAATTCAAATCGCACTGGATAGCTGGATAGCCGAGTTTGCATCCTAACTTAGGGCTACATTAAACATCCATGAAGAAAATCAATGTTTTGATGCTGAAATCTCACGTTAGCGTGGTTCGAAAGTCATGTTTTGGGTTTGGTTACCCTCTGGTCTCATCAAACTTCAGAAAAGTTCCTGGAGAATTCCCAGCAAATCACTGAAAAAACGATTTGTTGTTCATGGTGACCTCATGATTTGTTGAGAAATCACCATTAGGAATTTCATGCCCATTCGTATCATGAATAAAATGAGTGATTCATGGGGAATCATGAAAATACATGAAAATACTAGTTCATAAAATCATAAAATGGGAATTTTTAAATCACCAAAATTGCCCATTGTACAGTAGTATCAAGTTAATGTTCCCTCGATTTTCCCATTCAAATCGAGGCCCATGTCCGATTCCCAGCTGACTACGTCCAGGTCGTCGGCTACTGGCTGGCACCAGCCGTGGCCATGTGCACTTCTTCGAGATCTCAGCGCAAGGTTTGGAGAGGCCGCCGGTTTTTGCAGAAGAAAATTAGTGAAAACCGGGTGATTTAGGAAGTGATCAGACCATGAAAGATTGGGTTTGAACATGACTGGGCCAGATTTTTTTTGGCGGGATATCCATCTATCATAATCCATTTGTTCCAGAAATGGAGGAACTGCGTGGATTTATGTGGTAGAACTAGTGATTGAAGCATCAAAAATTGGGTTAGGGCATGTTTTATCATCGTTCCTTCACCAGAAATGGTGGAAAAAAAATACGAATTAAACCATATACTGTATAATGTTTTGCAGAAATCCATGAAAATCCATGAAAATCCATGAACAACCTAGTTTCATCGACTCCAAAAAATGCACTAACGCCAGGCTGAATCACGAAGGGCTTCAGGCCAGTTCCGTGCGGTCGGCAAGTCTAAGATAGATGGAAGTATGCAGATATGGGTTTGTCTGGAGATAGTGAGTATAACCATTTTATGTTGGGAAAATGATGGGAAAATGATGGTAATCTAATGGATCTAGGGGTACATGATTTTCAATCAAAGCCATATACACCATAAGGAAATAACAAAGGAAGAATGTGTGAATAGGGACGCAATAGGGGAAAACATCGGGAAATCATACGTAAAGAATAGGTAATAGGTAAATAATAAAGAAATAATGGGGCAAGAATACGGAAATAGTAGGTTTAAAAATAGGGAAAATGAAAAATAGAGATATAATATGGAGACAATCAAGGAAAAAACGAAGAAACATAAAGAAATAACAAAACCAACTGGGAAGAAATTTTGTGCGGAGAGAACACGGAGGGAAATAACAGGTAAATAATAAAGGGAAACACGAGGCAAACAATTAATAGGGAAATAGAGTAGGTAAAAGATTGGAAGATGATAGGGAAAGAATACAGAACTAATAAGGACATGATAGGTTTTTATGAGTCAGAGATGTGGGGAGATGTGGAGAGATGGGAGATCCATCAGTGGGTTCGCTCTGCCATCCACGCATTACAACAACTCACCTTCCCTTTTTTAGCTTCCTATCTTTGAAAGCTCCGCCACCGTCTTGCGCACACTACCACTAGGGAGAAACAAATAGTGGGTAGATGATAGGAGAAAAGGTAAATAATAGGTGAGGAAATAGTAGGAAAATAAAAGGGAAATAACAGAGAAATAATAGGAGAATGATAAAGAAATATAGGGAAAAAGAGGAAAGATTAGGGAATTCATGGTGGCGGGCACCTAGTTTGTCAATAATCCACGGGATAAATTGAGGTATCAATGGAAACTAAATGTTTAATCCCCATTTGGAAACAAATTTTGAGTTGAACCCATGGAAATTGATTATTAATGATTTTTTTCCTTATGAATCAAAGCGTTCCTTTTGGTTATGTCCTTCAAATGAAGGCAACAACCCTAGGTGTTTTCATGGGTTGTGACCCTGCTGTGACCTGGTCGTGGTGATTTTGCCACCGGAACAGGCTGCGCATGTGAATGCCAAAAAAATGGCCGGCAGATGGGTACCCCCCCAAATCGATTTTTCTGTGCTCACAAGTGGCCTAAAATCCATGTGGAGTCAGTATAATTATGGTATAAGTGTTTTAATTTCAAAGATGCTACGAATTGTGTTGGCTCTTCCATTAACCACATCCTTGGATTAAACCACATTGGATCCCTTCCCGTCTCAGCCTAGCTGCAGGTGGGGCAAAACTGTGCAGCCTTGACATGTTTGACCTTGGCACCATGTCCAGACAATCCTCCACTGGTCTTGGCCAATTGCATGGAGCGGGGCTGGGACCGAAGCGGTGGATGAAAAAAATGTCAGATTTGGGTGGAGAATTCAACAGGAGATTGTGCCACATGATCCTGGATTGAAGAATGACTGAACTTGAAAGTTTTTTCAGATGCGTAGTAAGTAAGCCCTTCAATTTGACGGTGGAGTTCAATGATGTTCCTTTTCCAAAGATCATGATGCGCATCACATTTAGCAGGTATCGAATGCATTTCGCCACCCATTTTCAAACACGGTTCTGAGGTAGCTCAGCCCATCAACCTTCATATTGGTTGTGGAGCACCTCCCTGTAGCTTCTAATTTCCACTTTCCAAAAATCAACAGAATAGATAGAATAGATCGAATACTGGGTGTTGCACAGTTTCACTTGACAGCACTGGATGGATATTGGGATGGTCACCTACCCAATCTATAGGTAAATAGTTTCGACACGTGTCGACCCACAGCGTTTCGGATGTTTTCAGCAGGACAATACCGTGTGCATCATGCAAGCCAACGAGCAGCTCACCAACTTGACTGTCCAGCGGCGCTTGGCCAATGCCCACAGGTGCCATGTGGGGCAGAATCCAAACAGTTGTCCAACGGTACAAACCATGAACGATTGAACACTTCCTGGCTCTAATGTGACAAGCTGTAAAAAGTTTGATGGAAGACCATTCAAGTTGAAAGCAGATCGGTGTTTTTTTGCCGCGATTTTCCTGCGGTGATTCGCTCAGAGCTGGTGTCCTGATAGGCTGCTACCTTTGAGGCCCGGCGAATGGAGATGGAGCTGTAAATGCCTAGTGTGATATTGGGTGTTTTACGTTTGAGACGTGCTTCAGGAGATCTCACATTTGATCTCTCCTCGGAGCAGAACTGAAAGGTTTGAAAGAAAAATTCACGCCAGGACACATTAGGTGAATGGATCCATTAATAGCCTGGAAAATACCGAGTTGTGATAAATTGCTTGCTGTCCCATTTGCTCGTTTTTTTCCATCATGTCAGTTGTATTCCCATTCTTGCTGCTTGATGAAGCCCCACTTCTTGGTGGCGGTGTTATCATTTCATTTGTGAAAATCTGGAGCAGTCTAACCCATGCTGTGGTCAATCAAAAGCAACCAATATGCTACATGTCATACCTAAATTATTACTTAAAAACTATTTGTTCCTTACCTGAAAATCAAATCTATGAAAAATTAAGTTTTTGGTCAGCTGAATCCAAAATGTTGGTCCATTAAACTCTGTCAAAATTCCGATATGGTTCGGTCAACCGCCATTTATATGAGAACTAAAATCGCCCACTGGTTGATAGATGCCCAGTTGCAAATGATCAATTTCCAAAAATGAATGACCAACAACGATTGGGTGTTTATAGCCTCATTAATCTCCGTGGATATAGTGGTGAATAGTTAAATCCCTAATACCAATGGATGGAGACTTAGATGTTAACAATTGAATACTCAATTGGCCAATAAATTGCTCTTGAGGATGTAACTAGGAACACGGCCTTTATCTGGCCGTGGTGTTTTTGTGATCAACGGGGTGTCATGGATGATGTTTGATGTGGTCGTGCCAATAGGATTTTGGTTGATGTGATTTCAAAGGCGAAAAACCCGTGATTCTGGTGCATAAAATCAAAATCTAGCGTTTCGCCTAGGCGAAACTATCATTTTTGATGTTTCTCAGAACTCCCCAACTAATTCGACCTGGATTGTTTTGATGTGAGTTCAAAGACAAGAAACCCCCTTATTCTGGTGCAGGAAATGAAAAAACAAGTATTTCGCCTAGGCGAAAACGCATTTTTTTGTAATTCCACATGTTATGTATTGATGAACGTTAACACATGCCCCACCCCACCCCACCCACCCATGTCTACACGCACATAACGGCACACACAGAGACGAGTCCACTTACCTAGCAAGTTCACATGAACGTTAACACATGCCCCACCCCACACCACCCATGTCTACACGCACATAACGGCACACACAGAGACGAGTCCACTTACCTAGCAAGTTCACATGAACGTTAACACATGCCCCACCCCACCCCACACCACCCCACCCTGTCTACACGCACATAACGGCGCACACAGTCCACTGACCTAGCAAGCACATGAACGCCCACAGCCCCACACATGAACGTTAACACATGCCCCACCCCACCCCACCCACCCATGTCTACACGCACATAACGGCACACAGAGACGAGTCCACTTACCTAGCAAGTTCACATGAACGTCACATGCCCCACCCCACCCACCCATGTCTACACGCACATAACGGCACACACAGAGACGAGTCCACTACAGCAAGTTCACATGAACGTTAACACATGCCCCACCCCACCCCACCCCACCCCACCCCCCCAATGTGCACGAAAACGCACGGCCAGATAAAGGCCGTGCTCCAACTATTAGCTCAAACAACTACCTAATGGGATGAAGTTTGATTTGCTTGGATACCCAAATACATCAGCAAATCCCCCACTAGCGGTTGAAGAAATCCATGAATCCCTGAGAGTTGCCCTCCTGTATGAAAATCGATGTGGAAAAGTCACCATTCATAGATCAGTTTCCTAGTGAAAACCCACGGGTTTTCATGGGTGTTCCACATCTTTTGGAGGCGTTTACCTTAGGGCAATGACCCAATAAATCCCAATAAATCCATAGATCTCACCTTTTTGGCTCTGACGTAGCCCGCCAGGTCCAGCCATGTCCCCGGCTACTACGAGGACGGCGACAAAGGCGCTGGCTTCGTGGCCAGCGGCGCGGAGGATGGCAAGGTGGGGAAACCGGGTTTCCCCCAACGGAAAATGGCAGAAAAACATACAAAAACACCTTATTTATTCCCCACCTGCCAGGTGAGGGTTGTTTGATTTTATCAGAGTTGTTCTCCTCCTCCTTCTCCTCCTCTCTCTCCTCCTCCAGTTTCTCCTCGACCATGTCTGCATCAACTTCCACGTCCACTTCCGCCTTGCCAACTCAATCTCTTCGCCAACTTCTGTGCGCAGTGGGCACTGCTGGACCTCAACTGCAAGGTTCTGAGCGCAGTGGGCACCGCTGGACCTCAACCTGGGACCTTCCGAGCTCAGTGGGCACCGCTGGACCTCAACGGCCAGATAGACTGCCAGAAGATATGCCAGATAGAACGCCAGATAGAATGTCAGATAGAATGCCAGAAGATATGCCAGATAAATGCCAGAAGATATGCCAGATAGAATGCCCGAAGATATGCCAGATAGAATGCCAGAAGGTATGCCAGATAAAGTGCCAGAATGTTTGCCAGATAGAACGCCAGATAGAATGCCAGATAGGATGTCAGAAGATATGCGAGAAGATATGCCAGAAGATATGCCAGATAGAGTGCCAGAAGATATGCCAGAACATATGCCAGAAGATCTGCCAGGTAGGATGCCAGAAGATAAGCCAGATAGAATGCCAGAAGATAAGCCAGATAGAATGCCAGAAGATATGCCAGAAGATATGCCAGATAGAATGCCCGAAGATATGCCAGATAGAATGCCAGAAGGTATGCCAGATAAAGTGCCAGAATGTTTGCCAGATAGAACGCCAGATAGAATGCCAGATAGGATGTCAGATAGGATGTCAGAAGATATGCCAGAAGATATGCCAGATAGAATGCCAGAACATATGCCAGAAGATATGTCAGGTAGAATGCCAGAAGATGTGCCAGATAGAATGCCAGACCGAATGCCAGAAAATATGTCAGATAGAATGCCAGAAGATTTGCCAGTAACACAATGATAAATGTCATGGTGGGGATGACTCGAAGTAAAGTAATTAATGGGATTTTAGTGGTGGCTAATGGGTTTTTAATGGCACTTAATGGAATATAATGTGTTTTTTTCATCCACTTAATGGGATATACCCTCTGGTTATGTCAAAATAGCTATTGAAAATGGCCCAGTCGAAATAGTTGATGTTCCCATTAAAGATCGTGATTTGATTAATCCACCTTATCAATGGCCCGTGCACTGGTGGTTTTTGGAACCCATCTTTGGACCATGGCTTAACAAACCCATGTGAACTGATTGGCTTACAGGGATTCCCATGATGGATTGTGATAGTCCCCAATAGTATGTAAATTCATTAAGCCGATGTTCAATAGTTTATGAGATTTTGGTGAGAATTCCATGGAATTCCTTTAATGGATTGTGGTAATCCTCGATATATTGGATATAGTATAACCCCTTAATCATCAATCACCTGAAAAAAAAATATCCTGGTGCCAATAGTTCCACCTGGTTCGACCCCATGAGCCCAGGTGCGCGTCTTTGACCTGGAAAGTTTGGCACTCAGGATTTTTTTTCAGCGCTGGTGATGATCTGATGGGTGAAAAATCGTGAATAGTGTTGAATGGTGATATTTAATTTGTCCGTCCAATTTGTTTGACGTTTTGCTTCCAGAGATAAGCCTAAATTGATAATTCGCAAGTTCAATCCCAATATTTGGTCACATTTTGCTGCAGAGATGGTGTTCTTCCAGGAGAGATCAATTCCCGAAATCATCAAAAACCATCAAACATCAGCTGGCAGTTTTTCAACCCAGGTTTCACCGAGCAATCCCTGGAAAGCCGCGCAGTACCCACGGTGCCGGTAGTGGATGTGGCAGTGACCAAGCAGGGCAGCTTGATGGCGTCTGGAGACGTGCACGGACGCGTCTTCCTGTGCCCTGGATGGAGATGGATCGGGGTGGCGATGCTGCCAAAAAGATGAAAATAGTGAGCCAAATTGTGAAGTGATGGAATCATGATGAAACCAAAACTTGAAAATTCATATATTTGGGGGTTTTGCATATGATTATTTCAATTATTTCACCATATAAATGATTATTTCACCTGCGAAAATCATGAATTTTAGTGGCTTTAGCACAGAGAAAAAACAGGATTTGAACCCACCGTCTCTCAGGTGGAGGAGAGGTGGCGACACCAACGGCTTGGTGAATGGCCACTGACGCGCCGCGCGAAGCCGAGTTCCAGGAGGTGATCAAATGGGAAATCCCAACCAAAAATCAAGGTGTTTAATGGGAAAATGTGGTATATTCATGGTAAACCGACATAAGATATGGTAAATCCACACCAAACACCAAACACCAAAGTTCATTGGAAAAACCAGTTGTAAACATTGGAATGTTCCATTGGTTTGTCGTTTTTGATGTTGGGGATCTTAGTGATCGATGGATACTACTACGTACTAACGTGTTCTACGAACAATCTCAGTGTAAATTTGAGTACCAGTGACGAAAATTGATGATGTTTCCATTTGACCATCTGACCATTGCGCTATTACGTTTGATTATGTTGTAAGATTGGCAGCTATCATTCACTACTAGTTGTAAAACTAGTGATTAACATTCATATTTCTACCATTCCACTATCTAAAGTTTAAGCTGAAATATTATGAAATATTAACATTGGGGTATTGCCATTTGATGGGGATATGGGGTTCCAAATGGTATCACCAGTTGGTTCACTGGATTTTTTTCGCAGATAAACAGTGAAGGAATTGGTGACTGAAAGTCTCATTGATCGCAATGGATTCTCTTGATGATTCTGATGGGCTAATGCCGTTGGTGCCCCACATAGCGAAGGCAGTTGTGTCACGGCGAAACAAAGCGAAACAAAGCGGAACAGCCGTGCTGACCATGCCCCAGTGCTATGCAGGGGGCAACTCCCAAAGTGTGGAAGTGCCGAAGTGCATCCAGCTGAAATCAAGATCATTTGAGCATGATTTGAGCATGTGTTTGAACCGACCACGGTCGTGGGGTCCTTCAATTCTTTATCATCCACAGGGAGTCGCAATGGAAATTTCCTGGCTGGTGGTTTGGAACGTGAATGGATCATGACTTTCCCATCATATGGGGATATATTGGGAATGTCATCATCCCAGCTGACTTTAACTCCAACATTTTTCAGAGAGGTAGGCTCAACCACCAACCAGTTTCTGTTGTAAGATTGTAATAAAGGTCACGCGCTTGCGCGTGCGCGTGACCTCGGCGAAATGTACCAGATCTTCGGTCAAACTGAACCCTTGCTGACTGGTTTGTGGTTCTCTTTAATATGTTTTTAGTTTCCATTCCTACCTGGCATGATGATAAAAATGTTCGATGAATGTGTTTTGAAGCTTGAATCCCCATTGATTTCGGATGTTCGGGATCTGGCACGGGTTGAAAGTGCCAATGTTTGACCCTGAGATCTGCACCGCTGTCGATGCAATTCCGCTGTTTCATGGCAGCTTCACCATGGCGAACCAAGATGCCAAACAAATCCAAAAAATATTGATTGGTAAGGTTTATCTCACAAGTTTCCTTCATGTTGTTTAATGTTTCCTGCGGGATTTGGTGAAGTTTCTGAGCATCCTATCAGAAAGGAACTGCACCAGCAGGCAGCTGCCTTGATCGATTGAACCATCGGTTTCGCTGGCGAAAATGTTGGTCCACTGAGTGTTTTGGGCATGGCGACATGATCATTACGCAATTGTGTAAGACATAGCCATGCAACGTGTTTCATGGAAAACTGTCCATGTGGTCACTCCATGGTGTCCCTTATTTTGATCAGATCGACTGCAGAAAATTGGAAAATTGCCCACTACCCCACCGATGGTTTGCACCAACTAATCCGATTGATGTTCCACGGGGTCTGCCTTATTCAAGCTGATTCTACTCATTTTTTTTGTCACATTACTTCGCCCCATTTTGGCTGGTTGATCTGAGGAAGCGAGTGCCTGCAGAGGACAAGTTTGGGATGTACCTGACCATGAACTGCAACGCTGAACAGCCGGCCGAAGAGCTGTTGTGGTCATGGACAGTATGGATATGGCTTAGTCTGAAAATATGCTACCCCCAATGGACCAATGGATTAGAAAATCCTTGTCCTGATCAAAATGGCGGTTTGTGGGGTATCGGTATCCCCTACAATAGTATTTTCAGACAAACCCATATGTATTAGGGAAAACATGCGTGTCCAGGTGTACGGACATATTGGAATATTCAGTTATTTGTGGATTATATCTTCACCATTGCGCTAAAATCAAAGATGGTGTCAGAGGAACAAATCGTAGTGGTTTCTGATGGTACGATGAGCAGGGGACTTGTCAAATACCTGAAATCCAAATAGTTTCAACCGTTGAGAGGGTGATGGGAAACTTCCAAGATCATGCAGTGATCAAGGACCACCAAGTGTCTTTGAACTCTTGCCAACTCGATTCCATTTGATAGTTCTGATGTACAAAAAAACGCTATGGCCAAAATCACCAGCCAGAAACTTCCATCCAACATCGGATGATCCGTTGGAGCGGCAGTGCAGTGCAGCCAGGAGTTAGCAGTGCTGCATGCCAGGGCCGTTTTGAAAGAAGCGGAGGAGGCGGTGGACTGCTGACCGCTGGTGATAGGTGATGTCCAGCTGCTTCCCAAAAATTCTGGCAGCGATGAGTTCTGTACAGAAATTGTTGGAGGCTCACCTTAGAATGGGACCATGGTTAGTAGATGTTAGTAGCCTGTCAAACCACTCAAGCAGCACAGGTGGTGCTTGGTGACAGCGTGTTATCTTGAGTCAGTGCGCTCCAGAATATCCACATGCCATCAACAAACATTCTATTCACTGGTACAACAACCAATTTCCCATTCTGTTATCCATTTTTCATGCCCATTTGTGCTGAATCAACATGCAAACTCACAATAGTAAATGTAAGAATCAAAACATATCAAATCGTCTAAATTCATAGATGTAAATAGTATAGCCACTTCCCCAAAAAAGATGCAGGTTAACATCAGTGAATGACTTTAGAACAGTATATATTTATATCATCTATTGTCACATATATATATAGACAATTTAGAATATCCCCACATTATCTGGTTGGTGGTTTGGAACATGAATTTTACTTTTCCATTCAGTTGGAAATGTCATCATCCCAACTGACTTTAACTCCATCATTCTTCAGAGGGGTAGGCTCAACCACCAACCAGTTGACCATTATACCACCATTATACCACCATTATATCACCAATATACCATCAATTTTGTTGGTGAATTGTTTAATGAATGTGCTATGATCCTTTTATTCCATTTTAATCCCATAAAATGATGCCATGATGGTTAATTGGTGATATAATGGTGGTATAATTGGTGATATAATGGTGGTATAATCCAATAACCATTTGGTTGATATGAACCATTTTAAACCTATAATTGGTGATATAATGATGGTTAATTAACCATTTTGTTAAACCCACCATTTTAATCCCCAAATTGGTGCTGTGCAGGCCTTGCGCCTGGCACAGCAAGAGGCCTCCGACGCGGAGACATCGCTGAGGACGCGGCCAAAACGCGGTTCGGAACGTTGCGGCAGCTGATTTAACCATCAAACAGGAAGATTTAACCATGAAAATGTGGGTTTAACCATCAAAAATCGGGATTTCACCATGAAAGATGATGGTAAAATGTGGGTTCAAGCATTATATACATGGCCATTGAATGCACATTTTTTAGCAGCCATCGAATATTGGTGGATCATATCATGGAATGTGATATTACAATCATTGTCAAAGGAGACTGTACGGACGACTACAGTCAAGAATGTTATAATGATGGGAATGGACCCATTGTCTACCAGTATCTACCTTATTTGTCCAAAAAATTGTTGAGATTCTTTGGGAATATGCGTGTTTTATCGTTGTAATAGTTATGGTAAACAAGGGTAGATTCCATATAGCTATAGATATGTTTGTCAAGGGGATGCAACCCTCCAAGGCTAACCATCTATTATAGATATATTGCGGGGTCACATCATGGTGGAATGTCGCCATCAGTCAATATACAGAGACTTATACCGCTATGGAGATGATATGGGTGTGTCTGAAAACCGGGTATCCTGCAGATGGCAATTGGAACAGGGAAAATGATGATAGTCCATTGGAATCGGGAGTACCGTATTTTCAGTCACACACTGTTGGTTATTGGATTGGTATCTGACCTCCAAATATCGCTGGGATGCTGGTGTGCTTTTAACCTGCTGGCTTCGAAACGTGTTCGCGCCACAGCGGCATGCACTTTTTGAACAGCTCAACTGCCAAAAGTTCTGCGAGGCTGATGTGCTTTGAAGATTTTCACTTTGAAACGTGTTCGCGCCACAGCGGCGTGCCTTTTTGAACAGCTCAACTGCCAAAAGTTCTGCGAACCTCAGGTGCTGTTTTACGTTTTGACTTGGACATGTGTCTCGCACCACAGCAGCAGCAATTTTTCATTGTGCAGTTGTTCATTTCTCAAACCGCCAGATGGCTCCACAACCGCCGCTTTAGCGAGCCTACTTATCAACCCTCCGGGGCCCAAAACATTGGAAAAACAAAGTTTCGCCTCGCGGTGTTTCTACCTTTTCGCTCGCTTTGATCTTCTTTCTTCTGACTCTCTCGTCTCTGACTCTTTCCGCACCTACTGCTTCATCTGTTTATACTGTCGGAAGTTTTACTTCTAAACTTCCGTGGTCAGCTGGTTATTCATCAATCCGCCATTTTCAATGTACCAATGTTTTATCAAGTGTTTATCCAAAAACGAAGCTTTGAGCTGCAATAAGTGGTGAACACCAAGGAGGCGGTAGTGGCGGCAGCAATAAGTGGTGAAAACCAAGTAAAGCAGCTGGTGCCATGTTCACCCATTTCGCTTTGAAAACCGTGCGAAATAGCTGGTTTCCAGCTGATGAAAACCAATGAAAACAGTCGATTTTCACCAACACTGCAAAATAACTCGTCTTGCAAGGAAATTTAAACACATGTGTCAAATGGCCTTTTTCAGGAACTTGGAAAAATGATAATTTCAGAAATTGATGTTCAAAAATTGTTTTCAAAAAATGCTACATGTCTCAGAAAATGAAGAACTGCTGACATGATAGAGCATTGATGAATTGTGGGCTCCAAGTTTCGCGTGTTGCGATGCAATATAACCCAGGTTATTTTTACAT